CGTGTTTCTGCTCATTCGTATCTAGCCTTACTGTAATTTTGTTCACATTAGGTATAATAAATCCGGGACCGGGTAGAGGGGGACGGTAGGCTTTCAAACTAAGACTTAGACTTTAGATTAAGCTGAAACTTAGGCTTAGACTTAGGCTTAAGCTTGAGTTTAGGCAGAAGATCGGAGCGAGTCAAGCCAGTACGTGTGATTTCTAAAGCCGGGTTCAAAACAAAGATCCGGCTCCGGGCCGGACTGAAAAATTGTGCCAGACTCTTTTACAAGTCTACAAAGAGGTTGGACTCAAATTGTTCAAGTCATTGTTAAACATAAACTGAAACCTGCTTACTCACGTCTTTTAAAAAAAATTTATTGAATTTGCCCGATTTGCGACGAAACGCCAACGTTTCGGAAAGGACGTTTCGTATTTCTTCTAAACGTGCTCGTTATACGAAAATTTTGTTATAGAAGAGTTCGTTACGGAAGAGTTTTGCTTTGGTTTGCTAATCTTTTTTTTTGGACTTTTTTTGGCATACGGGCAATTTTTGTTTGGGGTAAGGGAAGTCAGAACCAGAGAGAAAGGAGTGAGGCAACCAGGACCGAACGGGCATTTCTGGTATGGAAGCACAAGAGGGGCCACTTTTTTCAAAATTTTTTTTCTGTGGTGGGGGTATCTTTTTCCTTTCTGTCCCCCTCTCCCTCCCCCCCCCCTCCCCTTCCTTACGCTCGTCCCTGGAGGTAACTTACAAGCTTTTTCAAAAAAAATATATTCTTTCTGCCCATCCTTTCCTTTTTCCTCTTACTTCTGCCTACCCCTACACCTGTGAAGAAGTTGAGCTAGAGCTGAAAGAAAGCCTACTGGGCCCGGCCTTGGTTTGGGCTGGGTTAGGCCGAAAAAAGTTTGAAAAGGGCTAGGCATTTTTGGACTGTTTTAGAGTCCACGTGCGTCGGCCCGGCCCGACTTCTCTTAAGGTTGTGGCACAGTCCGGAGCCGAGACCGAGCCTTACCAAGTGGATTTCCTCTTTAGGTTTATCTGCGTCAGTCTAGAGATTCCTGTTGCCATACTAAGCTTATTATAGACCACTTTTCCCAAAAAACAGTGTTTTGAAGTTTCTAAAACGCAACTTTTGTTTTTTTTAATTTTTATAGGATTAACTTTCAATTTTATTATTATATATGGCATTCGGAGATAGGAATGTAAAAATATCTACAAAAAATTACCTAAACAATAGAGGTCTATTATAAATGGTTTTTTTGGCGTCATTCATATGGAGTTAGTGATATTTGTTTTTGGCCAATTTTTTTATTATATTTAGTATATAAATTTATATTATTATACATATAGTAATATATGTAGATCTTGTGTTTGTGTTTTAAAGTTAGAACCGTATTACAACATATTTAGCTGTTCACATAATCCTGAGCCTCGTAAACACGGAAAGTTGTTTTGAGATGAGCACAGAATTATATGAAAAACCTAATCCTGTGAAATATAGTGTAATATACTATATTTACTACAGTTAGTTTTATTTGTAAGTTACTGTGTTATAAATAGATTTTTACAAACATAACTTATCATAAAATATGTCATTTGGTCAGTTATACATATTATAATACATTGTAAATTGACGTTGCTGTACAAGGTGTACATAACATACGTTTATGTATAATACGTACTAGTTTTAAAACTAGATTAAGATCATTTTCAACATAAAATTTGACGTAGCATCTTACTGTAAGCTTAAAAGTGCATAAAGATATTGTTAAAGCTTTTAAGGAACGCTTGGGCTAGATCTTAGGCTACAGCTTAAGCTAAGGCTTGGGCTAGGGTCCAGGCAAGGTCTTATGCTGAGTTTAGGCTAGGGCTAAGGCTAAAGCTAGAACTAGAAACATTGTCAAGACTAGAGCTAAGGTAAAGCAATGACAGATTTTAATAATACCATGGTACTCCGTGGTATAACATTCTGCTTTTACAACTCATTTTACAACACATGTTATAATAATCTTGAATTTTTGCTCTTTGTAATTTGGTAAAACATATAAAGTAGGAAATTGTACTGGGATGCACAATTATACAAATTATATCGTAGCGAATTTGTTGCAAAGCCGATTTTAAAAATATTTTAATTCAAAAATGGGCGGATATTTTAAAATTATTTTATATAAAAAGAAAGGTTTGGGTTTGTATTCAAGGGTATGGAAACGGTAGAGCATGGGGAAAAAAAGTGAAAAATAAAGGTAGGGTGCAAGTGTGGTAAGGATAAAGGAGAGGCTGGAGCAAAAGTACGGCAAGAGTAAGAGAAGAGCAGGGCAAGGGCAAATCAAAGGTAAGACAAGGGTAGGGAAAGGGAAAATCAAAGGTCACGCAAGGGTAGGGCATAGGCAAGTCAAAGGTAAGGCAAGGGTAAAGCAAGGACAAACCAAAGGTAAGGCAAGAGCAAAGGCAAAACAAAGGTAAGGCAAGGATAGGGCAAAGGCAAATCAAAAGTAAGACAACGAAGATTTGATGCCTAATTCTCCTTATTCTAGCTTTGGCGCTACTTTAACATATCCCAGTTTTTGAATAAATTTTCACTACCTTTACTGATTACTTGTCTTACCCTAGCCCTATATTAGTGTAACGAGGAAATCTTAAGGTTATAAATATAAGGTTTTCTAGACTGATTAATAAGTCCGAAAGCCGCTTTAAAACCCAGAGATATCCCCGTTATCGCCAGTCGGGTTAACTGTTGTAGGCTCCACTTGCCGACGGGCAGATGGAGAGTCTCCTCAACTAGTGAATAAAGGATAAAGAAAGAAATTGGTATTGAATGTTAAAGATTGCTCTGTAAAAGAACTCGGTGAGCAGGCTAGAAGACCTGGAATGCTCCCGGCTATAACATTAGCCTTGTCTTTACCTTTCTCTTTACGCTCTTTCACATGGTACATTCATTTTAAAAAATCAAATGGGCAGTTTGTAACATTCTCTTGCCAGTTTCAGTTTTGCCCCGCCCTTGCAATATCTTTTCACTAGCTTTTCTGTGCCCTAGCCCTTGTTTTGTCATACCCTTGCAGTACCTTTGCCTTCTCCTTGTTTTAACTTGGCCCTGCCTTGCAATGTCTTTCCATGACCATCGCTTTAGTCTCGGTGATCATTGCTTTAGCCTAGCCCTAGTTTTAATATGCTTTTAATAGCTTTTTCTTGTTTTTGCTCTGCTTTAGCAAATACAGTAGACTTACTGTAATAATTATACTATGGAAAACACTTTTGAAAGGCAGTGTTTTGAAAATTTCTAGCCCAATACAAAAGCATTTTTAATTTCGTTGATTTATACGTGATCTTTTGTCTTTTTTAAACAAAATTCTCTCATCTATAAAACATGCCTATCCTTCCGCTTTTTAAATCCAAAAAAAGTTTTTAGCTAAAAAAATGTAATAAGCCTATTGTACAGCCAAAATTTTTACGAGTTAAAAAGCCGAAAACAGTACGAAAGCGGATTGCTGTCATTTATAATTAAAATGAGATATTTCTACATTCCGATCTTTAGAATAAACTGATTTTTCGTATTGTAAGCGGCTTTGAGGGTTGTAAAGAAAATTCGTGCGTTTTTCGAAAATTAGAATCATATTATTTGGTTTTTTCTGCTAAAGGGGTGGGCTGTAAAAGTTATTTCGGGGTGGATTTGAAGTCTTTGTTTTAGTTAGTAGTAGCCGCACCGTGGCTATAGCGTTTCTCCAGCCCAGCCTTATAGTTTTAGCTCAGATCTCTGTCCCAGAGTGCCAGCCTAGTTAGAGCACAAAGCCCTAGGCTAGCCAAAAGCCACTAATGTAAAGCCCTAGCCCAGAGCTTTACTTCAAAGTCTTAGCCAGAACTTTTTAAAGTTAAAACTTACAACTTTAGCCGGATGCTCTAGCTCAGAGCCTTAGTGCAGAGCCTTAGCTTAAAGGCTCGGCCTAGAGCCTTAACTTAGAACCTCAGCCCAGAGCCCTAGCCTACAACCATAGCCCATAACCCTAGCCCAAAGCTCTAGCTCTAGTCATAACCCTAGCCGTGGCTCTAGCATTAGTCTTGTTAGCCCTATACCACAACCTTAACTGCTTGTACCCTAGTTATAGATTAAAGACATATCTCGAGATCAGCCTGAGCCCTAACCCTAAACCAAAGCCTATAGCTTTAGCTTTATCTCTTGCTCAATTTTACCTTGCCAAAATTTTTTTCATTTATAAAGAACTTTTCCATTGACAAACCATTAATTTTTGGACTGTTTGTACCAAAACCGTCTTAATTTCCTGTTTAGCAAAACCAGTTCTTGTTAATATTTACAGCCTAAACTTTTTACCCCAATAATGTAAAAACATATAAACAAGTAGTAGGAAACGTCACCATCAACTTTAGTTCTTTACTTTTTAAAAGTGCTTCTTTTAAGGGTAGAGTGAGGGTGGGGCAAGGAGAGGACAAGTATAAGGCAAGGGGAGGGCAAAGATAGGGAAAAATAAGGAAGGTGTATGGAAAGGGTAGGGCAAGGACGTGGATAAGGCAAGAGTAGGGCAAGAGTAGGGCAGATATGAGGCAAAGGTAAGACAATATTAGTGCACAAGTAGGGCAAGGCAAAGCAAAAGTGGAGCAAAGGCAGGGCAAAAGCGGGGTAGGATATGCGTAGGCTATACTAAACCTTATTTCGTGTTCGACTATTTAAAATTAAAATTTTTTAAAATTTTAAAGTAATTTTCAATATTTACAGTGCAGTAACAGCAACATACATTCATCTTCCTGGCTATAACTTGGCTACAACAAACTATACATTATTAGCTACAATAATATCTACAACATTTCAAGCACTTCTTCCTATAAGAGCTATAATATACAAAGCTAATTGTTACAATAGCTACATTAATTGAAAGCCGTTTACTACAAAATATACAGCCATTATCACTATAACAATCTAAAATAAGACTATATACAGACACTATCTGCTACAAATTAGAAAAGTTTTTAAACTTTATAACTCTTTCATATCAATTCAACATAGCAATGTCATCAATGTGCATGAAGATATTGGCAGTCTTTCTCTGTTTACAGTGTAAGTTTAGTTTTACAGTATAGCTAACTAGAAGGGAGGAGGAAGAGGATGTCTAGAGCGTGAGCTAAAGCTAGAGTTAAATCTAGAGCTAGAGCTAGAGCTAGAGCTAAGACTCCAACACGTAAGACGGGCTAAAACTAAGATTAGAACTAAAGCTATCTGAGTATACCATGCCTCAAAAAACCTCCTTCTTTGATGAACAGTATCTTAAAAATGTTATGACATGAACTTTTAAAAACCTTTCTGTTTTGTGACTTATGTACTGTAATATCGTATCGCTGAAAAGATGAAAATCGAGGTTTTTAAAGTTAAGGAGATTTATGGCTTTAAAATTTGAATAATCTCAATTGACTTGCGTAAATAAACTATTTTTATTATTGGCTCATCGCGGATTGCTATGATGAAATCAAAGCAATTTTGAAAATTAAAAAAATTTTTGAAATTTTCGCAAAATTCTAGCTCTAGCCCTCGCCCAGACCTCTAACCCCAAGTTCTAGCTCATGCCCTAGCCCGGAGCTTGAGTAATAACTCCAGTCGTTTTAAAAGTTCAAGTTGTACTAAATATACGCTTTAAAACAACTTGTCATGCCTTTCAGTTCAGCTTAAAAATAAGCACGCTTTGGGTACTTTAGTTTCAAAATTATGAATTCTTAGCATTAGGTGCTAATCTTGTTACAATTTCCAAATGTTACAAACGAAACGTATATAGGATCAATGTATTACAGTAGAAAAACATTATTTTAAAGTGCAAAGTTGTATTTTAAAATTTTGAAAAATATTGTTTGGCTACTAAAAGATTCTAATCAGCGATCTGCCGGACCGGTCTAACAAAACGCTGGGATTAAGACAAACAATGTAAGGCTAAAATTAAGGCAAGGCTACAGCTAGGGTTGTTGGCTAGGATTCTGAACTAGGGCCCTGGGCTAGGGCGCTGGGCTAGAACTCTGAGCTAGGATTCTGAACTAGGGCTCTGGGCTGGAGCTCTGTTCTGGAGCCTTAAGATAAAGCTCTGGGCTAGAGTGAAGCCAGAACTATGGAAACTTACGGTAAGACTACAGTACAATATGTTACAAAACTATAAGTACTTCCACAATACAAATATAGCATTAAAAATGTATAATCAAAAAGTGCACGATTATTTACAAGTTATTTCCTTATGAAAAGGTTAATATTGACGTTGCCAGCTAATTTCATACTATATTGTTTGTTTTCGACGAACACTCATAATGAAATGTTTTATGCATAACAGATTAGGGTTGAGTAGCAGTTTTTTAAAATTTAAAATTAAAAAAATTTTTTTTTAATTTTAAGTTTTCTACCCTACCCTACCCTCTCCTGCCTTACCCTACCCAACCCTAGTATACCCTGCCCTGCTCTATTAATAAAGTTTTAAATTTCAAAAAAAATTTTTTTTAATTTTAAAAAATTTTACAAAACCACCTACTAAACATTCTTTTTTCAGTAGTAACATCAGTCACCTACTACGACGTCTATCGACGAATGAGATCGCACGAAAAAAAGAATTCAGATGAGTTGTCGCCAGAATGGGAGAGGTATATCAATCAGATGAGTCTAAAACAACTTGATGAAGCCATTGCCCAACTGCGCCCTTACGCCGAGAAATATCGAAAAGCCAAGAGCTTGGACGACAAGCCTTCCATATCTCAATATTACCCATGGATCGTCCCTTTCTAATCGTTATGCCACTTCTATTTGTATATAAAACTATCACACTTTCATTATTATGTTTATAAGTTTTTTTGGAAAGTTATGTCGTTTTTTACAGTCAAAAAGGTTGAGTGAATACGACAAAACTTTGTTTTATGTGTTATAATATGACTTTTTTTAATAATAAAGGTATAATAAACATACACATATAAGTAGTATTAACCAAAAGTAAAAGCTTTTAAAAATTCTTTAACCCACCTTCCCGTACGCCCCTTTACCCTACCAAATTACCCTTACTATAATTTTATCCTTACCGTGTGCCAACTTTTGCTCTACTCTTGGCTTATCCTTCCTTTATTCTTGTCTAACCCTTTTTCTACCCTTGCTTTGCTCTTGCTTTAGCTTTGATCTACCCTTTCTCTATCCTTGCCCTTTGCACTTTGCTCTACACTAGCTTTATGATTGCCCTACCTTTGTCCTACACTTGTCTTATCTTTTTCCTACTCTTGCTCTACACTTGTTTTGCCTTAACTTTGTATTACCTGAGCACTACTATTACCCTACATTTGCCTTACCTTTGCTTACCCTTGCTCTCTTTTTGCCTAACGCTTTTTTACTCTTGCATTATCCTTGCTTTACTCTCGTTCTACCTTTGTCATACCTTGGCCAGCTTTAATTTTGCCTTACTCAACTCTACGCAATCTTACTTTATCTTACCTTGATCAGCCCTCTTGAGACTCTACTTTGCTCTTTCTTACTCTTTCTAACCCTACTTATGATTTTGGATGCGTCATTATAAACTATACCATAGGGTATGTTGAGATAATGCTTTAAATTGTTGATTTAATTCACAGGGTTAAAACTCAAAGTACCGTGAGTAAAAATCACGGTGAATACAAAATCAAAGTACAGTGAACTTCTGTAGATCAAACTCTTCTTTCTCCAATCAATTTGGTATACAGAAGTTCGACTTTATATGAACTCGTACTTTGATGGTTCAATACTAAGATTAATATTATATATGTATAATTAAGACAAAAAAACTATATTGATGTAATTTATGATAACAATTCATTTTTCAGCTGACTTTGATTAATTTTATACCGTAAAGCAAACAAAACACAGTTTATCGCAAAGATATGAACGTAATAAGTAAAGGTATTCCATCTTGTTGACAAGAAAACAACATTAAAACACGTGGTAAGCTGTAAAGTACAGTTTGAAGTTTATAAAAGGAGTTCCATTCGAAAAAATATTGCTTACTTTTTAAGACCAGCCCGCTTCAACTTTAGCTCAAGCTTAGGCTGGTTCGGCCCGGCCTGACCTTAAGAGGTCAAGCATACACTGTCCGTTTCTCAATCCCTACAGCTAAAACAAACTTTGGCAAAAAGTTGACTTTTCTTGGGTCTGTGTCAGATAAATGCGTTTCAAATATGAAACCCAATGAATCATTTTGCAGCTTTTTCAAAAAAACTTCTAGAATTCGAAAAAACAATCAAAAGAACCAAGTGTTATCACGATCGTTTGTGGGGTGACAATGCAATTCCATCATTGCGATTACTTTGAAATTCACGTGTTTCCGAGTATTTAAAGCCGAACAGAAAGTAGTCGCTGATGAAGCGACGTCTGACTGTTTGGTTTCCGCTTCGAAATGACTGTATAGATTGAACTTTCATGGTTTTTAAAAGTTTGTAACGGGTTTTGACATAATTTTAAAGGCTTCTTTTTAATTTAATTTATATTTTCTTACCCTGGGCGTGAGAAACGAGCTGGGTGTACTTTTGAAGCTCGGCCCAAACCCGCAGCTCAGTTAAAAAATTGTAGGTCCGGCTAAGCTCGGCCAGTTTTAAGAAACATTTTAAAAGTTTTTGTCATGTTTACTAAGGTAGATACATTGTCAGCTGTACATTCTCATTATTCATTTGATTCATTTGTTGTAGTCCACCTTCAATCAGCTGTTTTCGGGTTAAGAAATGTGGAGTTGGAATTTGTTTTTTTGACCTGAGCTTTTTTATCTTTTAGTTTATAGGTTATTTGAAAAAGAATAACATTTTTATAGTGGATTTCTGGCTATATTTTAGAAATTTTTAGCTCTAACGTTTGTCATTGCTCTAACCATAGCCTCATCTCTAGCTCTAGCTCTAGCTCTAGCTCTAGCTCTAGCTCTAGCTCTAGCTTGAGCCCTAGCCCCAACCTTGTTTTAGCTTTATTTTAACTTTATCTTAGGCTTTTTACTTTTACTTTTTTTCTTTACTAATGATTATCATTGTTGCCGCGTCGTTAAAATATTTTTTGACAAATCGTATTAGTAATGTTTATAAACTTTTAAAATTTTAGTTTGGGTCAATAAACGCTGTTTGGTCCGACTGTTGCACGCTTAAAAATACTACATAGTATCATCTACAATGTTCGCCGACAACACCCCAACTTATATTGAGGACAACGACGATCAAAGCAACTTGATCGTCGTGACGCTAAGTTGAATCGACCAAAACCATCAATCTCATAATTATTTATTCGATCTGATATTTTATGACATTTTATTTTGTCATAGTACTATTTATAGTATTTTTTATTTTTATTTAGTCTTACTGTGCTTTATTGAAATGCAATAAATAATTAAAAAAATTTTTTTTGAATTTTGTGCAATTCAGTATGGTGTATGACGTACTGATAAAAAGCCTTGTTTTACCTTGCGATACCCCACCTTGTTCTTACCATTCCCACTCTGTCCTTACTTCACCATACCCCCTGCTACCTTTACCATATTACACCCTGTTCGTACTCTCACCATGCCTCACCCTGTCTTCACTGTCCCCCTTTATTATACATCGCCCTGTCCTTATTAAACCCCATCCTTTGCTTCCATACTCTGCTCTTTCCGTAACATACCTCACCCTGTCCTTATTCATAACATACTCCACACTGTCCTTACCATACCCAATTCTGTCTTTGCCATTTGTCCTTACTCCTACCTATTCTGTCCTTACTATGCTCCCACCCTGTCCTCACTATATCCTACTCTGTTCCTACCCTTACCTTACCCTGCTCTAATTTTACCCTATTCATCTCTTGTCTTTTAAGTTTTTTTGCTTTCGTTTTTTGACCAAAAAGTATGTCAGTTTTAATCAAAGCCAGAGTACGAAAACAAAATTTGGAGCCAGAAACGTTCAAAATATAATTAAATTTCAGAATTTTTTAGCGGAATTTTTTATGTTTTTTTGGTATTCAAGGCTAATGTAATCAAAAACTGGCCGAAATGACAACGTTTTGGCAAATTTTTAGAAAAATTTTGAAATTTTACGTTTTTTCAAATTTAAAATTTTTTTAAAAAAATTTTTATATTTTTTAAATTTTATTTTTTAAAAAGTTTGACTTTTGAAGAAACATGATAGTATCTTTAAATACGCCATTCTTTTTTGCAGCAAAAGAAAATTTTTTTAAAAATTAAAAAAAAACTTTAAGCGCCATTCTTTTTGCATCAAGAAACGATTTTTCTTTACTAAAAATAGAAAAAACACCGCGCGCCATTCTTTTTGCACCAAAACATTTTTTTTCAAAAAAAAATTTAAAAGAACTGTAAAAAAGAACACGCCATTCTTTTTGCATCAAGGAACCATTTTTTACTACTACTATACTGCGCGCCATTCTTTTTGCATCAATGAACCATTTTTTACAACAACTATACTGCGCGCCATTCTTTTTGCATCAAAAAAGCTGTCTTTAAAAAAAAACTCTAAAATACTCAAAAAAAATAACGCGCCATTCATTTCGCATCAAGAAATTGTTTTTAATGTTTACTGCGCGCCATTCTTTTTGAATCAGATATTTTGAAATGCTCCAAAAATGATTTTTTTTAATTTTAAAAATTTTTTTTAAAAATAACATACAAAAACACTGCCATTCCAAAAACGCCCGTTATATAGCTGAGTGGTTCATCTGGTATATAGTTGAATGATTTTGAATGGAAACGCCCTTCTCCCTGAGGCCCAAAAACGCAGGCTTTCGGCCAATGTTTGATGGACGAGCGCCAAAAGGATTTTCGAATGTTTTTTTTATTCGAAAAGTCGAAAGATGCGCCCAAAAAGAAAATGTCAATTGGCCGAAAGGGGGGGGAAGGGATATGAATGTTGTTTTACATGAGCTGTATAATGTTAGCATGTAATCCTAGATGGGGCATTCTTTTTTCGACTAAACGCCTTTTTTCGGCAACGGGCATTGGATAACGTTACTAAGTATGGCTGGGGTTTAAGATGTTAAAGGGGTTGATTAGCGTTTAGTGTAAGACCTGTACAAAGACTGGGCTAGGCCATGGATTAAGCCTTTGCTTTGGATGCCAGTTCTTAAACTAGCCTCTTTTAAATTTGGTTTACATCGACCTAATGGGCCTCTTTTCAGATCTATTTAGAATGGCTTGGAGGGTAGGGTAGGATAATGTGTGATGAAAGGGGGAGAGACATTACAGTATGGTATTTGTCATACGGTAGGTTTATAACTAGAGTGCAGTTTGTCACGTTGAGAACTAGAGCTTTGGGCTAAGGCTCTAGGCTAGGGTTCTAAGCTAGGGCTGTGCTGGGGCTCTAGACTAGGGCTCTGGGCTAAGGCTTTGAGATAGGGTTCTGGACTAGGGCTCTGGGCTAGAGCTTTGGGCTAGCACTCTGAGCTAGAGCTCTGGGCTGGGGCTCTAAGCTAGAGCTCTGGTCTAGAGCTCTGGGCTAGGGCTTTGGGCTAGGACTCTGGGCTAGGGCTCTGGGCTAGGGCTTCGGGCTAGGACTAGGTCTATGAGCTACGGCTAACGCTGGGGCTTTTCCTGTCTAAAAATAACTTTTTTTGTTAAACCAAAATCGTTTTTAAGGTCAACTGACAAACTTTGTCAGTAAACAGTAGGCAGAATTGCGTAAAAAATTTTTAAAGTTCATAAAGAAAAAATGGTCATTTTTGGGACATCAAAGACGAGAATTTTGATTTTTATGTGACATAAATGCTTTTCGAAGAAGCTCTTAAAGCCTCGTTTGATTTACTACTTATTACAGACACATAAAAACAACTTATTATTGTCGTATGAGAGTCATTTTTTGAGAAGCAAAGCTTATTTTTTAAACAAAATTTTCAAAATTTCAAAAAAAATTTTTTTAATTAAAATTTTTTTAACAAAATTTTTGTAGATTTTACAGTTTTTCTAATTTTATTTTAAAAAGCTAACAAACTATGGCAAAAGATATTACCATTGCATAAGAAAGCCGTTTTGTGTATCAAATACACATGTTTTCCCTCATTTCCCCCTTCTAATTAAAGTTTTTTCTTGAATGTGTACATAATACATTATGCTGTCATCTCCAACAACAACTTTGATTATGGTTGTGCAAAAATTACATTGTTATTAGTTTTGGAGCTAGATTATTAAATTTTTAAATTTTATAAAAATATAATTTTAAAAAATGTATGGGCGGATATATTATGTTATGATGTAGTTAGGGAAAAAATGTAGGGCGGGGTAAAATTTGAAAAGTTGTAAAAATTTTTGAGCTTTAGCCAGAGCTCTAGTCCAGAGCCCTAGCCCAGAGCCCTAGCCCAGAGCCCTAGCCCACAGCCCTAGCCCTAGCCCAGAGCCCTAGCCCAGAGCCCTAGCCCAGAGCCCGAGCCCAAAGCCCTAGCCCAGAGCTTTAGCACAGAGCTCTAACCAAGAGCCCTGGCCATAGCTTTGGCCAATTATTAGCTGTAGCTCTTTTGTATGATAATATACTATTCATTTCAATATCTCGTCTGTGCCAAAAGTTATTTTGCGCTTCTTCAAATGACCATTTCCGCCCCAAAAGAGTTAAGACTCTGAGACAGAACAAAATGAAAACCGGGTATTGTTGTTGTCCAGTCTCTTCTGATTTACACTTGAGAATAAAAAAAACAAAAACTTGGCTTTTCGACCAAATGAAGGGTTTTGGAACGGCGCGCACTGTTTTTTCAGAAAGTAAAGTTCTATAAATTGTGCTATTTTACATTGTTTCATGGGTAGAAATGAGTAAAATTGGAGCAACGAGAACTTTTAGGTTTTGTTGGATGTGAGTTTGCACTTTTTCAATTTCCGAAAAAAAAATTTTTTATTACAATTTGAAAAAAAAATCTATAGTGTTGATTTTTTTAAATATTTAATGGTTTTTTAAATTCTTTTTTTTTTCAATTTAGGTTTTTTAGTGTAAAGTGTAAGTTTTGTAGCAGTTCAAGGTACGCATTGCCTTAGTTTACAAAAATTTAAAATTTTTTTTTTGAAATTAAAAATTCGGACTGTTGAAATGTTAACATTTTTAAAAACAAAAAATTTTTTTTTATTTAAAATTTTTAGAGTAAAGTATTAATGGTGTAATTGCTAGACGTTAACATAGTCTTACTTTACAAAAAATTTTTTTTTTAAATTTTTTTAATGAAAAATTTCACAAGGGGGGACTACGTGAAATTTTTTGAATTTTTTATGGTTTTTCTTTCTTTTTTAGTTAAATTTTTTTTCTTCATGTAAAATACGTACGCCTGTTTTCTTGGTAATGGGTAGAAATTTTTATTATTTTTTTATAAACATCAAAAAAAATTTTTTTTAAAATTATGAAAAAAAAGTCGACAGGAGGACCACGTTGAAATTTTTTTTGGTTTTTGCGATTTTTTTGCTATTTTTAAACAATATTGCTGTTATTTTGAGCTATTTTAGGTCACTTGTGTTTTGTGTAGCTTGGGCTTAACATTTTTTATTCAAAAAAAAAATTTTTTAATTTTTAAAAAATTTGCAGTCGTTTTGGGCCTTAGGTTAGAGTAGGGCATTTTTGATGAGATGCCATTCTATTTTTTTGATTATTTCTACTTTTGTCAGCTAAAATAGAGCTCTATGTAGCTGCCATAATGTTAGATACATCCCCAAACACAGTAGCCATGAATCTTTCGCTAATCAGATTCAGAAGGCTTTAAGATTGCGACGCCTTTTATCTCATCAGAAGGCCGGGGTCCAGGAAAAGAGAGACAAACATTCGAAATCTCCGAGGATTTTTGGGTTTAAAATCCGCCAAAAATGTTTTTCCTCCCAAAAAAGTTTTGGCTTCTCGTTAGGCCATAAAAACCGGTTTTTCAGGCCTCGAAACAAAATTATAGTCAAAAATGAGGACCAGAAGGAAGCGTTCCTGATGAATGTCGCTTCTATTTGTGTCGACTCACGGTCGTTTTGCGGGTTTTTGGGTGGGAGGGGTGATTATATGGGGGTGTTTTGTGGGGAAAGTGGGAGGGGTGATAAAAACGTTTTTTTGTTGGTAGTTGAGAGGGGTGATAAAATTGGTATTTTGAGGTTGAAAATAGGAGGGGTAATCATATGGGGGTACTTTGCGATGGAAATTGTGTGAGGCCGCTTAATGGGGGTACTTTACGTCTAAAATGGGAGGGGTAATTTTGCGGGTTTATTTTGCTGTGGGAAAGGCAGGGGTAATATCGTGGGGATATTTTGCGGTGGCAGGGGTAGGGATGGTCACGTGGGGGTAGTTTGAGATAGAAAAGGTGAGGAGTAACCATATAGAGGTATTTTTAGGTGAAACGTGGGAGGGGTGATTATGTGGCGCTATTTTGTAATGGAAATTGAAAGGAGTGATTATATGGGGATATTTATGATTGAGAAAAGAAAATCATATTTTAGCCCCCCCTCCCCCCCCCCAGTAAACCTTTATAGCGTCTGAAGGCCTAACTTCAGAGCTAGCTTTATTTCTAGCTCTAGTCTTAGCTTTAACCTTAGTCTTAGCCTTAGTCTTAGCCCTAGCTCCAAACCCAAGCCCTTAAAAGTTACCGTAAATCTTTGTGGCAAAAATATAATAGTACTAACGTTTTGTCGATGCTATAAAAAGTCAAAAAATGGAAAGTCAGTCCAAACTTTTTCTGGGCAAAATTGGAAACAATTTGTCAATTAGAAACATTACTGGCTTCTTTTTTGACGTTTCAACAAATATCGACTGAAATATTTTTTAAAAGTTTTAATTTTCCGTGTAAAATTTATGTACAATAATATTTTTTTTAGTCTAAAAGTATTATTTGTCATAAAAAAATGCATTCAAAGCTAATGTGTATACATTGTTTTTTGCAAGCGTTCTCACGGTACCACGTGTTGAGATGAAGAGACCATTAGTAGCTGCTACACCTAATAACTAAAATTCTTTGTTTATTGTTCTTTTATAAGTTTTACACTGACTAAGGCTCTAGTCTAGGGCTGCTAAAGCTGTGGGCTAGGGCTGTGGGCTAGGGCTGTGGGCTAGGGCTGTGGGCTAGGGCTGTGGGCTAGGGCTGTGGGCTAGGGCTGTGGGCTAGGGCTGTGGGCTAGGGCTGTGGGCTAGGGCTGTGGGCTAGGGCTGTGGGCTAGGGCTGTGGGCTAGGGCTGTGGGCTAGGGCTGTGGGCTAGGGCTGTGGGCTAGGGCTGTGGGCTAGGGCTGTGGGCTAGGGCTGTGGGCTAGGGCTGTGGGCTAGGGCTGTGGGCTAGGGCTGTGGGCTAGGGCTGTGGGCTAGGGCTGTGGGCTAGGGCTGTGGGCTAGGGCTGTGGGCTAGGGCTGTGGGCTAGGGCTGTGGGCTAGGGCTGTGGGCTAGGGCTGTGGGCTAGGGCTGTGGGCTAGGGCTGTGGGCTAGGGCTGTGGGCTAGGGCTGTGGGCTAGGGCTGTGGGCTAGGGCTGTGGGCTAGGGCTGTGGGCTAGGGCTGTGGGCTAGGGCTGTGGGCTAGGGCTGTGGGCTAGGGCTGTGGGCTAGGGCTGTGGGCTAGGGCTGTGGGCTAGGGCTGTGGGCTAGAGCTGTGGGCTAGGGCTGTGGGCTAGGGCTGTGGGCTAGGGCTGTGGGCTAGGGCTGTGGGCTAGGGCTGTGGGCTAGGGCTGTGGGCTAGGGCTGTGGGCTAGGGCTGTGGGCTAGGGCTGTGGGCTAGGGCTGTGGGCTAGGGCTGTGGGCTAGGGCTGTGGGCTAGGGCTGTGGGCTAGGGCTGTGGGCTAGGGCTGTGGGCTAGGGCTGTGGGCTAGGGCTGTGGGCTAGGGCTGTGGGCTAGGGCTGTGGGCTAGGGCTGTGGGCTAGGGCTATGGGCTAGGGCTGTGGGCTAGGGCTGTGGGCTAGGGCTGTGGGCTAGGGCTCTGGGCTAGGGCTCTGGGCTAGGGCTCTGGGCTAGGGCTCTGGGCTAGGGCTCTGGGCTAGGGCTCTGGGCTAGGGCTCTGGGCTAGGGCTCTGGGCTAGGGCTCTGGGCTAGGGCTCTGGGCTAGGGCTCTGGGCTAGGGCTCTGGGCTAGGGCTCTGGGCTAGGGCTCTGGGCTAGGGCTCTGGGCTAGGGCTCTGGGCTAGGGCTCTGGGCTAGGGCTCTGGGCTAGGGCTCTGGGCTAGGGCTCTGGGCTAGGGCTCTGGGCTAGGGCTCTGGGCTAGGGCTCTGGGCTAGGGCTCTGGGCTAGGGCTCTGGGCTAGGGCTCTGGGCTAGGGCTCTGGGCTAGGGCTCTGGGCTAGGGCTCTGGGCTAGGGCATGTATATCTTTACTTGTTTAAACATTTTGAAGTTTTTTAAAAGCACTAATTTAGATTGGCGTATTTTACATTTAATAATAATTTTTTTAATTCAAAATTTAAATTTTTGCATTTTCAGGTTCCATGACATTTTCTTCACTTTCAATGTAAATTTTTACCTTTTTGATAGCTAAGATCAGTTTAAAAATGTCTTTCTTCTAACGACGATCACCCCCTATAACAACATGCCTGGAGCCCAAGTGGCGCCAGTTATTGTTGAACAAACTGCTGTAAGTCACTTTTTTGCATTTTTGATATAAAACGTATGATGTTTTATACACTTTCGTTTTATAAAATTAAATTTTAATGTTATTTCAATTTGAAAAATCTAAATTTGGACTTTTGTTGAGTGTGTGTTAAACGGCATTCTTGGGCTGAAAAAGCAAGTTTTAAGAGGTATTTTGGATAGGTTATAGATTGGAAATGACATTTTATAATTTATTTTTGTTTTTCAATTTAAACTTTTTGCCGTTTTGAAGCTTAAAAGTTAAACTTTAGGCTGTTTTTGGGCTGAAAACGCTGATTTTTAAGAGTTTTTGGGCTAACAAACCTAATTTTATATTATTTTTAGGCTTCAAAAGTTAAATTTTAATTAAGTTATAAATTGTAAATGTCATTTTATAAACTTTTTTGCTTCAGAATGTAAATTTTTGCCGATTTTAAGCTTAAACAGTTGGAATTTACGCTATTTGTAAACTAAAAACCTCATTTTAGGCCGCTTTTAAGATTACAAGACTGACTTTAAACTCTTTTTAGTTTAAAAAAGCTAATTTTAGTCAGGTTATAGATTGAAAATGACATATATAAACACTTTTTACATTCAAAATTGAAAAAATCTATAATTTTTAGCAAAAACCAGTCCGATTTGGCCTAATTCGAACGCTTCGCAACAATTTACATTGGAAATGTTTCGCTTCGACGTTTTTGATCGATGCCTGCTTCGCCTATGTTGGATGGTGCCACATCAAGCCTTATATCTACATAAATGAGCCTGAGTTGAGGTAAGGAATATAAACATGATAAATGGCATTTTTTTCAATTTTCGGGTGAGTCAAAAAATTTATGGAAAAATCCACAGGGGGGGACCAAACTCACTTGTAAAGGTGCGTTCTGTGAACTTTTTGACCGGCTTGAAAAACGTTTTAAAATGACTTTTCTAGGTATACAAACATCATAAATGAAATTTTTTTCAATTTTTTGGAAATTCAAAAAATTTATGGAAAAATTTACAGGGGGGGGACCAAGCTCAATTTTAAAGCTGGGTTCTATGAATTTTTTGACCGATAAAAAACTTTTTTAAAATTAATTATTTAGATATAAAATACAAGTTCTACGTACTTTTAGACCATATTTCTTTCATTTTATTTGTTTTTCTACGAACTTTTTGATCTTTCAGTAAAGCCCACGGGCCCTGTGCCAATGCCTATCGCTACGTACCTCTTGGATTTGCCGGTCTACTGTACATAATATACCTATTCGAATGCTGGCACAACCGAAGCAAACTCAGCTGTATACAAAGAGGTACTGTAACACAACTGTTGGATCAAATCGACCGGTTGAGGACTTCGACACCGGTCGTTTGGTGGAAAAGCATCTGTTATCACTATATTCGGAGGACGAAGCATGTTACTAGGTAAGATTTTTTTTGAGATTAAGGGTTGTTTTTTAGAGTATGGTTGATTTTCCACAGGGTTTTTTTCAGGGCGGGGTGGATTTTAAAGGTAGGATGGATTTTTTAAAAAGAGGCGAGTTTTTAAAATAGGGCTGATTTTAAAAAAAAGGGAAGAGGGTGCTATTTAGGGCAGGGTAGATTTCTTCATGGTGGGGCAGTTTTTGTATGGTGGGGTAGTCTAGGTTAGCGTAACGTAGGGTAAGGTAGGGTAGAATAGGATAGGATAGTGTAGGGTAGGGTAGGGTAGGGTAAGGTAGGGTAGGGTAGGGTAGGGTAGGGTAGGGTAGGGTAGGGTAGGGTAGGGTAGGGTAGGGTAGGGTAGGGTAGGGTGGGGTAGGGTAGGGTAGGGTAGGGTAGGGTAAGGTAGGGTAGGGTAGGGTAGGGTAGGGTAGGGTAGGGTAGGGTAGGGTAGGGTAGGGTAGGGTAGGGTAGGGTAGGGTAGGGTAGGGTAGGGTAGGGTAGGGTAGGGTAGGGTAGGGTAGGGTAGGGTAGGGTAGGGTAGGGTAGGGTAGGGTAGGGTAGGGTAGGGTAGGGTAGATGAAAACTAAAAAATTGTACTTTAAGATACCGTAACGGAGATGCAGTGTCAGCAACCCAAGTATACTATGAACGTGTCAACTCTCACACTTCTGGCAATGTCTTTATGTACGATGTTTGTGGAGTAAAAGACATTTCTAAAGACGTATATGATGTTGATGACTTTCCTGTGGTAAAAGTCAGATTCAGCAAAGGATTTGTGTTTGCTTGTGTTCAAGCGGCTGATGAGTTTGAAGATCAACGGACACGGTTCTTCAATGAAAATGAACTACGGGACGATTATATGGAGGCAAGTTATTGTACCCTACCCTACTTTACCTTATCCTACCCTACCCTACCCTACCATACCCTACCCTATTATACTATGTCTTATTCTATCCCCCTTTACAATACTTCGTTTTGCTTTATCTAGCCATGATCTGCCGTATTAAAGCCTCACTGTTCATTGTTTATTGTAACTGGGGTACCATACTCATGAAAGAACACCATACCTATAGTTGACCTAAAAAAAGCCCGATCGAGTTTCTTCCCATTCAATATGCCATCAGACCAAGACAAATATGAAACGCTGGGCCGGCTTGCGTGAACCTGACGGAACCGGACCTAGGTGGCTTAAACCAATGCCCCAAGGGAACCGCTTAGAACCACTGATCTCAAAACTTACTGTACCAGTGCCCTGACATAGTTTTTTAAATAAAAAAAATTTTCAATATAATTTTCCAGGTTCGAGAAGGCCTCGACTTTGCAGAAACCCGTTTCGTTGAGCGAATGTTGATATTCGCTGATGAAAACAAGAAACTGCCATTTTATATGCGACCCGGGGTTTATTGGACGTTCTGTTGTTTTTTAATGGGTTGGCCATTGAGAGTGTTTATCGACTGGCGAACGGCCCACCTACATTATCAGGTCACCAAACTGTTTGGTACCAACTATCTCAGGTTGGTTTTGCGCGCCATTCTTTTTGCATCAAGATAAAAACCCCAATTTTAAAAAAGATTTTGAGATACGCCATTATTTTTGCATCAAAATTGAAAATTTGGTAAATGCGCCATTCTTTTTGCATCAAACATAGAAATAAAGTGAAATACGCCATTCTTTTTGCATCAAAGGTAAAAATTTGGTGAAATGCGCCTTTTTTGCATCAAAATTAAACATTCGACCTTTTTTGAAATTTTTAATTTGAAAATGACATTTTCAGTCCATCAAGCCTAAACTACACTGGACCTTTAACTCGTGCTTCCACCATCGATACGATTGATCTCGAACGTGCTCATCAACAAAACTACCTCATCGTGCCTAGCTACTCCGAAGCCGTTCTCATGGATCCTATTCCTAATAACGTAAGCTTAAACTACGTCTTACTTTATAACTTAAGCCTAAATCATCTATATTTTAAATAATAAGGCCTTAAGTAAGCCTAAAACATCTATATACCTAATATTGAGGCTTTAGATAAGCCTAAAGTTAAGCCTAAAGTTATAAAAATGAATGTTTTCAGTACAACTCATCGATTCGAATCCGCCCAACCAATAATAACGAACAGACGATCATTTCCAATTATGGTGCTATAGGTGAAGATGATAACAATAATGGCGACTTTTACATGTACAGTAGAGATTTGAATCGGAATATTGTGCCTAGAAGTCGATCTATGTCGTCTTCTTTTAAGTAAGTACATTAGCCCGGCTTGCCTTCCCCCGAGCACTACCTTACCGCATCTAATCTTACAATACCTTTTCTTGCCTTTGCCCTGCCTTGTCTACCCTCCTTTAGCAATGCCCTAGTCCTGCTCTAAATGTGGTCCTGCATGCCTGCCTTACTACCTTATCCTACCCTATCCTATCATACCCTACCTTTCACTCAAGTTAATCTTATAAAAATTTCAGATCCAGAGACTTCTCAACCCCAATTCCATCGGCCAATCCACCGCCATTACCTAGACCATCTCATTTCCCACCTCACATTAGCTTCGGCATTCCTCCACCCAGATCGTTGTCAATATCTGGCACATTCAATGATCATATAAACAGTCCTTACAACAATAATGATGAACAACAGAGTCTGCTGAATTCGTCGAGGGTAAGGTTTGAAATTTTACTTTCTTTAAAGACTTTAGGCTTAAACTGAGTAATCAAAGGTTTAAGCTCAGTAGAGTAACTATGCTCTAAAAAAGCATGTTTCGGGTTTCAGAAACTGTAAAATATGACAAAATGTTAAATCCCAAACTGTACGATAACCTCAAAATTGGGAGGCTTAGGCTTAGTAGGCTTAGGAGTAAGCTTAGGCTTGATAACCGAAAGGCTTTTAAAGATAGGTTTAAAACTGGACTTATTATTCTCTTCTTTTCCTATCACTACAGTAGTCATTACTTTCTTTCAGGAGCCCTTTGTATCTACAGTATTCCGTCCAAGTCCAGCCCCAATCAACGAGCCTCCACCCCCATATGAAGTTGCCATCCGAATATGTGCTCCATTATATCAAAGAATTCGACAATCAGCCAATGATAGCATCAGTTCGCTGCTGAACGTACTATCCAGATCAAGTTCGAAAGATTTTCGAATTCAAAATGGGTTTGTCTACAGTAATGTGGACGAGAATAATGAGGATGACGAGGAGAAAGACAAACCAGGGTCCAGTAAAACCAGTCTGTAGCCTTTGTGAAGGTTGATTTAGAATTGGCAGGATTTATTTTGGAAGTTTTTAAATATTATCATATTTTACTTGTATAAACGTTGAAATTTAATATGGGTTTTGGCGTATAAACATTGAAAAAACATCAAATTATCTACTGTAACATAGCCTAATCTGCTTTGTTCTGCTCTACTTTAACGTGCTATAACTACCTTACTTTACTCTACCTTCAACTACCCTACCCTACACAACCCTACCCTACCCTACTCCACCATACCCTACCCTACTTTATTCTACCCTACCCTACCCTACTCTACCCTACCCTACCATACTCTACCCTAGCCTACCCTATCCTATCCTACCCTACCCTACCGTACGCTGTACCGTTCTTTTCTCTGCTATACCCCAAGCCAGCGAAGCATAGCACAACTTTAGCTTAGCCTCATTAGCCTACTTTACTCCACCTTGCTGTACTCTATCTTGGGAATTTGGACATTTTTTATGTGCCGTTCCAGCCGTATATGGTTAATGTTAAGGCTAAGTATCAACTGTTTCAAGTAACCATAACAACAAGTTTAAATATGATTAGAACTATAAACTTTCAACTGTTTCTTAGTTTTTACTGTTATTTAATACTTCAACTATATATGACGTACATATTGAGCTTACTGTACAAACGTTAAAAGCTTATTAATAAATGTGGCCAGTAGTAATACTGTACTTTGTAATAGCCATACCGTCTGTGGTAGTGTTTGCTTCATTGTTATTGAACATTGTTGATGTTGGAATGGAAAGAAAGATATCTCACTTCTTTATTCCTGTAAGTTTCAGTTTTCATGCTTTATTTCGACAAAGGGCTAGGCCGGCCCGGAATCTTTCAAATTTACTTCGGCCCGGTCCTTGAAAAGAGGAAGGGCGGACTGGGCCTAGCTAACCCTTTTACGGGCCAAATGCTTTATTCTTTCAAAAATTTTAATTTTTATAATCTTTTTTCCAAATTTAGCTTCCGGACAGCAAAAAAGAAAGCCGTGTTGAGCCACTTACCCTAATTTAAAACCTACCATACTTATATGTTTTGCAGCTTTACCACAATTTATATGAATATGTAGGTAAGGATTACCTTTGGCTATATTCTACCATATTTTCAGAAGCGATGGCTCAACAAGTAGAATCATATCAACCGATAATTGACTGCTACTGAAGACAGTTCAAGGCGAAGCTATTTTGATCAATAGGCAGTGCGTCGAACACTAGAAATTACAGTACAAAGTTTATTATCAATAGTACGATAGTACATTGTTTACTTAGTCATTCAGTTTTATTAGGCTGTTCAGATAATTCTGTGCTCCTCTCAACACAAATTTTTGGAATAGGAGCACAGAATTAGATGAACAAGTCCGTTGGGATCCCCATTACCCCCCCCCCATTAAAATTGTACCCTGCCTAAACGGAAATTACTAGCCCAGTAGAAATGTGAAGCTCTATTCCACCAATTTTTTAAACATTTTTGATATTTTACTTCTAAAATTAAAAAAAAACTCCCATTTTTACATTTTTCCATCATTTTTGTACAATTTTTAATAAAATGCGGTGGATTGCCATTTTCTATCACCTGCTACTATTGCCTTTACTTCACTGTAGTTACTTTTCTAAGCCTATAATCGACAATTTACGTGTCCAAGGATTTGTAACCTGTTCTAATCAATCACTTTCGGTTAACATTAGTTTCGATGATGGTAGTGTTGAGGTCATAAATGGCACTTTCGAAATTGATGCAGAATATATTACACAAGATGTTCCTTTGCTTATTCAGCATAATTGTACTCAGAAGTTTGATGAGATTAGGGTGGGTTTTTGAATGGTTTTCTTTCCACAGAATATATTGTAGTAGGTATCAGGTAGTGCCGAATGAGTGAAAAATTTTAGGGAACCCTGCCTCCCCCCCCTGCCCAAACAAGTGTTTTAAAGAAAAATTATATTATGAAGAAAAATCTCCCCCTCCTACTTTTCTCTAGAGTAAAATCACAAGCCCAGGCATTGTCTATACCTACTACAATATAATTTTCCAAATTTCAGTACGAACGATTACCCTACCCTATTCTACCTTACTCTACCCATCCTACCTATCTTAACGTATCCCCTACTTTACCCACCCCCTCCCCCTTCTACTTTTCTCAAAATGACTCTTCCATTCACCTATACCTACTATAATATACCTTCTCCAAATTTCAGTACGAACGAGTGAACGCTGGCTGCATAATAACTCGCAGACTGCATTTGTACCGCTTCACACCGTCATTCACTACAACTAATCAGACGACCGTTGTGAGTTATAAACTGGGAGAGATACGCCTTGATGAATACGACCCGTCGGAGAGCTTTTGTATGATCGACAAAGGCATTCAAGCTGACACAATCTTCCACATTATCGACGGAATACCCGTGAATTCGACGGATCGATTGTTTGAGGACTGATCTTACAACTTTAATGACATTTTGTCCCTTCCCTTAATAAAGCCAAATAAAATTCATCTCACTTCATTAAAGGTTAAGTTTCCATTTTCTCTTCCGCAAAGACTTCTGACCGATTTTCGACGCTACTGAAGGCTTCTAATCCAATTGAATCGGCTTGATTTGTTCTGGCTCGCTTAATATTTACATCGATCTTACTGTATCGCACCTTTTGGCCGAACAAAAACTTTCCTGGGTTCAGGAACATTGTGTTTTGAACGTTCTGAAATGTGTAGTTATATAAAGATCATTATGAAATTTCACTTGATATAATGACCATTACTTTAGTTTACGTTTCTCATCATTTTATCATTTTCTCTATCTCAAACTTTTAAAAACAGCCTAAAAATCATTAAAAAACAAAATTTTAGTCAAAAAACTATATTATCCATGACAAAACCAAGCCTATCCTTGATAAAATCCCAAAGAAAACCTTAAAAATTCATTTTTCTAGACGATATAAACCTTGACTTGACCCTACCTTCTTGATCTGAGCCAGATTTGAAGGTACAACAAAGAAATGAGGTCGTTCTGTGAAATGCTCATCCTCAATATTATGCACAACGCTTGATTGTTGTCCAAATGAAGCCGGACAAGCTAATCTTTGACTAAAAACGATCATTTTATATACATTAATGTATCCTTAGGGTTATAAACTTTAAGCTAAAAAATTCCATTCAGTCATTAGAAATGATCATATGAGCCATTAGACTATGACCTTCATGAACCTTGACCAAACTATACAAATACCCTTAATTTGGTAGTAACACCTACTCTAGAAGATGTTCACACAAAATTGACATTCTATCTTTTGACTGCGACACTTCTCCACAATATTTCTCTTTTTTTGCCAGGTTTTTCAACGGATCCGAGCTTGTAACAATAAAAGAAACTCCATTTAATGAGAACACAGCTGGATCTGGCACAAACTCAATGTTCTGAAAAGAAAAACATGTTATAATTACCCACAAAAGCTTAAACTAGCTAACCTTAATCAAAAAGTACAGCACAAAGCCAATTTTTACCTAAAATCTCTAATAAAAGTCAATCACAGAAGTTTGTTACCTAAAACAATATAAAACTAAATTTACCCTAGATAGACCAGTAATTCCAAGCAATTCAGGCCTTAATGCTGGTGTTGGAAACGTGTTTGTACTCAAAATGTCATTAGAAGCATTAGGAAGAACAATGACTTTCGTTTTAGAGCCATTAACCTTGTCTGAGATCTTTTGTAACACAATATTCGTCCTTTCTACAGCTTTTTCTTGCTCTGCTGGGTTGTAAAATGGTCCAGACTAAAAATAATAGTTTAACTTAAACAAATAAACCTTAAAACAGGAATTTAGTCTTTCAGTCAGTGAACTTTGACCAAAATTCCAGCGCCCTAAAACAACTAATTTTGATATTATCTTACCAAAATCACAGCAGAAGCATTTAAATTCATAACTTTTTCCAAGAAATAATCGAGCTGATCATGTGAACTGTTGTTAACAAAGGGTCCAAACGCCATACAAACGCGAAGAAAGTCTAAAAACAGAAAAACTAACCAAAATTATATTAACATACCCGAATCATCTTGAAGCTTCGCTAACGGCAAAGAAGTAAACGGAACAATTGATTTTACTTTCATTTTGCGACTACCAACATCTGCTTGTACTCCCTTAACCCTTAGCTTCTGAAATTATGAAGATTTAAAGAAAATACAAAAGAAAACGTTAAAGTAGGTATAGATAGAGCTTACCATTCCAGAAAAATATGAAAATCCATTGATTTCACTAATGTCTAACTGAACATAATCTCCATTATTAACTAAACGTATCTCATCTGCATCATCTCCACTGCAGACAACCAAACGACCCTCTAGTTCCACTTCAATTTGAGCTGTTTCTTCTTCATTGTTAACAGATGGAGAAGATTGACTTAACTGGTCAAAAAGATTAATCCCAGCTAAAACGAAGTATTAAAATAAGATAAAGCAAGTTTAGAAAAAGCTGTTGTATTAGTAAGACATAGTTTTAACCAGTAGAAGCACGTAAAACTTAAAAGAACAATAAAAACACTTACATGGATTGTCGCCCCTGTGCCCATAACTAAAAAAGTTGTCGTTGAATCGATGTAAAATACAATTTACAGCTGCCATATTAGTTTGAAAAAGTTAGAAGATTAATAATAGTACAATATTTTACAGGTAAATCCAAGTTTTTACAATTTTTCTTCGAATTTTTGGCTTCAAAATAACTTTTAGCGCTCTCAGTCTGGGTCCCACCACGAAAAGCCTGAAAATTCATGAGCGAGCTAAAATTCGGAAAAAAATTCGCTATTTTTTCGCTAGAATTTTACAAATTAGAATATAAGTAGTAAAGGTTCGAGCCGCAAGCTAAGAATTTCTAAAATTTTAGTTAATATCAAAATTTCACGTTAAAACATGTGTAATATCGATTGTTAGCTTTGCAGTTTGAGGCTTTTTCGAGGAATCTTCTTTGGACGTTTCTTTATAATATTTGTTGATTCATGTTGGTTTTTACTGTGGTTTAGGTTTCTTTACGGCTTGAAAGATGGCCAAAGGGATCATTTTTGTTTAAGCTATGGATTTTGGCTATAGTTATATAAAATGGTTTGTTTTAATATGTTCTTGGCTTTGTAACATTGATTTTTGGCAAAGAAACGTTGAAGAAGACTGCCATGGTGAATTTTTGTATATTTTTTCTATATATAAGGGCTCTTATTTGTCAAAGTATTAATTTTACGTTAAGTTGTGTTTTTTTGGCTATAATAATATAAAAATGAGTCTTTTGAAAGAATTTCTGGACTTTACCAATATTTTTTGTTTTGAAAAGTGGGAGAAGATAGTTGACGAGTATTTTAATACAATTTTTCGAATCTAGATCAATAATTACGTGTTTTACAGCAAAATCTGCGAGTAATAGTTCAAAATTATTAAAAAGTTGAGCGGTTGAAGAGAAAAGCAGTGAGTTCGCGCGCTTTTACTTTTTTCGAGTTGTATTTTTATTTTCTCTACTATTATTTTTATTTATCAACAAAATTCGTTAACATTTATACCTAAAACTAAAAATTTGATACCTAAAAACTAAACTTCAATCTTTTAGTTCCGGATGAATATGACGCCTTACTACCCCCCTCCGGCGGTCACGGCCGGAACGCCGGTTTATGCGCCGGACATACAGCAACAAGTGTTCATTCCGCCGCAAAATGTGATGCATCCCCAGCTGATGTCCCAACAGTCCGTGCCTCCAACCCAGTCTGCCTTCTACCCCCAGAATGTTCGACCGCCGGTTATGGTGCCACAACAGAGCCGCTTCCCACATCATTATGTGGTTCAACATGCTCAGCCACCGCCCAACGCTGCTGGTTTCCGGCCTCAGAACAGACGCTACTCACAACAGATATACAGTCGAACATTGTCGGAGAGTAAAGTAAGATTTTATATTTTTTTTTGATTTTTAGGTAATGACACTTTAAAAAATCTGGTATAAGAGCTAGAAAATTTGATTCATATTTCTTTTTTTTCAAATTTTGATCCCGTCTAGCTTCAGCTAAACCAAACGCCCTCGATGAACGGCCAATGCAGTCCGGACCAGCCCCCACCTCCGGGAACTGCCCCGCCATTCCATCCACCCCTTCAACCTGGTATGGCCGGCATGCCCGAAGACATGCCCATGTATCAGCCCCAATACCAACAAGGTGTTGTCTACATGGATCAACAACCGGTCGAGCAGGAAATGTTTTATCCTCAAACACAGTTCCGACCTCCCCCAGTACCGAATCAAATCTACACGCCCCAACAGTACCAGTTTCAACCACCCCCACAGCAGTACGGAATGCCTCCTCAACAATTCCAACGACCGGTCAATGTGAATCCGTATCAGCAAGTGAGTTTTGTCATTTTTTTAGGTATCAATTAGGGGCTTTTAGGTATTAATTTGGGCCTTTAGGTATCAAATGGAGTTTCTATGTACAAATGTGGGTCCATTATGTATATAATTAGGGTTTTTCAGTATATTTTGGCTCTTTTAGGTATAATTTTGAGACTCTTATTGCCAAATCTTTCTGTTTTATATTGTTTTAGGGGTAAAATAGTAGTTTTTAAAGGGAAATCTTGATTTAAGGCTTAGAATTTTTACTTTTGGTTTTTTAAAAAATTCACTTTTAGCCCTTTCAGCCCTACCAAAACCGCCAAGCCCAGTCGAATAGCCCCCACCCCAGCCAGTTATCCCACACCGAAGAACCGGCTGGACGTCCAGCCAACGTTTCCGAGACGGTGGTCACCGACCAAGAAGACTACACTCCACCAGGTACGCCTCAAGACTTAAAACCAATATCAACAGAGCAATCCGATCAACTATGTTCTACTTTAGAGGCCGACGCCGAAGCCGAACTAACACAACAACTGGAAGAAACAAAACTGGACGAGAAGGAAGAGGAAGAAGACATTAACAATGTGGCAGGCAAAGAGTTTGTCAACTCGAACTACCAGAATAAGAACTGGAAGCCGCGAGGTCAGTTGGAGGAGATCAGAGAGGAGCAACGTCCCCAACAACGACAAACTCAAAGCCCGTTCGTACCGGACCCGAATGCGGCAGTTTTCGATCCTCGAGGCTCGGAACGCTTTCAAAATCCACCGGTGTTTGGAAGCGGACAGCATTTCAGGAACGGTAATGTGCCGAATCAGGGATTCAGAAGCGAAAACATGATGAATCAGGGCTTCAGAAGTGAAAATCAAGGTTTTCGAAGCGATAATCCTGGATTTAGAGGAGAGAATCAGCCAGCTCAAGGTTTTAGAAATGAAAATCAGCCAAACCAAGGCTTCAGAAATGAATATCAAACATTCCGAAGTGATAACCAACAAAACCAAGGCTTCAGAAGCGACAACCCTCGAGAGTTCAGGCAAGAGAACAAGCACTCTCAACACGACAACCGACAGTTCGGCAACGGCGACAAGAATCAGTTCCGATCCTACGTGAAAAACCAATTCCGATCCGACAACCAATTCCGCCCCAACTTCTCGAACGACGGCCGAAACGACAAACGTCAAGACCAACGCCATTTGAATGATCGAAAACTGGAAAGAAAGGTCTCAACCACATCCACCACCTCGAACTACTCGAGAAGGGAGGATCATTGGCGAAGAGGAAACGAACCAAAGCAGCCAGAGGTCGTCGAGTGCACACTATGCAAAAGCCAAGAGAAGCCAGTCACAGTCTATGCCACTCACGTACTGAGAGATCATCAAAATGTAAAGACAAAGTGCCCTGAACTGCAGAAAATGACCTGTACCGAGTGTAATGCGACCGGCGAGGACGCTCATGTCAAGTACTTCTGTCCGCAATTTGCAGATAAAAAGGCCTTCAACTTACCGAAAACGGCGGAGAAAGTTCGCGATTACATCAAGGACCGCGACGCCAAGAAGGCCCAGGAAGAACAACAACAGCAACGAGGGCAACAACGCAACGATCGCCAACCACAGAACCAACGACAACACGAACAAAGGGTCTACAACAACTCGAGAAGGAACGACAATCAAGGAGGCAATCGGTTCCGAGACTCATACCGAGAAGGTGGATACGCTAACCGAGACTATGGTAACAAAGAGGGCTACGGTCGACAGGATGGAAGGAAGGATAGTCAAGGCTATAGACAAGGAGGTGGTGGTGGAGGTTATGGTCATAAACGACAGGAAGGGTAAGGGTTTTGGTTTTATACGCCATTCTTTTTGCATCAAGAAGAAGCTTTGTTTACAAAACGAAAAATGGCAAGAACTTTCTTTACGCAATGAAAAATAGCAAGAGCTTTCTATAAAAATCGAAGAATGGCAAGAACTTTTTTCACAAACTGAAAAATGGCAAAAACTTTCTTTACAAGCCTCGAAAATAATTTTTTAAAATTTTGTTACTTAAATACCAAGAACTGTATCCTTACCCAATTTCCAGGTTAATAAATCTAATTTCAGCCAACGCTACAACAAGAACTAGCCACCCCCTAACCCAAAATCCCACCCCATAGCCGCACCAAGCCATGAGGTGGACCATGGATCGACGGGCTCAATTATAATATTACCTAAACCCACAACTACGCCCCTTCATTTATTACACTTCATTGTTGTGTTTTGTTTGTTCATTGTTTTTTGTACCTAATTTTACAGAATTTAACTGTCCGAAACCAGCTTTACCCTCCCCCTCTCCTCGTCTCTTGTCTCGTCTACAAACTTTCATAGTGTCGGGTGGATCCATTAGTTTTGTCGCATTTTTGATTTCTTATGCGAATAGGTTCTATTACAAATAATTTTGTGAAAAGGTCCTGACTTGAATAATTTTTTGTGAAAAGGTCCTAACTTGTATAATTTTTTTGTAAAAAAGTCCTAGTTTGGTCAGAGTATGTAGGAGAGCTGTTAGGGGGATAAATCAGCGCTTCTATGGACTTTTGGACCAAGATTGAAAAGTGATAGTGTTTTTCAATGAAAATAGTACCAGCGACGAAACGTGCGACATTATTAACCGGAAATACTCAATATCTTGTTGTATTTATGTTGTAATAGTCTGTAACAATTATTGGTTCATAAAATTTTATTAAAAATTGTGGTCTGATTTTTTGGGAAACACGATTTTTGGGCTTACAAGGTATAGGCAGAGCTTATGTCAGCTTTAAATTGGGTTTAGAAAGTATTGAAGGTGGTAATGTCCTTGATTGACTTAAAAGACGGCCATCGGTACCACCGTTGGAGGACGGGGGGGGAAGAGAATTTAATATATGTTATGATAAGTTGAAGGATACAAAAGTTCATGATAAGATTAATAGAGATATTGGTCTAGGTATGGCTTTGGTAAGGCTAGGCTGGAATTCTGGTGTAGCCTTAAAAGCCATGTCTAAGTTAAACCTCCCCCAACCTCTTTTTAAATTCTTCCCCCACCCAAGGCGCTAAAATCCATCCCCCACCCTTGTTTTTCCCTTAAGGGTGTCATGTTACAGTAATATTATTTCTAATTTAGGGCTTCTTACTGTAAATAAAAGCCCTTTTTAGGCCAGATATGTCATTTTTTATAGTGATTAAGAAGCCCCATTCTGACAGTAAGAAGCCCATATAAACCGTCTTCACCTAACCTTATACAACTTTATACAACTAACTGTCCATTCTAAAACTTCTTCTTTCTACTGATTGAAAAACCTCTCATCTCTCACAAATTGCACACAATATTCCCGAATTCTCTTGTTTCTTCTTGCATTGTAAAATATTTTACTACGGTATATGGATTTGCAAATTATATTATTATTGTTTCTTTTACAAACCTAAACCTATATTGTACGGAAAATAAAAATTTAAAATGAAAGTTTTGTTTGATACAAAATTAATGGCGTATTTAAACTTACGATCTTTCTGATGCGAAAAGAATGGCGCGTTGAAATATATTTTCTTTTTGATGCAAAAATAATGGCGTGCGGGACTATATTTTCAATTTGATTCGAAAAGAATGGCGCACTGAACTATATTTACATCTTGATGCAAAAAGAATGGCACGCTGAACTAAATTTTCATGTTGATGCAAAAAGAATGGCGTGTGGGCCTATATCTTCAATTCGATGTAAAAAGAATGGCGCGCTTCGACTTATGGTCATCTTGATGCGAAAAGAATGGCGTGTATGCCTACATTTTCGTTTTGATGCAAAAAGAATGGCGCACTACCTCAATCGAGCACAAGAATTTACGTTTCAACGAATTTCAAACTTCGAAATTTAAAAAAAAATTAAATTACAGTCTCCTCAGCAAAGCAAAAATTATATTAGGGAACGCTACAAAACTCTCGACATATGAGCCTTCGGAGAGCTAGGAGTATCCTCATCGGAGACAAATCAATAAGATCGTTTCATCACGGCCCTTAAACAGTTTCTCTACCTTTTGATTGGGTTTTCCTGCTGGCTTGACACAAAAGCTGCACTCTCTCGCTGTTTTATTTCTTTCTCTAACTGCACTGTTGCATTATGACGCACTTTCACTAACTCTTAGCGAAAAAAAGAGAGAAACGTTATGCCAAGACAAGTATTCGCTCATCTATTGGCTGCATCGTGTTTTCGTCACGGGACTAAAAGTGCGTGAGGTTTGTTTTGGCGTTTTTTCTCGCCGCGCTTTCAGCACGTTTAAATGTCCTTGTTGAAGTAAAAATTAATATTTTTGGCAGATTTAAAAATGAACTTTTTTAAATTTAAAAATGAAAACTTTATTTTATATTTATCTTTCTTTTTATATGCTCAAAAGTATCGTTTTAGCTTTTTTATCGTTGTTTTTATAATTTAAACTTAGTTTTTATTCATGATAATGTTTTTTTGCTATTTTTAATATTCGCATTTCAATTTTAATTAAGTTAGAGCTTATTTTTTATAATAATTAAAGTTTTAGGTATAAAGAATGTCTGGAGGAACTCCAGGACAGTTTCAGGCTCGCTACAGGCTGCGTGAGACACTAAAACCGTCTATTCGTCTTCAACATTATGAGCCAAGCCCAACCAAATCTTCTCCTAGGTAGGTTTTTCACAATTTTTTTGTTTTTTATGTTTAGGCAGCTTTATATTATCATCAACATCACGTTTTTGAACGTTTTGACTGACTTTTTTCTTGATAAAGCTGCTGAAAGGGTAAAACAGCGTAGAGTGATTAAGCTTACCTTAAAATAAGTACAAAAAACTTAATTTTATCTTTTAGCATCAGAATGCCTAGTTCGATATCGCTACAAAGGCCTAAGGTGGTGCAACAAACTCGAGTTTACAACAACAAGCAGCCAGTGGAGCCGGTATCAGAAGAAGTAGTTGAAGAAGGTGTAGTAGCGTTTGATCCAGATGATTATCCAGAATACATGTCAGATTACACTACTAGTTTGGGCACTTTTACTAGCAATTACAAGTATCCCACTGAGGAATTGAGTCAGAATTTAAAGTGCAATTTGAAAAAACTCAAAAATATGCTCCACTTTCCTCGTGGACGATTGTAAGTTGTAAAATTTAAAAAAAAGAACGGCTTGTAAAGGAAGTTTTTGCCATTTTTTGTTTTGTAAAGAAAGTTTTTACTATTTTTTGCTTTGTAAAGAAAGTTTTTGCCATTTTTCGTTTTGTATAGAAAGTTTTGGTTATATTTTCTTTCAAAAAGACTTAAAGCTAATGAATTACCTTTCCAGATTTGTAATGTCCGAGTTTTTTTACTCAGCAGTAGACCGTCAAATCTTTTTGGACGAGAACGAGTTCGTCCAACTGATCCAAGACTCTTTTCCAAATTTAAAAACTTCGAAACTCCGGCTGACCGAATGGCGCGAGATCCGTCGCTTAATCGGAAAACCTCGTCGCTTCTCGACCAGTTTCCTTGACGAGGAGCGAAAAGCATTGGCATACAAACGCAAAAAGATACGACAACTTTACAGTGGTACATGTATACGACTACCACCCGACAACGACCTGCCCAAACGATTACCACGCCCATATGTTGTGGGATGTAAGGTTTTTGCTAGGATTCGTGAACCAAAGGAAGGTATCTATGCTGGAACGATCGATGCAGTGTTTAATGAAGGCTACAGAGTGGTTTTTGAAAAGGAGGAAATGATTCCGCCTTCGGTGGTCTCGGTAAGATAATATGATATTTGGCTAGAATATAGGAAATGATTTGTTACCTAACTTATTTTTTTTACTTTGAAAAAAGGGGTTTTTTATTGTTTTGTTTTTTTATCATTTTTTTTGAAAATGTGTTACCTAAAATTTAAATTTTTTGATTTTTTAAATGATTTTTGGAAAATTTGTTACCTAAAATCTTATTTTTTTTAAATTTATAATTTTTTTGTTGCATAAAGAATGGCGTTTACGTTTTTTTAGCGTTTTTTTTGTAATTTTTGAAAAAATTGTTGCCTAAAATGTATTTTTTTTTACTTTTTTTATTGTTTGATGCAAAAAGAATGGCGTTTTTAAATTTTTTAGCATTTTTTTTAATTTTTGAAAAATTTGATATCTAAAATTTAATTTTTCACGTTTTTGGTATTCTTAGTACTTGATGCAAAAAGAATGGCGCCTTTTTTAAACATTTTAAGTCTCAAAGTTTTCAAAATTAAAAAATTTTTATTCAAAAAATTTTTAATAATTTTTGGCCATTTCCAGGACACAGAAGTAATGCCAGAAGTTCAGCCAGAGCTACTGGCCGTTTCCTACTTCCTAGAGCAAAACAATGCGAATAATGCCAAAACGCACAGTTACATGCCCAATACTGTCAGTAAACCGCATTTAATTGTTGATCCAAAACAGACAAGAGTTGTCTCAATGGTTGGAGGACCAAATCAAACTCCGACCTTTGCTTTCCAAAGTCGACAGGTCATTCGTAAGTTGAAATTCTTGGGAAATTTGATAATTTGTGAAATGGTCCGGGTAGATTTGAAGGCTTTAGGTCTGGGTCATAAGATTGGGCGTCTTAGGGGTTTTTGGATTTGTGGCAGATTAAAAAAGGAGGGGGAAAAGCAAAAAAATGTTGGGCGGGGTAAAAAATATTTTTTAGGGGAAGCGGGGGGGGTGAAATTTTTAGTTTTTTAAATTATTTTGACAGATAGGGTTTTGAATTTTTTTTTTAATTTTTGGCATGGTTGATTTTTGAAATTGGAAAATTTGTGAAAAGGTCCGGGTCATAAAGATTTGGACGTTACTACGGTTTGTTTTGGTTGGGATGGGCAGAGAATGGGTAATAAAGGCTAAAATTAATATAGGCAAGGTCTTTTTGAAAATTGGAAGGGCGGGGTGAAAAAAAATTTGGGGGTGGATTAAAAAAAATTTTTTTTGGAGTTCTTTTTGTATTTAAGTCCTTCAATATCAAATACTGTCAAATCTTTTTAGAAAGGCACTTAAAGGACTAGCCTAAACCTGTTTTTGTAAACAGGGTTTCCCACTACCTAGGTATTTTTATAGGGGTTCTATTACGGAGAACGGGCAAAAAGTTGTCATTATAAGGAGGGTGGCAAACTAACGGGGTCGTAATAAAAAGATTTTTTCCGTATACCTAATCTCTGAATATATATATTAGCTTCAGCACGAGACGACAAAGTCGGCAACTTCCCCCTCCGCATGTTGGTCATCATGGTGAAGCTGTTCAAGGTCCTCTCCCACAAACAAACCCTGGTCATGAACCTAAAACTGATGAATGACCGAGCAGAACGAATGCAAATGGTCAGCAACAAGTACCCGATCACGTTCCAGGAACGGTACGCTGAACTGCTGACCGAGTTGGAACAAGCCAACAAGCTACTGGATTCGTACCTAAATGGCATTGATGAATATAATGAACTGCTGGTCACGAACCTTAACGACCCGCTACCGTCGGACAAACCCGACCAGCTGAGGAAGCATACTCATGCACATGCACATCAGATCGTGAAGCATTGTAATTCTCAAGTTCAGATGAAAAACAAGGAGTTATTGGGCTTTATTACTCAGTTAACGGCTATTTTAATACAGGTAAGACAAGGTTTTTATAGTTTTGAGAGGAAAATTAGTATTTTGGAGAGTTCTTTAACAAAAGTTGGTTGTGAAGACATTGTGAAGGTATGGGCAGTACTTTTGAACTTAAGTTTGTGGTTTTTTTGAGAAAAGTGACATTTTATACGATGAAACATGTCCGAGTATGAATGTATTCAAAATGGTTTAAACGTAGTTTTTTAGGATAGTAATAGTGATGTAATTACTAAAAGTTTTAAATTTCGAGGATTTTTTTGAAAAAGTGACATGTTATACGATGAAAAGTGTCCAAACGAAAAAACTTAATTTTGCCATTTTAGGTACGAGAACTGGGCAAAAAGAGCAGAGACAACGTCCACTACGAGCTCAGTGTCATGGCTGAATCCCTGAACCGACTGAAAGGCCGAATCAGTCCAAAAAACATTGGCATCTTCCAAGACTGCGTCGAAATCCACATGAAACAGATCTTCCTAATGATGAACAAAAACAAGCCTTCAATTTGAAGAGCATGACGAGTAGCAAATGTTGTTGGACTTTTTTAAAAATCACGTTGTTTTTTGTACTCTTAAGCTGTTTTTTGCCAAGTCTGTTTTTTTTCTTATTTTTTATTTAGATTTACACGACAGTGGATTTCCGGTATAACGAAAAATTTGTAAAAGCCTCGAGCAATTCGTTATACTAGAGTTTTTACTTTATTTTTCAGAGCTTTGTACAGTTTAAGGCAGCTATTTTTGTACTCTTTAAGATTTTTTAAAAATGTTTTTATTTTTTTAATGAACAAGATCTCAGTATTTTGAAAAAACTTGAAATAAATCAATTAAAAATTGTAAAGTAAGTTTTTGCCGTTTTACTAGTAATGTTTTGATGGTGGAAAAGGAGGTATTGCCTTTTCTTTTTTTGTCATTTACTTTCGGGGGGGGCCTTCAAAATCAGCCTAAATATCCGGAGGGGGCTTAGAATCAAACTTTGATGGTAGATTTTCAGTGTAAATTGCATTAGATAACTTCTTTATTAGTTCTGTTTTTAAAACTTGTTATTTTTTGATTTGTAAGGAAAGTTCTTGCCATTTTTTAGGGATAAAGTGGTTTTTGTTACTTCTTTAGCACTACGCAGCTTGTAGGTGACAAGTCATACCATGAATGTGATTTTTGACGATTTTTCATTTTGTAGAGAAAGTTTTTGCAATTTTTTGTTTTGTAAAGAAAGTTCTTGCAATTTTTTGTTTTGTAAAGGAAGTTCTTTCCATGTTTCACTTTTTAAAGAAAGTTCTTGCCATTTTTTGTTTTGTAAAGAAAATTCTCACCATTTTCATTCAAACATTACTAAAATTTAAAAAAATTGTTATAACTAAAGTTTCTGCAAATTTTGTCATAAATTTGTTTACCGAAACCCAAAACAAAATCCCCCTCCCACCTACCAGACGTGATAGTAATGTTAGCGGGTTGATGCGATCAAGCGGAAGGCCGTGGCTGTTAACGTACCTTAACGTGTGACGCTCTTCTTTGATCACTAATTGCAAATTTTTGGGTAACAAAACATTTCTCCGAACTTGAAATGGTCATCTCGTAGGTTTTTTAAAAAATTTTAAATTTTAGCTTTGTAAAGAAAGTTCTTGCCATTTTTGGTTTTGTAAAGAAAGTTCTTGCAATTTTTTCATTTGTAAAGAAAGTTTTTGCCATTTTCTGTTTGTAAAGAAATTTCTTGCCACTTTTTGTTTTGTAAAGAAAGTTCTTGCCATTTCAACCGAAAAACACTTTTCATCGTATAAAATTTCTCTTTTTTAGGTAAAATGAATCGGACTCACCTTCTATTAGTGGCAATATTAATATTGACCGTCTTCGCTCGTCGCAAGCAAAGTGGTCGAGACGATGGGAACAAGAATCGACTGGGCATGGGAGCGATTCAGAACTGGGATGAAGAGGAAGAACTCCCATTCAGCGACACACAATATGTGCCTTTAACTCAAGTACCAGTGGTTAGTACTAGTACTGTAGGGAATTTGTGAGTTTTCAATTGTTTTTGATGTTTTAGGTAACAAAATAATCATTTCTGATGTTTTGGGTGTCAAAAATGAATTTTTTTTTAATTTTAGGTAACAAAACGACAGTTTTCGACTGTTTAGGTATCAAAAATGTTGTTTTTGAATTTTAGGTATCAACATGTTTATTATTTGCTGTGTTATATAACAAAATGGCTATTTTTTTCAATTTTAGGTAACAAAATAGCCATTTTTGGTGTTTTAAGTATCAAAAAAAAATTTTTTTTGTATTTTAGATATCAAAATAGTAATTTATGATGTCTTAGGCAACAAACTGGTTAATTTTGATAGTTTAGGTAACAAGAACAGCTTTTTTTTTCAATTTTAAGGTAACAAAATGACAATTTTTGGTATTTTAGATATGAAAAATGAAGTTTTTTTGAATTTGAAATTAAAAGCAAAGTTTTTAAAATTTAATTTTCTAGAAATGCAATGTACCCTCAAATTTTAACTCAACCAGTCACAAATCAGCAAACCACAACTATTACAACCTTACCTCCAAAGCTTACAACTCCAGAAGAGCCAGAAACAACCGAAGTGCCTCGAGATGACAAAGCTACTATACCAAGTAAGTAGATCCTTGGCCCTGAGTCTTAGCTCAGAACCCTAAGCCACAGCTCTAGTCCACAGACCTGGCTTAGAGCCCTAGTCCAGATTCCTATTTCAGGACCCTAGTCCAGAGCCCTAGCTCAGGACCCTAGTCCAGAGCCCTAGCCCAGGACCCTAGTCCAGAGCCCTAGCCCAGGACCCTAGTCCAGAGCCCTAGCCCAGGACCCTAGTCCAGAGCCCTAGCCCAGGACCCTAGTCCAGAGCCCTAGCCCAGGACCCTAGTCCAGAGCCCTAGCCCAGGACCCTAGTCCAGAGCCCTAGCCCAGGACCCTAGTCCAGAGCCCTAGCCCAGGACCCTAGTCCAGAGCCCTAGCCCAGGACCCTAGTCCAGAGCCCTAGCTCAGGACCCTAGTCCAGAGCCCTAGCCCAGGACCCTAGTCCAGAGCCCTAGCCCAGGACCCTAGTCCAGAGCCCTAGCCCAGGACCCTAGTCCAGAGCCCTAGCCCAGGATCCTAGTCCGGAGCCGTAGCTTTGACTTGCCCTGTCCTGTTCTACCCGGCCCTGTTTGGCCCCAGCCTTAGTTCCGCCTTGCTCCTCATTTTTTTTGCTATGGCCTGGCTTGTCCTGCCCAAAAGACTTTTTAAATTTATAAATCTAAAACAAGTTAAGTACAGCTTTGGAGCTCACAAACAAGACCATTCTATGGATTGACGCGACTTACAAAGCCGTTGATCAAGGCATGAACTTGTCCACTCTGGCCGAATGTAAACCTTGGTTTGAGTATTGGAAAGGCAATGTTACCGTAAGATTTTTAAAAAGCAGTGCTACAGTAAGAAATTTAAAAGCGATGTTACAGTAAGAATATTGGTCAAAAAAGGCATTTTTAATAAATTTTAAAATTTAATTTTTATTTAATTTTAGTTAAACTCAACAGATTCAGAAGCGGCCGAAAAATCATTTTCAAAAACCTCAACAACGACGGAGGCTTCAGAATCTTCGGAAGAATCAGAACCCGTTAAGAAGATGGAATTTGAAGTGATTGATTCAGGCTCAAGACTAGAGGAAATTGGACTTGATCCAGACCTACTCGATGACTTTGAAGCTGTTGGAGTTTTGTATAAAGAAGTTTGTGGCAATCACTCGAAGCAGTTATGGTTCAGCGACCCTGAAGTGGCTAGAAAGATTGGAATCAATGAGAAGAGCACTATTTGTGATCCCTTTAAGGTGAGTGGGGTAGGATAAGATATAATAGAATAGAGTAAGGTAAGGTAAAATAAGGTAAGGTAAGGAAGGTAAGGTAAAATAAAATACGGTAAGGTATAATTTTACTTTGTTTACGACAGTGCAGTAGAGGTTGGGCTACAGTAATACTATGAGGAAGTTGGTGTAGGGCATGAGTTTTTAGAGATGAATAAGGACCGCGGTACGGTTGATGAGGTTTAGGGTATGATAATTTTAGGATAGAGATGGATTAAGAAAGGGCTGGGGTACTATATAAATAGGTGCAATATAATGTTCAGAACGGTAGCTTTGAGTACGGTATTGTTTTGATTACGATAGGTTTTGGATACGAATGGCTTTGAGTGTATGTATAGATACTGTATGGTTGAAAAGACATACATTACGGTAGAACTAAGGTAAGGCAAGGCTAGAGTTGGGTAGGATAGGGCAGGGCATGATAGGGTAGGCTAATGTAAGGCAGGGCAATGTAAGGTAGGGTAGAGTAGGGCAGGATAGGTTAGGGTTGGGTAGGGTAAAGTAGGGTAGGGTAGTACAGGGCAGGGCAGCTCACTTATAAAAATGTTTTTTAGGAAGAACTTCATCCAAACGCAGAAACATTAACAAGCTTGGCAGTGCAATTGAATGAAGTTATTACAAATTATACTAAGAACATCACTACTGTAGTATTGGACTCAGATTTGGAAACTATTACAGTTGAGCCAACTTTAGACAAGACTACGGCTACATACGACGGAGATGTGTTACAGGTGTTTAAAGAACAGGTAGGTGGTAAAAATGGCAAGAACTTTCTTTACAAACTTAAAAATATATATTTTAATTTCCAGCCTCAGAAGTACCTAAAGCAACGTGTAGTACTAAGACGTCATGTACGATCTACTGATACCGTGGTAATCGAACAAACAGAGGAAGTAAGTACAGCAGCATCAAAACCAAATGAAGAAAGTCCGGATCAAGATTGGCTGGAAGATATTGCAATTGATGGTAAAGAAATTGTTACAGTAGCTAAACAAAGCAGTGAGAATTCTTCGATCGAAGAAGCTTGGATTCAGATCGATGCTACGGATGAGACTAAGTAAAGGACTGCTCTATTTTGCTATATCCTACTCTACTCTAGCCTAGACTAAGCCTCAAAGCATTCTTAACAAATGTTTGTTTCAGTCCACTGATGTACATCTTGTCGACAGACGCGGCCGAAGCTTTGGGTTTAAAAATAGATCCTCATAGTTTCAATCGGTATGAGAAGGTGGTCTTGCATTTGCCTGGAATCTGCGCGGATTATGTTCCAACGGCTGTGGATTCGTTCAATGCTAGCGATTTTGAAGGTATTAAAATTTTTTTATTTTTAAATACCTTATCGTATTTTACAATGACTATAATTGTTTTTTAGGCATCGAAATTGAAGGCCCAATTGGAGTGAATATTACTGCATTAGAATTGGCAGGGGTGAATCTGACAGAATTGGCCGAAAAATTAAGAAATGACACGGAAGTTGATGAAGTTTTGAGCCGAACTTATAAAACACGGTACGTCTTTCTACTTTGTTTAAATATTCTATGTGTTAAGTGTAAGAGTGGTAAAATAATTAAAGCTTTTATGAAGACCGGGCAGGATAGGGTAATGTGGGGCAGGGTATATTACGTATATAAGAATAAATTAAGGTAGGGTTGTTTAAGGTATAGTAAAGTAGGACAGGGTACGGTGTGATACGGTAGAGCAGGATAGGGTGCACCAGGGTTATATAAAATAGGGTAGGATATGGTAAGGTAAGGTACGTTAGAGTAGGGTATTGTAGGATAGCATACGATACTGTAGGGTTAAGCTACAGTACGTTAAAAAAATTTTAAACTTAAAAGAATTACAGAACACTCGGAGGAAGTTACATTTTGCCAGTGCTTCAGAAGAACCAGTACGATGCTTTTTCAGCCCCTATTGTGTTTCAAGGTTCAGCCGTTGTTGTAAGATTCGGAATTTACATTGAGTCTATGAGCAATTTTCAGACTTCTACGATGGTAAGTCTTCTGTTATTTTGAAATCTATTTTTTATAAATTTAAAACCCGTAAGCATGTAATTGTATCCTAATTATAGCTTCATTTTAAACATAATCTCTTTTCTTTAATGCATGTTATTCACGCGTATTTATTAATAACCATGATAACAGAACTATCTATCTCATGCCTTTTACGGGTGCGCAGGGATGGCCGAGTGGTTAAGGCGGTGGACTTAAGTTCCCCTGGGCGTCAGCCCGCGTGGGTTCGAACCCCACTCCCTGCAACTCGTTTTTGAAATTTGAAATTTTAGGAAAGTTAAATAGGGGTTAGGGCTTAGGCTAGGACTTAAAAAGTAAAAATTTTAATTTAAAATTTTTTTCAAGGATTACGACATGGATATATACCTGATAATGTCCTGGCGAGATGCACGTCTAGTCAACCCTTATGACAAGCCCATATTGGTGAAAGAGGAGGACATTTTGGAGAAGATCTGGAGGCCAGACCCGTTCTTTGCCAATGCCAAAGAAGCCGAGTTTCATGAAGTGACATTCTTAAACTTCTTGATGAGAATCTTCAGTGATGGCATCGTTCTTTATGAAACTAGGTAACTTTACCGTTTCCTACTTTACCCAACCTTACCCTACACTATCCTAGCTTACCCTATCCTGCCCTACCCTACCCTACTTTATCCAACCTTACCGTACACTATCCTAGCTTATCCTATCCTACCCTACCCTACCCTAGCCTACCTTATCCTACACTATCCTAGCTTACCCTACCCTACCCCACCATACCATACTCTAATCTACCATACCATACTCTAATCTACCCTACCATACTCTACTTTACTGTACCCTACCTTCTCCTACCGTACTTTACGCTACTGTACGCTAACTTATTCTGTCCGACCCTACATTACCCTGCCTTCTCCTGTCTTGCCTTACCGTATCGTTTCCTTCTTTGCTCTACTCTTAACTTTCTCTTTCCGGCTCTACTGTATTCTATCTTATCATACAATGGTCCGCTCTATCCTACTTTGCTATACCATGACATAACCTGTCTAGTCCGGCCTTGGCGTGCTTTGTTTTACTATGTCCTACCCTAAAATACTTTATTTTGCTCTACCTTACTATATATTATTCTACCCTTCCGTTCTCTTTTTCACCATACTCTTACTCAGCGCTGTTCAACCCCACCCAGCTCTAGTGTAGCCTTGCTCTTACCGTACTTCCTGTAGCGTAGGGTGTAGGGTAAGGCCTTTAATTGTGGTTCTATGTACACCAATTGTAGTTACATTTATTCTTTTCCTTATAGTCAACTAGGGACATACAGCATTAGTTTTAATATATTTATTTTAGGATCAAATTGAAGCCGGCTTGTAACCTGGTTCTTTGTAAATATCCTCACGACAAACAAACTTGTGAATTATTGATCAAATCATGTAAGTTTTGGCAGTATTCTTCTTTTTTCAATTTTATTTAATCATATTTTACATTTTTTATAGAGCGACATTTTATACGATAAAACATGTTTTTCTTTTAAATTTCAAATTTTTTCAAAAAATTGTTTAATTAAAAATTTCAAAACCGCCATTTTCAGTTGCATACCCAGTAGAAACAGTGCGATTTGAATGGTTTACAAACAAAATCGATGCCATTGATAAGAACCCAGATGTAAAACTACCAGAGCTCTACATCGACCGGTATGAGCCTACAGTATGCAACAAATCTCGAAAGTCGGGCGAATTCTCCTGCCTCAGGGCATTGTTCCGCCTCAAGCGAGACGTCGGCTTCCATGTGGCACAAACTTATATACCAACCTCGTTGGCATTGATGTTCTCATGGGTAGGGGTGTGGCTTCCAGAAGAGTTCATGGAAGGTCGGATTGGTGTCGCCATTACAGTACTACTGACGTTGAGTACGGAGTCTGCTGGTGCTAGAGAGCATCTGCCCAGCGTCTCTTATATGAAGGCTATCGATCTGTGGTTTGGGTATATTACTGGTAGGTGGGGTGAGGTTGGGTATGTGGGGTAGTAATGGTAAGGGTTGAGTATGATAAGGCTAAGGTATGGTTTGGTAGAGCAGGGTAGGGTAAGGCAAATCATGTGGCAGAACAGGAAGCAATAGGGTGAATTTTGTTGGGGTAGGGTAGTATGGTAATGTAAGTTATTTTATGGTAGGGGACGGTATTGTAGGATAGCGCAAGGCAAGGTAGGGTAGGGTAAGAGGACAAAATGGCAAAAACTTTCTTTACAAGACAAAAAATGGCAAGAACTTTCTTTACAAGACAAAAAATGGCAAGAACTTTCTTTACAAAACAACAAATGGCAAAAACTTTCTTTACAAAGCAAAAAACGGCAAGAACTTTCTTTACAAAGAAAAAAACGGCAAGAACTTTCTTTACAAGCTAAAATACGGAAAACACACTAAAATTTTAAAAAACATTTTACTTAAAACCGAAAATATTGTAAATTGTTATCTAAAAACCAAAAAATTCTAGGTTTCGTCTTCTTCACCCTGCTTCAAACACTTTTTGTCATTGGCTTTGACAAGCGAGCTAATCAGCTGCGCAAGTCAGCCAATAAGAAGAGAACAGACCTAACTCAAGAGTACAAAGATGCACTGGTACACAAGGCTGAACGGTACCATAAAACTGGGAGGTAAAATACGTCTCAGCTTTTTTACTTTTCTTTAACTATACCTATACATTTTACATTGTCAGTTCATTTTATTAGGTGCCGACATAAAGAGCCCGCCGTACTTTCCCGTAATTTCTTGTAAAGAATGGCGGGTTCCTTATGTCGGCACCTACTGTACTTATACCTTTTACATTGTAAGTTCAGTATACTCAAGCTTCTGTATATGTTTAGGTACCTAGACAACTTTTGTCGCATCTTCTACCCACTGACCTTCTTATTGTTCCTGATCATGTACTACTTTGTGTTCACGGAAGGCCGACAAGACGACTGTATATCACAACGATAATTTTCAAATTGAAAAACTTTGAAAAATACTAGGTTTTTCAAATAATTATGTGCCCCTAATTTCGAAAATTTGATTTGAAAGGAGCACAGAATTAGTTGAACAATCTCATAGATGCATATAAATATACTGCCATTTTATAATGGACTGAAAAAAAATATTTTTACATTTGAAAAAGCTCCAGCTGGGTTTTTTTCTGCCTTGCCGTGCCTTGCCTTGCCTTGCCTTTTCTTGCCCTGCCCCTTCGTGCTCTAAAAGTTACCTTGCCGTAGCCATAACTTTGTTTTTTCCATACCTTACTCTCTATCCCCTGCTTTGCACTAGCCCTGGCTTTAGCCCTAGCGCTGGTCCGGCCTTTGATGCTGTATGCTCTAGCTACTCTGCCCTTCTTTGGCCTAACTTGGATTGCTTTACTATGTTCTGCATTGCGCTTCCCTAGCCCGTCCCTTCCTACCCTGGCAAGGCGATAGCGTTGTCCTAGATAGTCCCGGACTGTCTTGCTCTAGCTATGCACTGCCTTTGGCCTGCCTTAAAATTTTTAGAAAGTCATTTTTAATGAATCAAAACACCTACGAGTTTTTCAATTTATTTCCAGCGTTTTTTAATTATGGAATAACATAAATTGTATGACTTCCGGCAATTTGTCGAATATACAAGCAACAATCACTTATTTTTACTTTTTGGGGGTGTTCTCCTTGACGAACTGGGTCAGTTTGATGGCGAACCATCGAGGATACTTGATGTGAAGGTCGTGACCACCTTGGGCGTGGACTTCAACTCTGAAATTTGGTGGGAATTAGGTAACAAAGCTTGTTTTTGAAATCACTAACCTGCTCTATTCAACCCTAGCACGCTCTACTCTACCCTACCTTACAGTACTTTATCCTACCCTACTCTATCCAGCCTACCCTACCCTACCCTACCCTACTCTACCTTACCCTACCCTACCCTACCCTACCCTACCCTACCCTACCCTACCCTACCCTACCCTACCCTACCCTACTCTACCTTACCCTACCCTACTCTGCCCTTCCCTACAGTATCCTACACTACCATACTCTAGCCTAGCCTAGCCTAACTTACCCAGCCCTACTTTACCACAAAATGCCCTACTGTATCTTAGCCTATCGTTTCTTTCTCTACCATTCCCCACACGAGCCCCAGTCAAACCGTACTCTACCACGCCGTACTCAACAAATACCGTACCCAATGTCTATTGCAGCTTTGTCCAAAACCTAGAGTACTTAAAGCTTTTACTATGGCCCAGTTGGCATTGTGTTGTACCCTACCCTACTTTCTCCTATCCTACATTGCTTTACCTTAACCTACCTTACTTCACCCTACTCTACCCTACCTCGCCCTACCTTATCAAAAGTTACTGTACTCTATCCTACTGAATACTACGTTAATTATAGTATAACTGAACAGTTAGAATAAACGTATTTTACATTCAAAACCCCCCATATATTAAAAAATGTCATCTTAATTTCAAATCTTGTCTTACCGTGAGTTCTGTAGCTTGTCTGTCATGTGTTTTGGGTCTAAGATGAATCGGTCTGTACCTCCATTCACGATCAATACTGGCTGTTTGACTTGACTTAAGGCCATGTCGGATGGGAAGCGACCTCCCAAGTCTTTGTACACTCTAAAAAAAGTTAATTTTCTGTTGAATTTCAAAAAAAATTTTTAAATGCGTTGTTATACGATGAAACATGTTTTTCATTTTTTGTAAAATACGAAAGTGAAAAGTTTTCAGATACTAAATATAGTATTTTAAAACTTTAAAGCACTAAATATAGTACTATGCAAGATCCCAGTACTAAATATACAAATACAAACACTTTAATCACTAAATATAATACTATACACCCTCCAAGTACTATATAGTACTATAAACCCTTCAAGTACCGAACATAGTACTATACACTCTTCAAGTACTAAAAAAGAGTTTAAAAATTTTAAAAAAACCTTACTTCGACACCAAATCACAAAGAGCGGCCCACTGTTCCTTCAAGAACTCCTCCGAGTAATGTGCTAGATAGGTCTCTTTGGCGTTCGGCAGCCATTGGTCAGTGTTCCTCATGCCTTTGAATGCCATATCACCACGGAAGTCGATCTGTGTACTGGTCGATAATAAAATTAGACTGTTGCATTCTCTGGGCGCAAGCTGCGCCAAGTGAATGGCGGAGCGGCCACCTTCGCTCCAACCGAGACAGGTGAATGGGAGTAGGTTTAGTTGCTGAAAAAATTAAAAAACTTTTTAAAATCAAAACTTAAAATTTTTTTTATAAAATATTTTTAATAAAAAAAAATTATTTTGTAAAAACGTTTTCACTCGTATTTTACAAAAGAATGTGTTATGACATGAAACTTAATCAATTTTTGTTTAAAAATGATTTTTTACTTCATGTTTTACCGATTTATGGCTATTTCAATGCGTTTTTCAAAAAAAGTGACATGTTATACGATGAAACATGTCCGAGTGTTAAAAACATTAGAAAACTTTTTAAAACATGTCTAAAAAATATTTTTAATTAATTTTCAATGTAAAATTAATTTTTTTATTTAAAACTACAGTTTTTTAAAAAATGTAACATGTTATACGATGAAACGTGTCCAGACCGATTTTTGTCAAAAATTTTTCTTATCAATGCTTTTCAGGCTCTGAATGACACAAAAAACCCTTATTTATCTCTGCCTAAGTCCTAGCTTAAGCACAAGACTAAAAAAAATTTTTTCTGTTTAAAAATAGTGACATCTTATACGATAAAACATATCCAAACCAATTTTTCTAAATTTTTCAAAAAATACCCGCCCCTTTCAAAAATGACATTTTAGTACACTAAACATTCAAAAAATGAAAATTTGAACTCACTTTCATGAGGGCAATACCAACTTTGGCATCTTTTTTGTTGAGTTGAACTTCTTGTTTGCGGTCTGGAGGGCGACTTTCGCCATAGCCGGGCGGGTCAAAGGCGATGATTGTGGCGAAATCGGGATCGAAGGCTCTTAGCACTCCCTCTGGAAAGTCTTTTTTGTAGCATCCTGAAATTTTTAAATTTTTAAAATTTTTGGATCTACCCCCTCCCTCCCAACTAAAATTTTATTTTTCCCTACCCTACCTCAAATGAAGAAGAACTGCCTTAAAATCCCAGAAAAGCACTCACCAACACCCCCGCAAATAAATAGAAAGACGTAAGGACCATGCCCGTATCGGCAGTAGCCAATGTTCATGTCCATGACTTCGGCGTGTGCTTCGATGATGGGCTCTTTCATGTCGGCCGGAGGCTTGGCGACTTGACCAGCTTGTTGCGGCTGGTTTTCCGCTACCAACATTATTGTCATAGGGTCTGAAATGGCAGTTGTTATAGGGATTTTTGATAGAAAAATAGTTTAAAAATTGTATTTTAGTGAAAACACGAGTATTTAAAAACATATTTGAACGTATAAGATTCACCCGTTTTAAAAAATGTCGTAAAATTAAAAAATTGATTTAAGGGGTAATTAAAAGCACTATTTATAAGGAAAGTACCCGAACTCTCAGAATTATTAGGTACAGACATAAAGAACCCGCCATACTTTTCCTGTAATTTCCTGTAGAAAATGTTGGGTTCTTTATGTCGGAACCTAATAGCTTAAAATTTTTATACTAGACTAACAGTGTTAGTACTAAAAACGCATTTTAAAGTTTTTTTTGAACAAATAATAAAAAATCATGTTTCATCGTATAAAATATCACTTTTTTATCAAAAACGCAAAAGTAACAAAATAAAAATTAGAAAAAAAAACAAAAAGTTCAAAGTCAAACAACATTGAAAATGACATTTTCTTTTTAAAAAATTTTAAAATTTTAAGCACGGGGCATGTTTCATTGTATAACATGTCACTTTTCCCTTAAAAAACCCAACTCGACGAGATTGCAAAAAGATATGTTAAGAAATTTAAGATATATCTCAAAATAAAATTGTAAAAGGTGTTTTACAAAAAAAACTTTTTTATTTAATTTTTAAAAAAAAAGTTAAAAAAAAAGCATGTTTCATCGTATAAGACGTCACTTTATCAAAATTGAGGTGGCCTAAACACAAAAATTTTTTTTAAATATTGAACATGAAGTTAAATGTTCATTTTAAAAAGGAACAGATTTTATTTCTGTTTTTTCACCCTGCCCTGTCCCTCTCTCTACACCCAAAGCAAAACTACCCCGCCCTTCTGTTCTACCTTGACTCATAACTCTGGTAGATAAAAGCGAGCCTATAAGAAGTACAAAGTAAGGATAAAAGAAGCCTAACGTAAGAAAATGACATTTAAGTTAGCCTAAGTTCAGAAGACAGTTTCAAATGAGCAATTCCCTTCAGCAACACCTTGTTATATACCTAAAACAAGAGCGATTGAAACAGTCGACGGAACGTAGAAGCGCATGGTATAACAAGATTAAATCAGATGGGATTCCCATGACTGCTCAAGTTTCTTTGAGAGATCTTTTTGATCGAAACACTTTTACTCCAAAAAAGATTGTCACTCCAAAAGAGATTGTCACTCGACGCAGGTGAGAGTTGTCGAAACAAGTGAAATAATGTTTGTCAATTTTCAGTCGATTAAAGATGACGTAAGCGGGTGAATTAAGCCATCTACTGCTATTGGTTGTTTTTTAAATTTGGTTTACAACAAAAAGATCAAATTTTAATTTGTTTTTCAATTTTAAATTGATAGAAACTTCCTTGATTTACCCTCTACTCCAACCCTTATCCCTAGATCTAGCCCTAGCCCAGACCATAGCCCAGAGCCCTAGCCCAAAGCCTATAGTCCAGAGTCCTGAAATGTAGCTTTATTATAGTTTACCCTCGGCTCCAACTCTCATCTAACCTCTAGTTCTAGCCTTAACCATAGCCGTAGGCATAGCCTGGGCCTTAGACTTATCCTCGATTATAGCCTAGACCGTACTTCTAGAACCGCCATAGCCTTATCCCTAGCTCATTGCAATTGACATGTATCTACATTAAAAAAAATGCCAAAACGTTTTCTAAAACGCCGTAATATTAAACATATGTTTATCATTCTATCGTTACCATTTCGTAATACAGTAATGATAAACATCGTATTGAAAGGTCAAAACAATAAGCAATCGAATCAAATTTTATATAAAAAACTTGTTGCGAAAAGAGTGGCACGTTTTAAAGAGTTTTCGTTTTGAACAAAAAAAGTAAAATACGTTTTTTAAAGTTTTAAATTACTGAACCAAGAAGAATAGCGTGTATAGTATTCCATAATTTAAAAAAAAAGTGTTACCTAAAATTTTAAGTTGCAGGATTTTTTCTTCAAAAAAGTTCCCGAAGATCATAAATTACCGCCCAATTTTTTGTGTAAAACTTACTAATTGATTACTTTTTTTTGTAAGTTCATTTATTGAACTGTTCTTTGACATTTATATAATATTAGCAAGGAAGTGATAAAAAAAAGTGTTGTAATGTTTCAGAAAACCGTTTAAAACTTTAAAAAAATGCACGGAAGTTTAAGGCTTACGTGAAAACTAAAAATTTCAAAATAATAGTTTTAGCAAGGCAAAGAGGTAGAGACCCAGAAAAATTTTTTGGTCCACAGGTAGCTCAGACCCTATATAACAGCCCTAAAATAACCTTGCCATAGCCATTGCCTCTCTTTATTTGAAAACAAAACCTAAATTAGTCCTAGCTGTTTTATCCAACCCTTAAACTAAACAAAAACGTTTGGTTAAGAAAACTACTGCCATAGCCAAGGAAAAACATCCGTCTCTTGCTGTCACTTATAACAAGACCCTCCAAAAAGAAAACTATTTGAAATTTAATTTTAAAAACCTAATCCCCATAAAAATTTGAAACACAGAAAAAGTAAAATGAAACAAACCGAAATCGACTCGGCAAAACTTACTGACGAAAAAATGAAAAACCGCTATTACAATATGAACTTTAGTTTAGCAAGCGCTCTGACGTTAAACCGTACACAAAACACACAAATATTTGTTGCTTTCGACCCAACCTGATTCCGGCTTTTTTTGTAAGAAGTTGCTGGAAACAAAAAAAAGTTTATTAGGGTTTTGGCTTGATGAGGTGACAAATTTGAGAAGAGTTACAGTAGGAAAAAAGTTGACATAATTATTTTAGGCTTGAGCTAGTGCTAAAGCTAGAACTACCCTGTGCTACGACACAAGCTAGGGCTACTAGGGCTCTGAACTAAGACTTTAGGATAAGGCTCAAAGCTATGGCCCTGAGGCTTTGGGCTCTGGGGCTAGGGCTCTGAGACTGGGGCTCTGGGCTAGGCCTTTGAACTAAGGCTCTGGGCAAGGTCTCTAGTCTAGAGCTTTGGGCTAAGGCTCTGAAGTAGGGTCCTGTGTTAGGACTTTGGGCTAATCCCTGGAACAGGGCTCTCGGCTAAGGCTCTGGGGCTCTGAGGGTAGGGCTCTTGTCTAGGGCTCTGAGGCTAGGGCTCTGGGACTAGGACATTGGGACTAGGCCTCTTGGCTCGGGCTCAAAAATAGAATGTTTAGAAGAAATTTTGTTTCAGTATGAAAAAAAATGCAAAAACTTTCTTTACAGATTTGAAAATATGACCAGAACTTTGTTTACAAACTTAAAAACTGCAAAAACTTTCTTTACAAATTCCAAAATAACAAAAATTGTCTTCGACCGTTATCCCGCCGTCCCTCCCTCCTTCCACAAAAATTAAAATCGCCTGCTTTTAGGTTAACGAGCTCTCGAAACACTTCATATTAAACAAAATAAAGCTCAAGAAAGCCCGAATTCACACAGATCTAAAATCCAATCTCACCGACTTATAAATAATATCAGTAGAGAAGGTTCTAGTGTCCTAATCTTGTGTCAGAATCTGTTATCACTTGTGACAAAAAATTCAACCCTTTGGACTTGCTAGTTCGTTGAGATTTGAATAAACACATTACGGATTCTTTAATCAGCTAAGCGATTTTCAAAGAAAGTGCAAGATTTTTTAAAATTTTTACAATAGTACAAAAAAGAAAAACAGCTAGAACTTTCTTTACAAAACAAAAATAACAAGAACTTTGTTTACGAAAAAAATGACAAAAACTTTCTTTACAAACTGAAAAATAGCAAGAAATTTTTTTACAAAATCTAAAAATGACAAAAAAAATTCAATGTATCTGGACGGTGCAAAAATTGTTTTGCATTGCACGGTGTAGTCACTTTTTAAAAATTTTCTATGCCATTCTTTTTATAATAATAAAAGTTAAAATTTATAAAATATAGCTTTTACCACACCAGGCTAAATGTTATAACAATATTTAATACCTAAATATATCAGAAATTGCAAAATGTTAAAAACAAAATTCTTTGCACGGTGCACAAACATAATAATTTTTACAAACCAAAAATGGCAAAAACTTCCTTTACAAAACGAAAAATGGCAAGAACTTTTTTTACATAAAAAAAAATGGCAAGAAATTTCTTTACAAAACAAAAATGGCAAGAACTTTCTTTACATAACTAAAAATAGCAAGCACTTTCTTTACAAAACAAAAATGGCAAGAACTTTCTTTACAAAACAAAAATGGCAAGAAATTTCTTTACAAAACGAAAAATGGCAAGAACTTTCTTTACAAAACAAAAATGGCAAGAAATTTCTTTACAAAACGAAAAATGGCAAGAACTTTCTTCACATAACTAAAAATGGCAAGAACTTTCTTCACAAAACAAAAATGGCAAGAACTTTCTTTACAGAACAAAAAATGGCAAGAACTTTCTTTACAAAACAAAAAATGGCAAGAACTTTCTTTACATAACAAAAAATGGCAAGAACTTTCTTTACAGAACAAACTATGGCAAAAAAGTTCTGTACTTACCTTAACCTACCCTACCCTATCTTACCTTAAAAAATCTACCTCACCTCAAAACTTATACCACAATATAACAAATCGGTTTTTGAGTTCAAAAATTGACCCTACCCTTGAAAAAATTAGGTATAGCATAAAAACAAAAACAACTGTATTACAAAAAACTGTAGTAAAAAAGCGTTCGTTTCTGTAAATTTAAATTCCTGATGAAAATGTTTTTCGTAGCGGAACGCTACAACAAGAGAACAGAGAACTCCCCCTCACTTCCTACAAAAATTAGTACTCGTTAGGAAATCGCAAACAAATAAGCTTATTTGTTGGTTATTGACGAACCAAATTGACTGTAATTTAATTTTCCATCGGCTTTAGCAAGAAAAAAAAACTAGTTCAAAATTTTGAAATCAGTTCAGCTCAAACTGCCTTAACCTGGCCCTAACCCAAGTCCAGAGCCCCAGCCCAGAGCCCTAGCCCAAAGCCCTAACCCAGAGCCCCAGCCCAGAGCCCTAGCCCTGATTCCTAGCCCAGAGCCCTAGCCCAGAGCCCTAGCCCTGATTCCTAGCCCAGAGCCCTAGCCCAGAGCCCTAGCCTAGAGCCCTGACTAAGTCCGTAGCCTCAGAAATAGCTCTAGCCCTACCCTAGCCTTAACCTTAACCCCAGCCCTTTCCTGTCTTGTCCTGTTCTGCCCTGATCTTGCCTCTTCTGCCTAGTCCTAACTAAAACTTAGTCTTACTGTAATCCTACCCTAACGTTCCGCAGCCTTACCTCTCATCATAAAATATCTCTACTAAAGTCACATACTATCAAATCCAACTTTTACTAAAGCCTGGTTTATCCCATGCCCAATTTTATCCTAGCTTAGTTTTGAAATACCGCAGCCCTATTTTAATCTATATCTTCCAAAGTCTAGTCCTAGTCTTACTCTAGCCCAGTTTTATTTTACAACTACAGCCTCATCCCAGTCTACCTTGTCTAGATACAATGTTTCTTTAACCAAACTACTCTTTAGTAACTAGTAATTTCAAAAAAAACCGGTCAGCCCAACCTCTGCTAACATAATGTTACTGCCCCCAACCTATGATAATATAATGTTATTGCAAAATTTTAAAACAAAAATATTTTTCCAAAAACAAAATTTCCGGACCTCACAGATTACCAGATCCTAGTCTAGACTAATGTCTAGACTGAGTCACCTCATTATGCCGAGAAACATATTTCTACTATTTCTTGATTACCATCTATCTATACCTAAATATCAAGAAAAAGCAAGAGAATTAGGTAACAAACTGTTTGTCTCGACCTTTTTAGGTACGAATCTTATCTCCTCACGCCATCTGAATCGTACGTACGATGAAGAAAGGGCATTCTTGGATACACGTGGGTTTAGGAGAGACTGACTGTTATAAAAGAAATGGCAATTTTTGGAAGAAATTTTGTTTACAAAATGAAACATAGCCAGAGAATTGGGAAGAACATGTAAAATGGCAAGAGCTTTCTTTACAAAATAAAAGATGGCAAGAACTTTCTTTACAATACTAAAAATAGCAAAAACTTTCTTTACAAAACAAAAAACGGCAAAAATTTTTACAATATAAAAAAATGTCAAGAACTTTGTTTACAAAGCAAATAATGACAATAACTTTCTTTATAAAACAAAAAATGGCAAGAACTTTTTATTGTACAACATGTCACCAGAAAAAGGGCTTGTTTGATGTAAATGACAAGAACTTTCTTTCCAAAATCAAAGATGCCAAGAACTTTATTTCCAAAACACAAAATCGCAAGGACTTTCTTTAAAAAACAAAAAAATACATTTTATCGTATAACTTGTCACCCGCAGCCTGCAAAGCCCAAAATGGCTTGTTTCGATGCAAAAGACAAAAAGTTTCTTTACGAAAGGAAAAAAGGCAAAAACTTTCTTTACAAATCAAAAAATGACAACAACTTTGTTTACAAAAAACAAAAAAATGCAAGAACTTTCTTTACAAAACCAAAAATAGCTAAAACTTTCTTTACAAGACAAAACATAGCAGGAACTTTGTTTACAAAACAAAAAATGGCAAGAACTTTCTTTACAAACCCAAAAATAGCAAGAACTTTCTTTACAAGACAAAAAATGGCAAGAACTTTCTTTAAAAATCAAAAAATGACAAGAACTTTGTTTACAAGTCAGAAAATGGCACGAACTTTCTTTACAAACCCAAAAATAGCAAGAACTTTCTTTACAAAACAAAAAATGGCAAGAACTTTGTTTACAAAACAAAAAGTGACAAAAACTTTTTTTACAAACCCTTTTTTTTGCAAGCAAATCTTAATCGAAAATAAAATTTTTTGCTGTAACTGCAGAGTAATAAATAATACACGTTTACAAATTGAAGAAAGTCCAACGGAATACTTACCGCCTGGCTGTAAATATATATTTTTACCAGAAACCGGTTACTTTTTTTCCAAAAACACGTGCGTTTCATTTAAAAAATTAGTCAACAAAACTAAAAGATCACCTTGGAAATGTCTTTGAAGATCTTCTTTTTTGGTTTTTTCTTATGTTTTTCATAGTTTGTTGCGACTTTTTGGGTTTTGGGTGCGTTTTCAGTGGAACGACATTTAGATTTTTATCTTTTTTGAAACAAATTTCAATTTTAAAACAGAAAAATGAAAAAAATAAGTTCAAATTTGAAAAAAGTTCAATTTAAGACAGAAAACTTAAAAAAATAGGCGAGGGTAACGTTATAATTATATTAGAATTAAAAACAAGAGGTCAGGCTATGGTAAAAAAAGATTCAAGATAAAGTAGAGGCTTTGGTAAAAGATAGGGTGAAGGCTAAAACTAAAGTTAGGGAAAAGCTGAGGCTAAGTCTAGGTCTAGACTAAAGTTTAAGCTTTTTTTTGGATAGGATTATGCTTAACCTGAAGCCTGGTTTAGTTAAAACAGAAACCAGTGTAAAAAATAAGATAAAAATAGATTCAGGTTAGAGTAAGGGCTTTCGTAAAAAATATAGTTAAAGCTCGAACTAAAGCTAGAGCAAGGCTTGAGCTAAAGAAAGGGCTGGGACTCAAGGTAGGGTTTAGGGTAGAACATAAGCTAAAGACAAGGTTAAGATAATAACTGGCTTAAGCTAAAGCCAGAGCTATAGGCTAGGGCTTTGAGTTAGGGCTCTAGGCTATTGCTCTTTGGCCCAGACTAGCAGAAAAACTATGTTAAATAATACCCTACTCTAATATACTCAAACCAAGCCTAGTCAAGCCTATCTTTTGCAGAACCTTGCTCTGCCAAGTTGTAGGAATACCGTACCCAATGTCTATCCTATCTCTAAACTACTGTATAATATTCAAAACTTAATAGTCTTACCCTACCTTACTCTTGCTCTGTTATACACCACACTATTTTTACCTTACCTTATCAAAACACTAATATACCTTACCTCACCATACCCTAATATACCCCACCCTGTTATACCCTACAATATTCTACCTTTCCCTTCATTACTTTGTCTTTCACTACCTTACCCACTTCTAGCTCAACTTAGAAAACCATAAGTTGAAGTACGTATAATATTAATGAATCATAAGTAAAACTACCACTTTACAAACTATAACCCAAAATTTTACCATTTTCATTTTACAACTCCGGCTTGAAACGAAAAACCTTGCGCGAAAACCAAACGAAAAATGTCTTTGAATTCAAACAAGTTATTATTACGGTTTTTTGTGACGAAACTCATTAGGAAAAGCGGCGAGAAACAAAAAATCACAAAAACCGAGAGGTTTGATTTACAATCACTTTGGTTTTACAAAAAACAAAAATGAATTTCGAACAAAAGTGAATGAAACATTAACCTGTTTTCCTTATTTTTAAAGAATTGTCAGTTATAACATTCATAAAGATCATTTTTCAATTTGAAAAAAGTGTTTATTGAAAAACAATTAAAAATGGCAAGAAGTTTCTTTACAAAACAAAAACTGGCAAGAACTTTCTTTACAAAACAAAAACTGGCAAGAACTTTCTTTACAAAACAAAAACTGGCAAGAACTTTCTTTACAAAACAAAAACTGGCAAGAACTTTCTTTACAAAACAAAAAATAGCAAGAACTTTCTTTACAAAACAAAAACTGGCAAGAATTTTCTTTACAAAACAAAAACTGGCAAGAACTTCCTTTACAAAACAACAAACCGCAAGAATTTTCTTTACAAAACAAAAAATAGCAAAAACTTTCTTTACAAAATATATAACACCAAACCCTACCTTACCACACTTTTAATCATGCCCTATCCTACCCTCACTTTTTCTCATCCTACTCTATTCTACTCAACCCTTCTCCATTCTATTCTGCCATGCCTTATTCTCGCACTGTTTTACCCTGCTTTATTCTACCCTGCCCTGCTTCTTTCAGCTTACCCCTTACTCTCAAATCGGCCCTGTTCACCTTTCTCAACCCCCTACAATCTTCCATGCCCATAAATTAAAAAATAAATCAAAATCCCACCCCATAAATATAAAAAGTCACGTGAAAAAAACCGAATTCTACGTATTTGTTTCTTCGTATACATGTTTTACAGATTCTAATCAAACGAAACGCGTCTCAGTTTCAAAGACTTTCTATCTGATACTAGACAATCAGATATCCGAGTCGAACCGAACGGTTTACACGAAGTTTGAAACTCGTTTTTAATTAAAATGTCACAATTATAGAAAAAACAATTCCCTACTTTATATTGTCCTAATTTGCTTTCTCCTACTTCAACAGTACCTTACCTACCCTACCCTACCCTACCCTATTCTACCCTACCCTACCCTACCCTACCCTACCCTACCCTACCCTACCCTACCCTACCCTACCCTACCCTACCCTACCCTACCCTACCCTACCCTACCCTACCCTACCCTACTCTTTTTTTTCAAGACTTGCGCTTCATCTAAAGCCTATCCTATCTTATAAGACCTGCCCTATCTAAGACAGCTGTAGTGTAACATATATCATAATAGATCATACTATGTAGCTTTTTTCTTTTCCGAACGTTTACTTATAAGCCATTACACAATAATACATTATTACAATCACAGTAACTTTTACAGGGAGCGCCCAATGATCTGTTACACGGTTTTTTAATCATAGATTTATTTTAACAACAAATATAACTAAAACAACAACAAACAATAGTAACATGTAGTACTAGTTATAACATAGTCAGTCGGTTTTGAAGTGTCCCCCCTTTGCGGCTTGGCACAAACGTAAACGCCTCAAAAAGTTTTCAGCGATGGGCCGCAGTACCTCCGGTGACAGTTTGTCCCACTCATCGATCAATGCTTGTTTCAAAGACTCCAAAGTTTGGTGTCTTCTACAACACACTCTTGCCTCCAATATCGACCAAATACTGAAATCCATCGGGTTGAGATCGGGGGAGTACGGAGGCCATTCAGCTGAGGTGATAAAGTCGGGAAAATGGGCCCGACATCACTCCTGTGTTGTTTTGGCTTTATGGGCTGCAGCAGAGTCCTGTTGAAACGTCCATTTGGTGTTCTTGAAGTGTTCTCGGGACCAAGGGAGTACCACAGCTTCCAAAATGTCCCTTTGATACACTTTTTTGTTAATCTTCACGCCTTCATCGACAAAAATCAAAGAAATCTTGCCTGAAGCACAGATACTGGCCCAAACCATAATGCCCCGAGGGTGTTGACGACCTGCCACAATGAATTCAGCTTTAGGAGGCTCTGTTGAGTATTATTTGTCATTTTGGGGATTGTAGGCCTCTGTAAAATGTATATATCCTCTCATCAGTGAAAAGGATTCGTTCCCATTTTTGACCAGCGGCCCGCTGGTCAAGCAGTTTACATCTTTCGAAACGTACCGCCTTGTTTTCTTCAGTTAGCTTCTGAACTTTTTTGAGTTTGTACAGCTTCATCTTAAGTTTCTTTCCCACTATGCGCCTCAAAGTCGATTCTTTGATTCCCGCCTCCCGGGCCATTTTTCGTACTAGGGTCCGTGGATTTCGCTTAAAGCGCTTCTTGATCATCTGACGATTGGCCACGGTGTTAACAGATGCTGGACGACCACTTCTAGGTCTGTCACAGTCATGTCTAAGCTCTTCAAAACGTTTTACGGATCTGTGGACTGTCATTCTTGAAATATTCAACAATTTCGCGATTTTGGGGTTACTTTTTCCTTCATTATTTAATTTGATGACGGCAGCCCTCATGTTTGACATCTAAAAACAGACAGACAGTAGACAATGAAGACTTAACTTTTATGATTATACAATTTAAAAAACACGGATAATAAGCTAAAATAAAAAATTTTAAATAATTTAACCGCAACATTGAGAAAACGACCGGTAAAGTTTTGTAACAGATCATTGGGCGCACCCTGTACAACAGTAAAAAATGAAATTTAACAATTTGCTCGTATATAAGTTTAAATATATTTATAAAAAGCTAATTTAAAAGTTCTACTACCCAATATCTAATCCACAAATTCGTTCGTACATAAGTTTATAATTAAATAATAATAAAACAGTAAATTTGTATATATATGAAACGTTATCACAATTCGCTCGTACACAAGTTGAACGTTATGAAAAGATATTTTTATAAGTTTAGCTACATAACATAAAATTCAATAATTCGCTCGTACATAAGTTAAAAAACCAGGTAAAAAAAATTAAATTCTATGTGTACATAGTAGTATATAACACAGAATTCAACAATTCGCTCGTACATAAGTTAGAAAACCTAAATAAAAGCAAGAAATCAAACTCTATGTCATATATAGCAATAGATACCATAAAATCCAACATTTCGCTCGTACATAAGTTGAAAACCTATATAAAAGAAAAAAATCAAACCCTATGTCATACATAGTACTATAAGACATGAAATTCAATAATTCGCTCGTACATAAGTTTAGAAACTATGTAAAAGAAAAAATCTATGTTTTATGTTAAAACAGTCATATATCTCAATAACCGTACACCCCAACAATCAACCACACAATACAATCGTATGGATTCAAAAAGATATCAGTAATTAAACCAATATGCAAGGTCAAATACTGGGGTAAAAGCTGCAAGTACGATAACGTACAGGCATAAACGTACTATCCGAAACCAAAGCTAGAACAAGTGGGAATCTCGTAATAGTACTATACAGTACGTTAACATATTTGCTACTAAATCCAGTACTTGCTCTCAAAGTACTATAACGAAACCATGCACTATGCCTTATACATATACAGTACGCCCACAATACGACAGTAAATGTATAAACTTTGGCCAAGCTTTATACGTATATAGTACTCTTACAGTACGCTAGGAAAACCGACCATAGTACCCTCACAGTACGATAACATAACCATGCACTACCGTTATATCGTATGAAGGTTGCCCAAGCCTTATACATATATAGTACTCCCACAGTACGATAGAAAAACCGGTCATAGTACTCACACAGTACGACAGTAAATGTAAAAAGGTTGCCCAAGCCTTATACATATACTCTTACAGCACATTGTACTCTCACAGTACGTAAAGAAAACCGACAGTACTCTTACAGTACGTTAGGAAATGTATAAAGGTTGCCCAAGCCTTATACATATACTCTTACAGCACATTGTACTCTCACAGTACCTTAGGAAATGTATAAAGGTTGCCCAAGCCTTATACATACATAGCACTCCCACAGTACTAAAGCACAACCATGCACTACCATTCACAGTATCAAAATGAAAACCTCTCGTAAAAGCACGTACCGAGCGTATAACAGCGCTCATTTTCATATGTAATCTCACATTACAAATGAACAAAACCAGCATTTGCTCGCACAAGCACCGTAATAGCATCGACAAACAACCGTTTATATCAGCCTCGAACTCGTATCTGCTCTGCAGTTACGGTAAATACGCAATGCGCTTCGATAAAACTATCGATATCAACGGACAAACCTAGTATAATTCGGTTTTCGCGTCTTCTTCTTTCACAAAATGCGTAAAATTGGGATTCCGCAGTAAAGATCTAAAACATATTTTTACTCTAGTCACTTCCCTCCGCAGTTGCGCAATGCCAAATTGATTTTTTGAATTTTTTGTGCGGAAAAAAGGAAGCGTCAGAGCTCAAAAGCATGCCATTCCTTATTTTTAAAGGTTGAGAGATGGCGGTTTTTATTTTTAATGAGATATACGGCTTGGGCAACCGTTATATACTCAACGTAATATATAGTACGAATAGTAGTGACAGAACGAATACAGAACAAGTCATAAACATAACGTTTTAAAAACAACGTATTATTTATTGCAATGGGTAGTGACAGAACATTTTTATGAGATATACGGCTTGAGCAACCGTTATATTATCAACGTACTATATAGTACGATTGTTAGTGACAGTACAAATACAGAACAAATCATAAATATGACATTTTAAAGGCGGTTTTTGTTTTTTTATGAGATATACGGCTTGGGCAACCGTTATATACTCAACGTACTATATAGTACGATAGGTATTGACAGTAAGAATACAGAACGAAAGTCATAATGTTGGTCAAAAATATGGCATTTAATAGGCAATTTTTAATTTATTATGAGATATACGGCTTGAGCAACCGTTATATACTCAACGTACTATATAGTACGATCGGTAGTGACAGAACGAAAGTCGAATATAAAGTCATATATACTCTCAAAATGACTTTTAAAATGAGGTATACGGTTTCGGCAACTGTTATATACTCAACGTACTATATAGTACGATAGGTAATGACAGTACGAATACAGAACGAAAGTCATAATATTAGTCATAAATATGACGTTTAAAAAGTGTTTCTTAATTTATTATGAGATATACGACTTGAGCAACCGTTATATACTCAACGTATTATATAGTACAAATGTTAGCGACAGTACGAATACAGAACGAAAGTCGTAATATTAGTCATAAGTATGACATTTTAAAAGCGGTTTTTACTTTTTATGAGATATACGGCTTGGGCAACAGTTATATGCTCAACGTACTGTATAATACGATCCGTAGTGACAGTATGAATACAGAAAGAAAGTCATAATTCTAGTTATGAATATACCAACAGTATTATACCTATAACAGTACAAAACCAAAAAAAATATTGATAAAACTTGAAACTTGTCACCATGACCAGTCATGTGCCTTTTATATATTGTAGTAGTCATACATTTGTTCATTTGAAACGTCTTTGACAAAAGATAAACATCTCTATGAACTATTGCATTTTTGTTACAATTTGAAGATGAACCCGATGATAAAAGATTATTTGTTTACTTTGCTACAAGTCTTAAAAGCATTATATTGTTCATGAACAATGTATTGAACCATGTTTTCGAATTTAGAAGATTTAAGCTCCAAAATTAAAACAAAGCAAAGCCTAAAACAAGCTCAGAAGCCCACGACAATGCTATTCTGTACAGTCGTTGCAGATTTTTTGGGCCAACTTCATCTTCACCATGAGCAATATTTCAAATTTGAGTCTTCGATGCTACTAAACGCAGAACAAAGCAAAGAAAAATAAACTTAATTTAAAATAGTCTTTGATGATCAACTTCCTATCTAAAACATTGATTCCATTGATCCATTTTCCATTTTCTCCATGTTTTCGGGGATCACAAACTGTTGAATTCGTATTTTCCCTCAAAATTTCAGCAAATTTGACCAAGTCCATGACAATATTAGCTAGAGAACATTCTTCAGTGTTTAATAATGTGCCTCAGGTATACAAAAATTGTTATTTTTCTTCCGCAACATCAATTTTCAATCAAAAATTCGAACTTTTGCTTCAAAATAAATTATTTTCAAAAAAGAAACACTTGACTCAATTTTGCGATTTTTGGGTAGGGGTGAGAAAAGGGCCGGGCCGGGCCCACTTTTTAGGCCCGGCCCAGGCCCGGGGCCCAACGTTTAGGCCCGGCCCGTTTTCAATTTTCTCTCAGGCCGGCCCTGCCCGGTCAGAAAATCTCTAAGCCCGGCCCGGCCCGGCCCGTTTTAAAAAATTTTAAAACTTAAAAAATAAACGGAAATTTGGCTTTGCATTGTTCTTTTAGATCATTTGTGTATCATGGTACCCAATAAAATCAAAAACATCAACGGGGATTAAAATAAAAAATTTTTAAAAATTAAAAAATTTTTTTTTCGGGCCCGGGCCCAATTTTCAAGCCCGGCCCGCGGGCCGGGCCTAACCTTTGGGCCCGGCCCGTTTCAATTTTAGCTCAAGGCCGGCCCGTTTCTCACCCCTATTTTTGGGCAACTTTGGTCAATTATCGGCCAATGAAAGTTATCGAAGATGTTCAACAAGTTACTGTTCTTTTAGATGTTAAACTACATTACATTTTAAAAAATTTGAATTTTTAAATGAATTTGTTTATTTTAGAATGTACATGTTTGGAATGATATTGATGTCCGAGGTTCAAGAAGTTGAAGATGGTTGAAGGAGCTTTGAGGCAATTTATCGACCGTTAGATACCTGGATCAATAAGTTGATGGCTTTGAGAGTACTTGGAAATATCAAGGGAATAGAGAATAGTGATCAATGTAGGTTCATTTTGTTTGAAATGCTCTGTTTTTCAGTGATGAGTGTTGTTTTGTCGACGTTAAGGTTGAACAAGATCTTGTTGTTCAGGTTTAGGTATTAAAGTTTGACTTTTATTGATGTTTAGGTAAGAAACTTTGTTTTTATTGACCTGAAAGTAACATTCTTTGCTTTTAGAGGGGTTGTGACAATGATAAGGAACGTTGTGTTAGTTCTACATAGCTATATATTATCATAGACAATATTTTAGCTAACAAATTTTATTTTTAGCCCAAATCAACGATAACTCAAGCTCAAGTTAATTCAAGCTCATCTTCAAGAATTCATTTACCACGATGTACAGCTCGAGAAGACGATGTTCATCAACTGGTCGATTTTGTCAAGCTGTGCGACTTCGGATCTTGTTATAGACAGTTGACTTCAAGAACGATAAGGATTCTGGTCGATACACATGCTGGACTGGTTCCAGGTTGCTTCAGTAGGTTTTAATGGTACTGTTTTATAATTTTAAAATTATTTTTTTTGAAAAAAGTGGGGTGTTATATTGATTTATGTTGTTTTTAAGGGTAGTTAACTTGGGGATTTCTCAGTTGTTTTTTAGTTTTGTGTTTTGGAAAGAAAGTTTTTTCTGTTTATAGTTAATTTTTTGGATAATAAGGAACCTTAAAGTGTATATGACAATATTTATTACCCAAAATTACTGTGCACTAGCGACATTTCGCGAAAACGAAGCGACAGCCGCGATAGAACATAACATTTCCAAAATAACAAAACCACTTTCAGTACAAGCTAGGATAAGTTCGATTAGCAAAATGTAGTTTTGGAAGAAGCCTATGTACACACAAATGGCGATTACAGCCAGTGACAATAGCAGCGAGAAGGCTATGAAGGCGGTTGTCTCTGTTAGGTTACCTCGGCGACCTGAAATAAGTGTAATGTCATTTTATGTTAGAGTGGTAAAGTGGAGAAAAATTTTTATAACGTTTTAAAAGTATACTTTACATTTTTTTGAAAATTTTACGTTTTTTCGGTTTCGAACGCTGTTTTTTTTTAAAGTGACATGTTATACGATGAAAAATGTTTTATCAGTGCAACTTTAAAATTTTGGCGTAAAACTAGTTTACTAGGTCTATAATAGGTACGTTTATATAAAATTTTGATTTATTTTCAATTTTAAAGACAATTTTTGAAAAAAGTTGACATCTTATACGATGAAAGCTGACCTGCCATATAAAACTGTAAACTGTAGTATAAACTTACCCCAAGATATCCGTAGCGCTTCAAGTGGGCCAAAGCATAATAGAATGATCAATTCACTAATGTCAGCATGTTTTGGCAAGTGTAAGTAAGTTGCTAAAAATTATTACCTTTACTGAACAACAGCCCAAACTTTAAAATTTTGTATTTCTTAATACTGCCTACGGTAAAAGATTTTAAAATATCTTTTTTACAATGTTAAAAGTATTACATATACATATTTAAAAGGGTGAACTTACATTTGTATAGATGAATACCCAAAAAACCAAAGAAAAATATGATTGAGAGCTTTGAGTTTACATACAATAATATCTCCAATGGCAAAGATGACCTCTAAAACAAACAGAAATGGCAATGACTTTCTTTACAAAACAAAAAATGGCAATAACTTTCTTTACAAAACAAAAAATGGCAAGAACTTTCTTTACAAAAATTAAAACTTTGAAAATTGTTAAATTTTGAATTTTCAAGCAATTTAAAATTTGAAAAATTCTTACAATTTGTTGAGGTTTCAACATTCAATCCACTAAAGACACCCAAAACCAATGCCTATTTCATGCGCAAGATGTTTAAAAGTGCGCGCAAAAAATATTGAAATAGCATTTTGATTTTGTTGCCATGCCAACACAAAGTTGTAGTGTAACTCGAGTTTCATTCTATTTTTGGACAATCTGCGAATACAAGTAAAAATAACAACAATTATCAATAAAAATATAGGCAGGACGTCATCAGATGGGCACAGTTCAAAATTTTGTTTTCAGTTTTTAAAACTTTTATAAATTTTAAATAAGTTTTAGTTTCCGTAGATTACTGTATTTTTAATCGGTGCTTAAATTATCACTTTTGTAAGGCTGGTGTAAGGACATATAGGTTTAAAAGGCGAGGCTGGGGTAGGGCTAGTACTGGGGCTTGGATAGAAGTAGGATAGGGTCAAAAATAGGCATAGAATAGGGCAGGGATAGAGCTATAGTCAAATCATTTTAAGTCTAGGGTAGCACAATAATAGATTTAGAGATAGAACTAGGGAGGATTAGGTCAGGGATAGTAGTTGGGCTTGTTTAAAGCTAGTAATAGTACTGTGCTAGGGCTAATGAAAGGTTTGTATTTGTGTGAGGGCAGGGCTAGTAGTATGGCTAGGCTAGGGCTAGTAATAGGGCTAGGTTGGGGTTAGGGTAGGACAAGAGTAGATCTAGGGTAGGGCTATGGTAGTCCTGGTAGTAAGGCTAGTTGTAGGACTACGGTAATAGTATTAGGACTAGGGTAAGGCTAGTAGTAAGGCTTGAGTAGAGCGACTAGGATAGAGCTATAGTAATGCTTGTAGAGGGCTAGTATTAAGACTTAAGTCATGTCAGAAGTAGGGCTAGTGTAGGATCAACTAACTTTCTGCCTGGACTTTTTGGGCGATTTTTTATGTTTGGTTTGGCAGTTTTTGAAGTCCGGACACATTTTTAGACTGGAAGGTCCAGGCGAAACACTGGGGTTAATATAGTGTTAGGTTATGATTAGTTGTAGAGCTAGGACAGCGCTAGACTACTGCTTTTGTAAGACTTATATTAAGACAATGGTTGAGCTAGGCTTAAGAGTTTAGGGTAAAATTGGCTAATGTATTTAATTTTTAAAGTAAAATTACGAAAACCCACAGTAAAACTACAAAAATTGTAAAACCTACAACAACTTTACTTTTTTGTTTACAACTCGGCAAAAGTAGTAAGGTTGTAATTAACTACAACTTTAGCTCAAATTTCGCCATAACTTTGTGTGTTTCATTTTGCAAACGTACGCTCTACGTCACGTTGTTGATAATGCTTGTTTGGGTCTTTTGACGAGTACTCGATAGTTTGTTATGTTATTAGTGTGAATCGGAAAAAAGTGGGTTTTGGCGGTGTGGGTGAAAATTGGATTTGTGAGTAAATTGGTAATTGTGACTTTTAATATAAAAAAATTTATAATAATGTGGCTATGGAGGATTTGTTTCATCTGAAGTTTGTACTTTTAAGTAGGCTTGCTTAGACTATAAAAAAATGAGGATAAAGGTGGTATTAGTACTGTTTTACAATTTTTTTTCAATTTTTTTGTTAATAACTCACTAATGTTTGTATTCTTTAGTACTATGAAGCTCTATAGACTTTTAGGTAGTATTGGTACTCTTTTTGCGTAATTTTTATTATGGTGGTACTCGTTTCTAAATTCTGAAGCGGTTGGTACTATTTTTCAAAACATTAAGCGTAGTCGAAACTTTAGTTTAAGCTCTAGCTTAAGCCCTAACCTAAGCCTCAGTTTAAGCCCTAGCCTACGTTCTAGCCTAAGCCTTATCTTCAGCCCTAGTCTAAGCCTTATCTTGAGACCTAGCCTAAGCCCTAGCCTAAGTCTTAGCCTAATATTTAGACCTTGCTTAAGCCATAACCCTAGCCTAAGCACCAGCCTAAGCCCTAGCTTGAGCTCTAGCCTAAGCCCTAGCCTAAGCCCTAGCCTAAGTCTTAGCCTAATATTTAGACTTTGCTTAAGCCATAACCCTAGCCTAAGCACTAGTTTAAGCTCTAGCTCATCCTCTAGCCTGAGTTTCAGTTCTTGCTCTAGCTTGTAACCTAGTCTAAGCTATAGCCTAAATTCTAGTCCAAGCTATAGCCAGAGCCCTAGTTTGGGCCCTAGCGTGTCAAAACCTAGTCTAAGTTCTTGACTAAAGTCGAACCTAAGCTCTAACTTAAGCTTTAGCCTAAGGCCTCAATATAAAATAGTGTAAGCTTTAGCTCAATCTAGCCATAGGCTAAGTCGCACCTTATAAAACAGTAAACCAAAGATTACCGAGGACAATCGTAATTATCCCAAAAAGTCACTTTATTACATTGCAGTTGGTAGGTATTCACATGAGCACGATATAATTGTGAATAAGCGTGCACGAGCATAACCCCCCCATAGGCCTACAATTTCTCGCCCCAACTATTTCTTAGCCGGCTGTCTCTTCGCAAAACACAATTACACCTCGGGTAATTAAAATGTGAAAACCCCTCAAACCAGTAGTGTCAGTCGAGTCAGAAGCGGTCCCGCCTTCGTTCGCTCTTGTTCCGACCAGTTTCACCTGCCCATATTAACATATTAAAGCTAAAAGATAAAGGTTTGGAGGGATTTTTTAGGGTAGAGAATAAGACGGGGATTTATTTCGGAAGTTATTATATAGTTAAGGAGGTACAGTTAGGGGTCATGTGCAGAGAGATGTGCTGTTGAGTACGATGATAAGGAGAGTAGAAGATGTGCTGTTATTTAGGATGATAAAGTACGAGCTGTGATAGGAGTTGTGCTGTTGAGTGCGTTTATTAGAGTAGAGGATGTGCTATGTTGAATGATATAGTACGAAGAGTAAACTAGAAGATGTGTTATTGATTACGATGATTAAAATAAAGGATGGGCTGCAGTAGAATCAGTGTTTTGCCGGACCGGTCCGGTCCGGATTTTCAAAAATTGCAAAATTGAAAATAACTTTTTAGCTTATCGTTTGAAGTTATAAAAAATAGATAACTTTTGTGAAGGTCCGTCTTCGGCTATCAAGTTATTACCGAAATGGACCGCCCGGACCGGCAAGACCGATTCGGTCCGGCCGGTCCAAATTTTTAGCGAGGAACTTGTATGAGACGGACTTTCACAAAAGTTACTTATTTTTTAAAAGTTCAAACCCATAAGCTAAAAAAGTTATTTTCAATTTTTAAATTTTTTGAAAATTCGGACCGGACCGGTCCGGCAACACAGTCAGTAGAATGATAGCACGAGATGAGTTAGCGTGTACGATGATATAGCACTAGATGTTCTAGGAGATGTGTTGTTAGTACGATAATATAGAACGACAAAGGTCGCTGGTTTTGATTTATTAGGTACCGACATAAAGAACCCGTCATTTTTTACAGGAAATTACAGGAAAAGTATGACGGACTTTTTATGGTTGCACCTAATATATTAGGAGATGTGCTGTTTAGTACGAGGAGTAAAAAAGGAGAGGTGCCGTTGAGCACGAGGATATAGTATGAGATGGGCTGCTGAGCAAGAGGTGTGCTAGAAGGTGCACCGCGGAGTACAATGATTAACGTATATTATGGGCTCTTAGTTAGGACGGTAAAATACGTATTTAGGATGGTAAAGTACGAGAGGTAAACTAGGAGGTGCGTTGTTGATTACAATGATTAGAGGATGGGCTGCTGGACATTAATTGCCGACATAAAGAACCCGCCATACTTGTCCTGTAATTTCTTGTAAAACATGGCGGGTCCTTTATGTCGGCACCTAATAGAATGATATAGTAATAGACGAGCCTTAGGGTGCAGTGATAAAGCAAAAGAAGGACTGTTGAATAAGGTATTATAATAGAAGATGGGCTGGTGAGTACGATGATAAAGAGAGTAGAAGATATGCTGCGGAGTACGAGGAACACCACGTATGCTGTCGAGTGCAAAGAGTAGAAGATTTGTTGGTTGGGAAAACAATGTTGTATTTGGGTATTGGTGTAAATGTAATATCGTGCTATCGGCTGGTTTGTAGGTCAATTGTAATGGGAGGGTTATGATGGGCAGAGTAAAGCGATTTCTTTCCATTTTTAATTTTGTAAACAAAGTTCTTGCCACTTTATATCTTGTAAACAAAGTTTTTGCCATTGTTTGTTTTGTAAAGAAATTTCTTGCCATTTTTTGTTCTGTAAACAAAGTTCTTGCAATTATTCTCAAAAAATCTTTCCATTTTTTCAAAACACTGTACTGTTGTTGACAATAGCATCAGTTAACATAATTATTGGCAGTGACGTAGGCGTGGCATTTTTCGTTAATTACTACTGCGAAGAAGGTTTTTTTTCATTATTTGTTATTGTCATAAAAAGTCATATAATATAGTAATAACTCGTTCCGTTTTGGGTATATTTACTTTTACCTTACGGAGAAAATGGCAGCACTTCAGACCTAGCTTAAGGCCTAGCCTAAGCTCTAGCCTAATTTTTAGTCTATGGCACAGCTTATAGTCTAGTCTAAGAGAAAGCTTGGAACTAAAGTTTTGAAAACTTTAAATATGATGCAAAAAGAATGACGCATTCATAAAAAATTTTTGATGCAACTTGCTGCAAAAAGAATGGCGCGTTTTAACGAATTTTGTTTTGGATTCAAAAATAATGGCGTTTTCAAAAAAAATGTTTTGTTGCAAAAAGAATGGCGCGTTTTGGAATATTTTTACTTTGATGCAAAAAGAATGGCGCTTTTTAGCCAATTTTGTTCTTGATGCGAAAAGAATGGCGCCTTCATAAAAAATGTTTTGATGCAAAAAGAATAGCGCTTTTTAACGAATTTTGCTTCTGATGCAAAAAGTATGGCGCTTTTAAGCCAATCTTGTTCTTGTTGCGATAAGAATGGCGCCTTCATAAAAGATTATTTGATGCAAAAACAATGGCGTTTTTAAGCCAATTTTGTTGTCGCTGCAAAAAAAATGGCGCTTTTCAACAAATTTTGTTTTTGATGCGAAAAGAATGGCACATTTAAAAAAATTTTGTTTTTGTCGCAAAAAGGATGACGCTTTTTGGTCAATTTTGTCCTTGATACAAAAAGAATGGCGCGTTTTAAAGAATTTTGTTGCAAAAAGAATGGTGCATTTCAAAATTTTTTGCTTTGATGCAAAAAGAATGGCGCTTTAATCTTTCATATTTTCAGCTGGTCCAAAATTAAGCCGCGAAAAGAACCAACCCTGGCGGGGGTATTTTTGTCGTCGAACATTTGTTCGATGTCGGCCAAGAAAATGGACGAAGATGATGACGGGTTTGATGACGTTGGTACGGTGGACCTGGATCCTCCTAGTCATAGCTATACAAAGCCGGCTAGTTCGGTAAGATTTTTCCTTTTAACTTTATTTCTACCCTTCTACCGTCACTTTTACCTTTGCCTTTACCCCTAATCTTAATACGTAAAGGTTTTTCTTTCTATTAAAATGTCTTTTTTTTAGAAAAACCAGCTAAAACCCCGAGGGCCGCTTCAACGGCCGCTCACAGCGGTCAAAAGTGTGAATACTCGAGCTTCTACATCGTCGGCTTCTTCTCGATCTACTTCTTCGACTACTGATGGGCGAGTGAATACTGCACAGAGTATTCAAAGCATGAACAGTACTATTTCCAATTTTTGTAAGTTGTCAAAAAAAATTTTTTTTGTTTTTTTTTGTCAATTTTAAGTCGTATTGGCTTCTAATTTTAATATTTTTTGAATTTTATAAAAGTTAATGATTGTCAACGTGCGCCCTACGAAATATTGAGTTCTGCAGCCTGCGCTTTGTTATAGTATATAGCAGTTTGCCCTTGCTTAATATAATATACTATGTATTTGCAGCTAAAAAATATTATTTTTTAAAAAATTTCTTTTTATTTTTTGAAAATTTTTATTTGTAAAAAAAAATTTTTTTTGAAATTTTGAAATTTTTAAAATTTCAATGTTGACGTAGTAAACTTATTTTTTAAAACTTCTGGAACAAGGTAATTTTAAATTTTAAAATTCAATATTGTTGTTGATTACTTAGTATGTTGCGTGTTAGAATGTGCACTTTAAACTTTCAATTTTAAAATTTTAATTTTATTAAAGATGTTGTCTCACGCAAGAATTCTTAATCACATGTTACATGTTTAGGTAATATAATTTTTATAACACCGCTAACACGCGCCATTCTTTTTGAATCAAATTTAAACTATTTAAAATTATGAAAAATGGCAAGAACTTTCTTTACAAAACAAAAAATGGCAAGAACTTTCTTTACAAAACAAAAAATGGCAAGAACTTTCTTTACAAAACGAAAAATGGCAAAAATTAACAAATTTTGTTTTCGAAATTTTATTTTTTTACAAATATTGTTTTAGCCTCGGGCTCCGACGACTACTCAATATTCCTGCCATCCACCAACTCTCCTCTAATTCCAAAAAGCCAAAAACCTAACGGAAATACAGTATCCATCACAGCACGCGGACGTCACATGTCTCAAGAAGATGGTCGAGGCCTGAGGCAGTCCAATCCGACCTCGTTCAGTACGAGTACTCTCGACTTTTCCAACATCAATTTTACAATGCGACGAGTGGATAGTAAGGGCAGTCTACTGAGTAGCCATTCGGCTTTGGCTATGCGAAACAAATGGCTGGACGAGAAGCTGAGTGATGACAAAAACGATGACAAGAACAAGACTTATGATAATGATGACAAAAAGCCACTATTGACTGTTGGAAGCTTGGAAGAGAGGAAGACGAGTTTGCGTAAGTTTGGTAAGAATAGCAAGAACTTTCTTTACAAAATGAAAAATGGCAAAAACTTTGTTTACAAGTCAAAAAATTGCAAGAACTTTCTTTCCAGAACGAAAAATGGCAAAAACTTCTTTTACAAAATGAAAAAAGGGCGAGATTTTTCTTTACAAACCAAAAATGGCAAAAACTTCTTTTACAAAATGAAAAAAGGGCGAGTGTTTCTTTACAAATCAAAAAATGGCAAAAACTTTCTTTACAAGACAAAAAATGGCAAGAACTTTCTTTACAAGATGAAAATTAAAAAAATTCTTGTTTTTAGATGACACAGCGGAAGAAGATGCTCTAGCTGTTCGATTCAGATCCATGAAGACGAGCGTCTTGCCAAAACCTGAAGAAACGACTTCTGAAGGCGTGGCAACTGTAAGTTTTTTTCAAATTCGAAAAATTTTTTGGATCAAATCTCTCATTGCGGGGCTTAAGCTGGGTCCCACGGGCATTGATTTGGGCCTCTGGGGCCTTGGTTTGGGTTTCTGGGGTTTTGTTTTGGGCCCTTTATGTTTTGGTTTGATCCTGTAGGGCCTTGGTTTGGGTTTCTTGGATCTTGGTTTGTGCCTCTGGGGCCTCGTTTTGGTCCCATTTCGTTTGAGCTTTTAATGCCTTGGTTCGGGCCTTTAGGGCCTTGGTTTGGGCCTTTGGTGCCTTGGTTTGAGCTTGTGGGGTCTTGGTTTAGGTCTTTGGGGCCTTCGCTTGGGCTTATGATTCTTGGCTTTGGACCTCTGGGGCTTTGGTTTGGGCTTCTTGGGTTTTTGTTTGGGCTTTTGATACCTTGCTTTGGGCCTTTGGGGCCTTGGTTTGGTCCTCTGGGGCCTTGGTTTGGGTATCTGGAATCTTGGTTTGATCCCGGCCTTCAGGACAACATGTGCTGTCTCGGAGCCTTTCAAGTTCCTTTTGGCCTCGGCTTAGTAGTCTTCTTTTCAAGTCTAATTGAATGTCAACTACCTTTATATTATCCATGTGGCAGAAAATTAAAAACTTTTCTCTCTTCCTTTTGTTACTTTATTCAAATTTTCTCAATTTTAGTCTTCAAAAAAGCCAGGACCATGCAGATGGAAGTCAAAGGACGACTGCGAATATGTGCCTCCATCTCGACCGGTCAGTCAATATCTGGGCGAATTGGTTTGGCAAGTGGACCCGGTCGTATATTGTGGTAGTGTGAAAGCGGTCCAGAACCTGAATTTACTCTGTCGATTGAACATCGAATACATTGTGGATTTGACAGGAGATGAGGAGGAACAGCTGGCTAGGTATACAAGGTGTGGCATTTTTTAATTTTTTGTTGTTTTAGGTAACATGAGTGTTTTAGTGAGATTTCCGGTGGCAAAGTCCACTTTTTGACCTAGTTATGTTACTAATTTTAAATTCCAGACCTCGTCAAGACTACCCATGTATATGTTCTCGTAAAACAGCCCACAGTCGATGGACAGTCTGTATCAACATACGAGATGAATCACCTCCAAACACATCACGTCGTATGATGGATGATGAAGATAGTGCTGAAGCCGAGGTGATAGCATCGTATTTTAAAGAGGTGGTGGAAGTGATACGAAGAGCACGATTGGCCAATAAGTAAGGTTTTGTTGGGGGGGGTATGGTTCAAAAATTTTTTTGAAAAAAAGTAGGATTTGCCTCCTCCCTCATTCTTTTTAGAAAAAAAAAAATTTTTTTTTAGAAAAAAAATCCCTTCTCCCCCCCCCCATCTTAAAAATTACCCCGCCTAGCCCAGAAATTCAAACAAAATATGTAGATTACAAATGTAAAACAATATTAGATTAGACTATAATGAGCATTACTTTTAGAGCAGTGTTGATTTACTCAGTAAAAGGCCGAAACCGTGCGCCAGCCTTCGCCGCCGCTTACATTATGGATCTTCAACGTTGTACTCGGGTCCAGGCATTAGCTCAGATTGCCGAGAGGGTAGGGGTTTTTTATTTTTTGGGCGTGGCAAGGTATTTTAGAGTAGGGTAGGATAAGATAGGATTATCTTTTAGGCAGGGTAGCTTAGAAAGGGTAGAATACTGTAGGGTACGGTATGGTAGAGTAGGGTAATTTAGAGTAGGATAGGATAGGGTAGGGTAGAGTGGAGTAGGATAGGATAATGTAGGGTACAGTAAAGTAACAGCATGGTAGAGTAGGGTAGGATTATTTTTTAAAAATTTTTGTTTATATTACCCATGCCATTCCTTCTATTCCAGATGTCGAAGACCCGGCCCGGACTCGACGTGTCCAACGTTCTTCACCGTGCCCTCATGAAGTTCCAATACTCGATGGGGATCCGTGCCAACGAAAACGTTCTCACCCCACAAACCGCCGATGTTTTCACGGTGAAACGCAAAACCGCCTGGGATTAGTCGCCAAATTTCTAATAATAAACATTAATAATTTGTTTTTATTTATATCTAATTTTGTTAAAATTAAGGGTTTAATAAACTAAAATGACGTTCTTAAATGTGAATTTATGCATAAAAAATTTCATTTTAGTGAAAAAAGAAAAAATAAATGTAAAAGTAGGGTACGGTAGAATTACGGTAACTTTTTCAAAACTGCCAATTGTAAAATTTGTTTTAATGAATTAGTTAGATAAAAGAACGATCTATGATTGCTGAAAAAATTTTGATTTTAGCTATAAAAAAAATTATAATAAAAAATAAATTTTGTTTCGACGACGAATTTTTCCGAAAAATTTATGAATTATTTCGATTTCTTTTGTTCAAAACCTTGTTTATCGTTGCTTTTTTAATATTTCGAACTTTTTAGGTCTTTGTTTATGTTTCTCTTTCTAGAAATCTTGTGATGGCCGCGGCTTCAGACATTGGAGTCGAATTTATAGGGCCATCTCGACCAACGGCCAAAAGAAAGGATCTACCTCAATATCGAGAGGACTTTCAAGTGTTTAATGGAATTCCAAACTATCCGGTCGATTATTTGTTTGATGGTAAATTCAGGGTAAGTGTTTTGAGTTTTTTTTTGAAATTTAGGTAACAAGAATAAGGAGATTGAAGATGTTGCGGATTTTGGCTAAAACTGAATTTTTTTTAGAAGTTTAGGTAATATTTTAGATGTTTTTCGAAATTTAGATGTCTACCTGAACTTTTCTTTCAAAGAAAAGCAAAAATAGGGTAGTTTCTAAAAATCAGATATCAGTTTGAACTTCCTTTCTAGATTTAGGCAACAATTTGAGCTATTTTCAAATTTTAGGTATCAATTTGAACTTTTCTTGGAAATTCAGCCATCATTCTTTATTTTCTTTCAAAATGACACTTAAAAATTTATTTCAGATTAAAAGCCGAATTAGCTGGGACGATCGCTTTGGAGCTACATACATTGCAGCACCAAAGAAGCCGTATCATCCTCATGTAGTCCTCAGAATCGACAATCTTCGAAAGCACAATCCATCTTCATTAATAACCGAGCTTGAAGTGTTGTCGTTGGCGAAAGACAAAGGGAAGATCAATTATTTTGGTGAATTTCTTCAAGAAGGATGTTGTAATGGCGAGAACTTTTGGTACACAAAGAGCTTCAAGGCTGGTCCTTCGCTGAGGCAGATCACTGAATGTATGGGTGCAAAATATGGTCGATTATCTTCAGCTACTGTTGGAAAATTTGCACTGGATTTGTTTGAGGTAGGGTCGTGTTTTGGGATAAAATAATTTACATTGTACTGATTTTAAGCACCTAAAACAATATCGGGAAACTTGAGTCTGTATCTTGAAAACTATTTATCAGTTTTTGTTGATTTTAGGCTTAAATTAATCGTTGTCGTATGCTTTTTGTGAATGTAGTAAAAGCAATACGTTATTTATAGCTATTTTGGAAGTTATACCTAGTTTTAGGTATCAAACGAAATACTTTTTTTTATTGTAATATAACATTATAAAACACTCTTTTTAGATAGTAAACTTCCTCCACACTTCCAACTACCTCATCTGTGCTATAGATCAAGATCTGTTCCGCTTGGACACCGAGTCTGGCACGTTATTTCTTGCTGGTCTATCTACAATGAAACATATGAACGATAACAACATCACATGGACTGGATCATTGGATTACTCGCCATTAGGCTGGTCAGAGCATAATCCAGACCCGGTTCTGAGGGAATGTTACTCGAATCTTGAACTTGAGGCCGTCTTCTACTTGATAGCTCATTTGGTTTCTGGTGAATTACCATGGATCAAAGATGGTACGATGATGGTGTATCAAAAGAAGATGAACAATGTTCATAAAGGTGCTAAGACCTGGGAGAATTTGCCTCATGTGTAAGTTTGATTGTTAAGGGTAGAGCAGGGCATGGTAAGGTAGGGTAGGGTGCGGTATAATAAGTTATGGTCAGGCCGGGTAGGATAATGTAGAGTAAGATTGGGGAGGGTAGAGTATCTTATTAACACTCTGAGTCGTTTTAAATTAATCTTATTCTTTTAGCTACCACAAGCTCTGGACTGAAATCATCAAAATTGTGAGATCAGATGAACAATATAATGACATTTCTTCTATTCTTGACTACTGTAAGCAAATTTCCTGTTCAAAGGATGAATGTAATAAATACGAGGGGATGGACAATAAACCAATGAATGAGGAATTACGAGAATTGTTAGAGTATATTGATGTAGACGGCGATGCAAGTAGTATAACGAACGCTTCGATGAGAGATAACAATATGGATACTGCGGCTACAGAACCCGCTCAGACGTCTATGAAGCAAGAAGCTGAGGATGTTAATGTAGTACAAGATGTAGAAGTCGTTGGAAATGGCAATATTGATCGAATTACGATTGGGAATGACAGTAGTAATGGAGATACTATTAGGAATGACAATATCAATAGACTTACGGCTAGAAATGGCAATATTGATAGGAAAGCGATGAGAAATTGCAATATGAATGGAAGTACAGTTAGAAGTGGCAAGATTAGTAAAAGTAAGATTAAAAATGGCATTAGTAATGAGAGTAGGATCAGAAATGGCAGTAGTAGGAAAAGTTTGATCAGAAATGACAATTTGAATACACATACGATTGGAGATGGCAGTAGTAACGAAAGTACGATTAGAAATGGCAATGTGGATTATACGGCTATAGAATCTGCTCAGACGTCTATGAAGCAAGAAGTTGAGGATGTTAATGTAGTACAGGCTGTAGAAGTTGTTAGAAGTGGCGATATTACTGGAAGTACAATTAAAAATGGCAATAATGATGGAGGAACGATCGCAAAGAACAGCAATAGTAATGGAAATACGATTATAAACGGCAATATTGATGGAGGGACGATTGTAAATGGCAGCACTAATGATGTAGAAGTCGTGGATTTAGTATCAGAAGATGGCTTTAAATATTGTATGAACAACAGCAGTAGTGAAGGAAGTACGATTGTAAATGATGATAACAGTAGAAGACCTTCAAGAAATTGCAACCAAATTCAAACTTATATGCCTCAATTTAATTTTATCGATGTTCCTGACAGTCAAGTTCAGAATAGAAGCAATGCTATTCTTGGAAGCAAGTCAGCGAGTAGTGCTGGTGTCAGTTCAAAATCTTCTACCAAAGGTAAACCGAAAAGACGTTCCTTGAACGATCGAAAGTCTATGTTTGATGGCGCTCCATTTCATCCGGTACTGTAAGTTCATTTTTATGTTGTAGGGTGGGGTAGGGGAAGGAAGTAGTCGAGTAAGGTAGGGAATGGTAGGATTGGGCAAGGTGGAATAGGGAGTAAATTAGTAGGACAGTGTAAGATATAGTATGGTAAGACGAGGTAGAGTAGAGCAATGTCGATATAATAGGACAGGGCAGGAAGGAGGTAGTCTATTAGGGCAGGGCGGGGTAGTGAATAGCTAATTAGGACAATTGACGGTAGAGTAAAGTAGGGTGGGCAGGGTAAAATGTGGCAGAGCAAGGCAAGATAGAGTAGAGCAGGCTAAAGTACGGTAGGGTAGAGAAGGGTGGGTAGGGTTAAACATTAGAAACGGGCTGGGCTTAGGTTTAAGGCCCGGCATGGTCTTTTCTGGGGCCCGGCTCGTTTCTCATGTCTAGGTACGGTCGGGTAGGGTAGGGTAAGGTAGGACAGAGTAGAGCAGGATAAGGTAGATATTGGTAAGGTAGGGTATAGTAGGGCTTGTTAAGGAAGAACAGTGTAGCTATTGACCACTCTTCCCATTTGAATTCGGTTTCATTGCAGAGGCACTCTCGTACCGAGTGGTGGTAAACACTTTAACATTGAACATGCTGGACACCACTACTTTTACGTAAGCTCCACGAAACGTGGTATGAACACGTACATTTGCAATAAATGCCGAAGGATAAGTGGCGACACCAAGAAAAAAGCCAAATTGGGCGCTGTTCAGACCAATGAAACTAAGGTCCCAGTCCAGCTACTAGGCAGTCATAACCACAGATGCATTGATCCACCCTCAGCTCACTGATTGTCACTATATTTCAACTATGTATATTATGATTGACATATTATTAACATTTTTTGTTCATAAAATATTTTGTGGTTTATTATTGTGCAAGAACTTTCTTTACAAAGCATGAAATGGCAAAAACGTTTTTACAGAACTAGAAATTGCAAGAACTTTCCTTACAAATAAAAATGCAAAGAACTTTGTTTACAAGTTAAAAAATGACAAGAACTTTCTTTACAAACAAAAAAATGGCAAGAACTTTTTTACTTTATTAAATACAACAAGAAGTGTAATAAAATCAACAATAATAGGCAAAAAAGTAGAAAAGGAAACAAAATAGAAGGATTAGACAAAGGTTAACAAACCAAAATAAACCATGTTAAACATTAAAAAGGCAAAAAAATGCAAAAGGTGAATAAAATGAAGAAAAAACTACAAAAACTTTACTTCCAAGGGAAAATTCTTTAAAAATAAACAATAAAAACCCGAAAATTAGCGAAAAACCCGCAAGAACTTTCTTTCCAAATCACATGTTTTAAAATTATGAAAAATTTAAGAAATGTGCAAAAACTTTCCTTCCAGAACAAAAAATGGCAAGAATTGCCCCTTTTCAAGGCAAAAAACAGTTAAAACTAGAAATTTACGAAAACCCGTAAAAACTTTGTCTCCATGAAAGCAAAATTTTTTCAAAAACCAAATAAAACCTACCCCGACCAAAAAAAGTAAAAGGGCTTCAAATCCACCCCTAATTCGAATTAAAACAACACCCGGCTCCAGAAAATGCAAAAACTTTAAGAAATCCTTACCTTATTCGAATAAAAACAATATAAATTTACCCTGCGGCAAAAAATCTTTGAGATCCACCCTAATTTACATAAAGACAATAAAATCCAACCCACATCAAGAATATACAAAACTGATCAAAATCCACCCCTAACTCAAAGAAAAACAATGAAAATCCACGCCTCGTAAAAAACCACAAAGATTATTAAAATCTACCCCTAATTTGAAAAAAAACCCAACTAAAATCCACCCCTTTTCAATAAAACTCCTTCCTCTGATCCAACTCGATCTTTTGATAGACCAACCTCAGGGTTGTCATCGCATCTTCCACTGGGTTGTGGCCGTTCCTTTGAATCTTCAGGTTGAGGAGGTCCCTTGCCAAGCTCTTCAATGAGTATTTGGCATCCTTCTCGGTCAGTTGGAATAGCATTGACGTGTCCACCACATTCATATGAATCATCTTGAGGGCTCGAAAGTCAAACTCGAGGCTTTGGCCAATTAGGATCGTGTCCTGCTTGATGTGTTCAAAGAGTTTGGCACGCATCTGGAATCAAGTTGATTAGGATTTTAAGAAGAAATGACAAGAACTTTCTTTACAGAACAGAAAATGACAGGAACTTTCTTAACAAACCAAAAAATAACCACTATTCACATTCTTCGTATACCTTGTCACCTCTGCGAATAGGCCGGTTTTTGCGATTTTATAATTTGTAAAGGAAGTTCTTGCCATTTGTCGTTTTGTAAAGAATGTTCTTGCCGTTTTTCGACTTGTAAAGCAATTTCTTGTCAGTTTTTATTTTGTAAAGAAAGTTCTTGCCATTTTTTGTTTTGTAAAGAAAGTTATCGTCATTTCATAGCCTATAAAAAACTTAAATCTTTTTAAACCCTCACCTCATCAAAAGTCATATCAACATCCATCAGATCCTCTTCGGTAATACCTGAAGTCCTCGTATTCAAATCAATAACTCTTCCTCTTGGCTGAACAAAAGTGTCAATCAAAACGGTACCATTCCTGTCGAGCAGTACCACTTTGACCACTTCCGATCCCAACGTGGTGAAGATCATTTCACAGTCCAAGGCATAGACCCGTCTTGCCGTTCTATCATAAGGTCGGACGGCTTCGGTGCTTTTAAAATGGCAATTCAGATCGTTTTGAGTGATTTGTTGGTGCACATGGTACTGACGAGTGGTACATCCCTCTGAGTTGTAGGGTTGGCCACAGCAAAAGTACTGGGTTTCGTATGGAGACTTGTAGATTACCACTGGAAATCAAAAAATTACAGTAAGATGAGTCGCGGTAGGGTAGAATAGGGTAGTGAATAGTAATTTAGAAGTAGGGATACGGGTAAAAGTGGGTGTAGGAGTAGGGATAGAAGTAAGAGTAAGAGTATAGGCAGGGTTCGGGATAAAGGTAGGAGTAAAGGTAAGGTAGGGCGTTAGTAAAGGATACATGTAGATAGTAAAATTTTTAAAAATTATTTCATTTTTCACTTTGTAAAGAAAGTTTTTGCCATTTTTTGTTTCGTAAACGAAGTTCATGTCGCTTTAGGCTTTGTAAAGAAAGTTCTTGCTATTTTTGGCTTTGTAAAGAAAGTTCTTGCCATTTTTTACCTTGTAAAGAAAGTTCTTGCCATTTTTTACGTTGTAAAGCAAGTCCTTGTCATTTTAGGCTTTGTAAAGAAAATCCTTGCCATTTTTTTAAATTTAAAAAATCTTACACTTCTTATGATTCCTCCTCAACAAATTGCAAGTGATGGGTTTCTTCGGCTTCTTGCCCCAATGAAACTGGCAATTGTTCTCTGGCGGTTCAGTCGAATATTCTGTGATTGAAAATGACTTTTTACAGTTCAAACAACATCGAACATCTCTGTACGTGGAAACGAAACGTTCATGTTGATCTGGGAAGAGATATGCTTGCTCGCGTTCGCCCTTTGAAGCTTCTTGAATTGGGTATCCATTGAGTTCCAGCTTGTGGAAGGGCAAAATGTACTTTTCCTAAAAATTTTTAATTGTTCCATATCTTTTTACATACTAATATTATTATAAATACTTTTAAAATTATCTTCTTCATCATAAAAATGCATTTCCAAACTAAAAATATCCTATCTTCACTTCAAAACGCCAAAAAAAGGATATTACACTAGACATCAGTTACTGCACCGTGCAAGATAGAGCTCCAACTTTTGAAAAAAGGTACCAAAGTGTAAAAATTATATTGCAAAAGCTCAAACAACCTTCTGCCTATCTTCTACAAACATTTTCAGCCAAAAATATTATCTATGAAGTATCAAAATTAAAAAGGAATATTACACTACACGTCAATCGGTAGAACTAAACAGTACGAATCTTTCTCGAAATTATGCACAAAATAAACCACATAGTAGCTAAAACAGCCTCTCATTTACCTTTCCAAACCGTTTTTGGCCAAAAATTTAAGCTCCGAATCTTACAAAACCAAAAAATTATATTACACTAGACACCAAGTACCACACTTGCTCGTTTCGCTCAAAAACAATCCGAATTCCTAGTTTAAATTGCCAAAACGTTTACCACACATTCATAATAGTATTGTCAACCTATTACAATACCATTCACTTACTTTCAACACTTTGTACAGCTCTTTTTCATCTCCAAATTCGTGAACAAGATGGTTAATATCTTTGCGCTGTTCGCATTGATCTAGCGTCGGCATTTTGGCTTTAAACCTAAAGTTTTGTTATCAAATAGGTTTGAAATAGATTGTAGGATGAAATTTTCGATATTAGTAGGTAAAATAATGTTATTTTTGGCCGTTATTCAATAAGAACAGGGCCGAAACATCAAAAATCTACACCTATATCCACTAAAATCGAATTTTCACAAACAGAAGTCGGCTATTGATATCGTATTTTACATAAATCATACTCAATACTAAATTCGACTATTTCTTGAGGGTAAATCTTTACCATTTCATAGTAAAATAATATAAAAATAAATTAAAAATCAAGCCAAGCAAAAAAAATAAATAAAGCAAAGAAAAGCTTTAAACTCATCAAACCAGTCCGATTATTTGTGATATCTTGATTTAATAACCAAATACACATCAATTATAACAACATGAACTATTAACAAATTAATATACACACTCCATATTATCCGTGAATAGTAAAACAAATTTTAGGTAAAAAGTTATAATTAAACTGACTAGATTTCAATGACATTTTTATACTTTATTTTAGAGGTTTTACGTTAAAATAGGTAACAAAAAATCACTTTTTTATTAAAAAAATTCAAAAATACTATTTTCAAACCATAAATCGGCCAAAAATACTATTTTTCATTAAAATAGGTAACAAAAATTCAATTTTTAATCATAAAATTCCCAAAAAAAATATAGTTAAAAATGTCATTTACATGTAGTCAATGATAATTAATCGACAGTAATTACAAAAAAACAGATGAAAAACCGATTCCGAGACCAATTCTTTTAAGATTGAAGAAGGAAGAATAGAGGATATGATGATGAAAAGCGTGTCCATGCTTGTAGTGAAGAAAGATATTGGCTATAAGATCAATAAATAATGTAAATTTAGGTACTTTATCAGCACTTTCGATAAGAAATACTCATTTTTGTACCCTTTTTAAGTAAAAATGCAATTTAAAAGCCAACATTATGCCACTTTAACCTATTTTTAACAATCATAATCAGTTTAAAAACACCAAAACTAGCTAAAAGGCTCAATATTTGAAGAAATACTATCTATATCAGCCTCCATCTTGACTAGAACCACTTCTTTCACCATATTCACCTTCTTCTTTCATATCCTCCTTCTTCTTCAATCTTCACCATCTTCTATTTACCCTCTTTCAATGCCACTTCCTCCAATTCAGCTGTGCATTCCCTCTTAACCTTCAACAACATCAGCTGCATGCAGGCCGAGGAATCTTCTTTTGAACAATGTCCTGCGGCGTCTTCTTGAATGATTTTGTTCAGATAATCAGAAGCCAACGTCTTCAAGGCTCTCTTGTATGGTGGGCCAAGTCTGTGTGGGAAGATAATGGCAGTATCGACGACTTTGCGATGGACTAGCCTTAGGGCTCTTAGATCCGACTCTAAACTGTGGCCAATTAAAACTGTTTCTGAGTTGATAATTTCGAATAGCTTCTTCCTTGCCGCCTCCAGGTCATGTGTTGCAGTCTGTAGCATCTCTTCAGTCAATCCCGAGAACTTGGTGTTGTAATCAAGCACCTTCTCTTTCGGCTTGATGATTATGTCCAGTACGAGTTCATCATTGAAGTCAACCACTGTCAATCTGGCCACTGACATGCCCCATGTAGTGAAGACCATTTCACAGTCCATGGCGTAGACTTTTGTTGATCTTGGGTCGTTATTATCGACCGGTGGTGGAGTACGACAAAATTGTCTTAATACGGATCTTCTCATTGTGTCATGAACGTGACCTTTTTGAATGGTACAGCCCTTTAGAGTCAAGTCACCACCACAGCACTGATATCGGGATTCGAGGGTTTTGTTCACTAAAAAGGTAACAATTTTAGATACAAAATCAAAATTAAAGAAGGTTTTTGATATAAACAAGCCTAAAATTTCATTTTTCATCCAAAAAAAAACACTAAAAACATCCATTTTAAATCAAAAACACCCAATTTTAAGCCAAAAAAACATCAATGTAAAGCCAAAAACCTTAATATTACCCTTCACATCAGCCCAAACCACCACCTTACCTCTAACTTTGTAAGCCCGTTTCCAATGGAATTCACAATCCGAAGGCTTTACGAAGCTTCCGTCCTTCTTCAACTCGTACTCGGCTCCACATCGACTACAGGTTCTCTTCAGTACATGGTCCTCAATGAACATTATCTTCTTTTGATCCCAGCTTTGAATCTCGACTGTTGGCTTGCCATCGACTTTGACTACGCATGGATAGCCATTGGACTTTAGGAGCTCGTCAGTCATTAGGTATTTTTGCTAAAAATGACAAAAATTAGAAAACAAATTCAAAATATTTAAAAAATGTTACCTAAAATTTTTTAAAATATTTTTACAAAGATTTGACAAAAAATCGATTAACTTACCCTCAATAGCCTATAGAAAGTAGATTCGCTCAATTTATCGACCGTTTTTTGAGCTCGACTTTCCGTGACCGTTCCTTTTTGTAAATCGACCGTTTCTTTGCGAATCGACCTAACTGCTCCAACCATAAGACTAGTGTATCCACTCTGAGTTGAGGCTTTGTCCAAGATCGCCTTCTCTTCACGCTGGGCCATCTTCACACACGTTTGCGCTGGCAACTTCTTCTTGTCGAACTCACAGAACAACATCTTGAGGTATTTCGTTCTAAAGCCGAACGGGATCTTTGGCGAATCCTTGTCCAAGGGGAGAAGATCTCCACACTGAAACAGGATTTGAACTTTAAAAGACAAGGCAATCATCGTCGTGTCGTTTAAGATATAATGAAGTTTAACTCAACATCGCGGTATTTAGAGCACTGGCTTCTTCTGCCGATAAAAATTTGTGCGCATCTTTGTTAATAAGCTTTAAGTTTACTAGGGAATTGCACCATACATCCCTCGGGTGTTGATAAGCGACCTATACAGGATAAATGAGCAGAAAAATTTACCTAACAAACCATATTCAAAAACTGCTAAATGGCCTTGGCTAGCGATTTACAAGACGCTCAATGGGTTCTTATATGTAGGTATAGCTTTAAAAATTCAAAAAATGACATTTGTTGATAAAAATGTTTCCCAAGACAAAACGTTTTGGCTAGCCAAACAATATTTTGATTTAAAAAATAATTTTCAGTCATCATTTTTGCTTTCCGTTATTTTTGGGTGAAAATGTTATCCAAAAAAATCATTTTTTAAATTTTAAAACTATATCTTTATCCCACATGTAAGATAATTGAGGGTACTGTAACTCGCAATCCAAGAACATTTAAAAATTTATGAAATAGGTTTCCCGGTAATTTTTTATGCTCTTTGATCCTTTATAAGTCTAGTTAACCCAAGGTGTATTTATTAGTGCTCGCTTGTTAATTTTAAAATGCTAAACAAAAAAAGAAGGATATTATCATAAAATAGACGCTGCCATACTATTTTTCGTATTTTAGAATACTTGTAACTCCTTTTTCATTAAACTCATTTAAAAAATTGTAATTAGGTTTTAAAAAAGTCAAAAAAGGTTTAAAAAATTCAGATTACGAGAAAATTACTGCAACATCCTTACTCTTGCACAGTTTAAAATTCTGTTTTTTGATATTGTTAAATAATTGAATTACCTAAAAATTCACAAATTTTTATAACATTAGGTTACTTTTAAAAAAGTTATAAAAAAAACAAGGTAGGCTACTATACAGACCTCTAGTATAATATTCCTTTTATCATTGTAGAGCTTATGCTGCCATTTTTTATGCATTGCTTGTTAATTTTACTTCAAAAAATGCTTTTTTAGCTAATTACATATAAAAAGTTTAAACTTTTTTACACTAAAATTGAAACATATCAACTTACAGTCCCAGTATGCGCCTTCCTAGTCTCTCCTTTGGCCACAGTAGAACTAGAAGTCCTATTAGCACCAAATGTCGGCTTTGTTACTCTTCCTGCAATCCCAGTACTCCTGTTGTTATTCGCTGTACTTGTACTTGGTTTTGAGTTGACTGCACGCTTTTCAGCCGCCAGCATTAAACTAATGTTGACCGGTTCATTCCTCTTGGCCAGATTGGCCTTTTGTGCCGCATCCAATCGATTCAACATCTGAGTTCGAGCTGTAATCTTGCCATTTGTAATCCTACTGCCTAGTGAATTCGCTGTTATGATCGGCACTTTGTTGACTGTTGATGTTGAAGTAGATGGAACGTCTTCTTCCAACGTTTTTAAAGGCTGAAAGTAGTTTTTTGTTAATAAAAGTATAACAAAATAAAATTTAAATACTAAAAATACAATTAAAGATGACTTACTTCACCTTCAAACAACGAATCAACAAAACTTGGATCATTTTTCAGTTGATTCTGCAAAAACAAATTATTTTTCTACAAATATTATAGATAACTTTAAAGTAAAGTAAAGTAAAGCTTCGTGAATTTCAAAATTCTTGCTCTTATATTCGTTAGATATATCAATTTTCTAGAACTGAACCAAAATTCAAAGCTCTAGCTATCTTTTCAAAACATTTATAACAAAAACAGTGATTCATCTGATATTACCATAGATAACATGCCAAAATTAACCTAAAACTCAATGAATTTTTAAACCCTACCCGCCTCTGCTCAATCTCCTTGATCTGTGCATCAATATCCGACACTTTATGCATGTTATTCATGTACATGTCAAAGAGTTTCGCCTTCTTCTCCAGTTCTTCAAGCTCTTCTTGTGTTATCTTCCGTTTCTTTGACGAATCCTCTAGTTCCTTGCTGTTCTTCCGTTTCAGCGGTTCCGAAGGCGTCACAGAAGGCTCAGGAAGGTTAGGCAACTTGATTGGCTCTGTTGGCCTGGCCAATTTTGGCGCTGACTTCAATTTTTGACCATTATTAGGCTTATCCTTCTTTGTTTTAGGTTTGTTGGCTTCTGGATGCAAATTCATGAGGATATCGTCTTCTCCAAGGTCCGCTGGCAATGCTGGTTTATCCAACATACTGTACTCTATCTTTTTCTCCTAAAAATTCAGCGGTAAAGGAAGAAATCAACCATAAATCGGCCGAATAATGTTCATCATGAGCTACACCTAAAAGCAGAACGTAGAATTCAAAACATTGAACTTGCCTGAGGTTTTACTTTAGCCGCTTTCTTAGCATTAGCTTCTTTCTTTCCCAACGGATCTTCAGGATTGTACATAGAGCCAGACGCCGAATATCCCGCATATTGTGGATCATCGTGTGCATAATATCCATTATAATCGAAATCATCGTAAGATTCCTGTTGAATCACAACCGGAATCTCTGGAGTTACATCGTCAAACAGGTCTGCAAAGGTAGGGGATCGCTGAACATCTTCCACCGGTTCTGGACTGCGCGGCGTGCTGATATCGTCTACAAAATTTACATTACACATCATTAAACTGCAAAATTTATAAAATCAAAATTCGATATCCATAATTCAAGTTTTTACCTTTATTTACTAATCAAAAGATAATAAAAACTTCAAATTATATTATTCATACATTCTATTGACGTTTTTCAATCTTTTCGTATCAAAATTTAAGATTTACCATTGTGATTGTATCTACAATAAGGTCTGTTGCATTTGTATCCATCAGCACAAGGAAGATGCGAGAATACGCTGGAGATGGGAATCATTTTCGATTCATTGAGGTCAAGGAAGTCTGAATAATTTTGCAAAAATTTCTAAAAAATTTCGACATTTCTTTTGTGACACTTCGTCTATTTTCAATTTATTGGGCGCGAATCGCAGAAAAACTAAATTATTTTTGTTTTTTTCATTTCTTTTTGTATAGATAAGAGAAGTTGCTGTAGAAGTAGTCAAATAAAATGGCAGATGAGTCAATGAAGCCAGATTTCGAAGCATCAAAGCTGGGAACGAAGGAATAGTAAGTTATCTTGATAAATATTAATATTGTTCATTTTTAGTTGGGATCAAAGATACCAACAGGATCTAAAAACATTTGAAGATTGTGGTGAAGAAGGAGAGATATGGTTTGGTAAAGCGGCCGAGAATAGAATTGTAAAGTTTGTGGAGAAATACTGTAGTGAATATACACGTATCTTAGACTTGGGATGTGCTAATGGTAGTCTCTTGAGGAAGCTGGTAAAATTTTAAATTTTTTTGTTGATATTTAGGTTTTCTTAGCAAAATTAGTTGGGATTTACTATAAAGCGATTGTGTAGAACAAACTGCACAGTATTTAATTGATTTTGGCACGTTTTACGTCGATTTACATTAAGCGCTTCTAATGTCTACTATAACATCATTTTTCTTGGTTTTAAGCTTCATTTGCGTAATTTTAGTATTGTAAAAAATTCCGTTATGTGTCTGGTGTAGATTATTCTGAAGCTGCTATAAAATTGGCTAGAGAATGTATTGAAAAGGACGAAAGTCTTAAAGAAAGTTCGTCATTTCCCATTCACATTCCACTAGAAGTTGCTGATCTAACATCTCCCAGCACGTTGCCAGAGTCTTTAAAGGAAGAATTTGATGTGCTAATTGATAAGGGAACTTGGGACGCTATGTCACTTGGAAATGCAGATGTCAAGAAGTACATTCAATGTCATTTTGCGTTGTACAACAAGCTGGTGACAGCTGATCATTACTTCATTATTGTGAGCTGTAACTTCACTGTGTAAGTTGCTTTATTTTTGGTGTTTAATATGTAGGGTCATAGAAGGTTATTTTTCCTGTATAATGTTGAAGAACATTATGTTATTCGAGTTGTACTTGAAAAAAAGACTAAAATTATATTATCCATGATCAAAGTTTCGGTTTTAGAGAAGAACTTGTTAAACTATTCACGAAAGATGGAGATTATTGTATGGTTGAAGAGTTGCCAAACACAAATACGTTCTCATTTGGTGGAAAAGCTGGAAAAACGACGAGTGGAGTTGTGTTCAAAAGGATAAAGTATTATTGAACTTGAGCACCGCGGTTTTAAAGACATTAGGTATCATGGATAACATACAAATTGTTGAGAAATGCAACTAAATGTAGTAAATATTCTTCTAGGTATTGAAACAAGATAAAGGATGATGTTATTTGACCAAAATCAAATACATTACAAAAAATATTACACTTGACATTAAAATACGAGAATTTATTCCAAATGACCAATGATCCGTGCCAAGATCAATATAATTAAAAGGCTCGAAGCGAAGTCGTGGCAAAGAGTTGTTGAGTTTTTGGATCCTTGAAAACGGCACCATAATGAACTCGGAAGATGGTGTAACAGCCGCGGCTGAGCAAGTTCTCCTTTCTCAGGAAGCCAAAGGCTTCAGTCCAGTGAACAAACGAATAGGCGTAGGGGATGGTGGCGGCTTTTAGGCTAAAACATTGATGTTTAGGTAACAAAGTAGAATTTTTTTTGATGTTTAGGTAAAAAAACAGACTTTTCTTTCATTTTAGGTAACAAAATAGAATTTTCTTTGATTCTTAGGTAACAAACGCTCATCTTACCTAGTGCCAGTCACACACATCATTCGAGACACATTACGATATCGTTGGCCGCCTGGATTGATGAGGAATTTGTCGATGAAAATCGTTGACAAGGCTTTAGGGCGTAGCAAACTTTGGGGGTCTTCTGGCTCATACTGAAAATAAAAAAATATTGAAAATGGCAAAAACTTTCTTTACAAAGCCTACACTAACAAAAACTTTCTTTACAAAATAAAAAAAATGGCAAGAACTTTCCTTACAAAACGAAAATGGCAAGAACTTTCTTTACAAAAGAAAAAAATGCAAAAACTTTCTTTACAAAGCCTAAAATAGCAAAAACTTTCTTTCCAACATATAAACTCACTTTTTTCAAAATTTTCAAAATTTCGACTTACCCCCTTCTTGTAAGGCCAAATAAATCTGTCCAGCACGAATCCCACCGCACCCAAAGACCAATTGCAAAAGTAGCTGCTCAATAAGGTTGGGATGAGGCCAGCGAATAAGCCCGGAAGGCCTTCTTCTTCTCCAATCTTCATCAAGGTTTCGTGGACATAGCCGTAGGTAGTCTCGTTTCTAATATGCTGGGCAATCTCTCGGACCATACAAACTGAAAAAAAAGTTCTTGCACTTTTAGTTTTGTAATGAAAGTTCTTGCCATTTTTGACTTTGTAAAGAAAGTTCTTACTATTTTTTGTTTCGTAAAGAAAGTTCTTGCCATTTTTGCTTTGTAAATAAAGTTATTGCCATTTTAAAAAGATAGCAAGCTTTAAAATACTGTTTTTGCACTACGCAGCCTGCGGGTGACAAGTTATACGATCGATGTGATTTTTTATTGTTTTTTGCATTGTAAAGAAAGTTCTTGCCATTTTTTAGTTTGTAACGAAAGTTTTTGCAATTTTGTTACCTAAAATTAAATTTTTTTAATTTTTGCACGGTGCAAACTTAAAAAATGCAATTTTTTTCCATTTTTAAAAATTAAAAAAAATCAAAAAACATTTCTTACCAAGGAGAGGTTGAGTAGCGACCACAGCGATGGTTTGTATAAAAGTTTGGCGGATCAGACTTCGGAACCGTCTTCTGAAGCTTTCATAATGGGTCAGTTTGTAGTCTTTGACGTTTGGGCGGACTGGCTCTCCGCCCATGTTCGGGACATGAGTACGCATCAGCTAAAAATGGCATAAATTAACCAAAACTTTCTTTACAAAACGATAAATGGCAAGAACTTTCTTTACAAAGCGAAAAATTGCAAGAACTTTCTTTACAAATCAAAAATGACAAGAACTATGTTTAGAAAACTAAAATTAACAATTTTTTTCACTTTAAAAATGACCACACTTACATTGAAAGTGAGAGTAACGGCCCCATTGAACAAGAACGTTCGAACTGCACAAGCCTCCACTCCTCGATACAACGCCCAGACTCCATGGTCCTGAATGGTTCGGTAGACTGAAAATGGCAAAAAATTTCTTTAAAAAACAAAAAATTGTAAGAACTTTGTTTACAATATGAAAAATGGCAAGAACATTTTTTACAGATTGAGAAATGGCAAGAACTTTCTTTACAGAGTAAAAGGCAATCAAAAGTAGCATCCATCGTATAAAATGTCACCCACAGGCTGCGTGGCTCAAAAATAGTAATAAAAAGCTTGTAATTCTTTTAAAATAGCAAAAACTTTGCTTACTAAACAAAAAATGGCAAAAACTTTCTTTACAAATTAAAAAATGGCAACTACTTTCTATACAATGTAAAAAATGGCAAGAACTTTTTTACAATATGAAAAACTGCAAGAACTTTTTTTACAAAACAAAAAATAGCAAAAACTTTCTTTACAAAAGAATCAGTACCAACCTACCATACGAATAAAGATTAGGCAAGAACAAGGTGTCGCAACCAAAAAACACCTTCATTGTGGGATGGCGTAGCGGGTACGGTTCGAAGCCAAGCTCAATCAAAGTTCGGGCCGAGGTCAAGGGATACACCGCCACATCGAAAACGGCACTTTGCCACGCCGATGCACAAACGTCCGACATTTTTCGACCGCCGCTTTTGGAATGGAGACACAAATGAACAAATGATGGTAAAGTGGAAGGGTTTGGACATTTTGAATTGGGAAAATCAAGACATATGCAAATTTTTTAAAAAAATATAAAAATTTTTTAAAAAATTTGAAAAATATTTTTTTTTGGAAGAATTTTAGCTTTATGAGTGTGTAAAGAAAGTTTTTGCCATTTTCAGTTTTGTAAAAAAAGTTTTTGCTATTTTATAACATGTAAAGAAAGTTCTTGCCGTTTCTTGTTCTGTAAAGAAAGTTCTTGCCATTTTTTGATTTGTAAAGAAAGTGCTTGCTATTTTTAATTTGTAAAGAAAGTTCCTCAATTTTTGCAGGTTTTTTGAATTTGGCAGCCTGCGGGTGACATGTTGTACGCTAAATGTTATTTCTTGTTTTATAAAGAAAGTTTTTATCACAAAATATCAAAATTTGAAATCCAAATTATAAGTTAAACCTTTTATTAACAGCAACAACAATGTAAAGCTTCTACAACACTTATTCTAACAAAATACATTACCAATAGATAATACAGCACTATAGCAATATGCTACCCAGTTGTACCCTTCGGCTCGACCAGTGTTTATAAAAAAACCTGTTTTTACGACATGTATATCTAAATCAATGTAGAAACCAGCTTTTCAGATATACATCTTCATAATGGTCTCAATCAGGGTATCGTTGGGGCATTGTTCGTCCGAAACTAGGATGCAAAGTGTCATTCGACCGATCTGAGCCAATTGTCGGATTGGGGTTTGATGTGAAGATGGACTCCAGCTCTGAAAATGATAATTCTTGATCAACGTAACATAAAAATATTTTTTTAACCATATAAGTTGTTTAAAACTGGCATTTTTGCAACAAAATCCTCAAATTTCTCTAAAAAAAATGAAAAAAACAAGATAAAATTCCATTTTTTAATTAAAATATGCTAATATTTTTTTCTAACTAAACTAGGTCATACAAAATTCAATTTTATGTCACTATAAAATAGTGTTCTCGGCGGGGGGGGAATTCCCCCCCCTTCCCGTAGAAAGCCATTCCCGCCGTTCCCGTCCCCGCCGGGGATTTTCAGTTCCCCTCCCCGGCGGGAATTTTATTTACTTTTTTAATAAAATAATTAAATGTATTTGTAAAAAAAATAGCTTTTTAGCACACTTTTTCGTATAAAATTTCGCGCAAGCTGCGCCTCCTTATTTGTTATTTTTATCAAAATATTTATTTTTGAAACTACTTTTTGAAATAGAATTGATTGTTTTTGGCCATTTTTGAATGGGTAAGTAATTTTCATTTTTATGTTTTTTATGTAGTATTAAGTTTGATTTTTCCTTTTTAGTATAATGGATAAAAAGACGTCTTTAATATGGAAGCACTACAACGAAGAACGGAAATGTTTGGTCGCAGGATGCTTGTTTCAAACGAAAGACAAAACTACAAGTACGAAGGCGTTATGGAGTCATCTAGAAAAGAAACACACACGAATTTATAAAGAATTAAAGGAAGCAAAATTGAAAAGATCAGGTTCAGACGACGTTTCAAAAGAATCTACACCTCAAAAGAAAGTTAATCTAGTAAGTAAACTGTATATTATGATAATGTTTAAAATTTTAAACATTTTCATCTGTTTTAATAACAAGTTTTTTATTTTAATATTTTTGTTACCTATTTTTGAGTAGAAAAAAATAAAATTCATTTTAAGGACAGTTTTTTTGGGTGTAAAACGTATTTTTTACTTATTTTAGATAACAAGTTACACAAGAAAACAAAATATGGCTTTGAATCAGTATCAACGAGACACTTTTCAAGTCGAAATGATTATATTGATTTGTAATAATTATTGATCGTAGGACGAAGTAAACGAGATGAAGGCAATAAAGCTAAGGAACGTTATTCCTGAAGAGTTTTGGAAGGACAACAATGATCGATTCCCAATTTTGTATCAAGTGGCCAAAAAGGTGATGTGTATTCCACCATCTTCTGTTCCTTCCGAACGTTTCTTCAGTCATGCGACGATGTTATTCAACGACAAGCTGCGTAATAGGCTGACGGATGAGCGTGCGGAACAAATATTACTGTTGAGATGTGAACTCAATCGAAGGAACAAAGAATTGAATGATTCTAGTTCAGATGACGAAAATGATGGGACTTAACATTGTTGTTTATATTGTTATATTTTTTTTATTAATAATAATAGTTGGAATATGTTTAAGATTTTAGTATAAAATGATAAACATTTTGTAAAAAAAACTCTTAAAAATGGCAAAAAGTTGACTCGACCACGGCAGGATTCGAACCTACAATCTTCGGTTCCGTAGACCGACGCGTTATCCATTGCGCCACGCGGCCACGGTTCGAAAATCCCTTACTTTTCTTTTTGACCTTTTAGAAGATAGTCGTAAGACCTCCGGAATTATTTTTTTAGGTAATAAATACTTTTTTTCAAAAAAAATTTTTTTGATTTTACAAATTTAATAAAAATTAATTTTTCTATTTTTCTATTGTCCTTTCGTCTTGTCATGCTCTGCCTTGCCTTGTCCTGCCCTTTCATGCTCCGCCTTGCCTTGCTCAGTAGTGCCTCGTCATGCCCTGCCTTATCATGTCTTGTTTTACCCTGCTCTACCCTCTCGTATTATGCTTTGCCCTTTCATGCTCTGTCTATCCTTGCCTTGCCCTGCCCAATCATGTCCGGTTTGTCATGTCTTGTTTTGCCCTGTCTCCTCCTCTTGCTTTGCCTTTACCTATCATACCTTGCCCTATCACTCCCTGGCCCTTCTTGCTCTGCCTTGCCCAGCCGTGTCTTGTCGTGCCCTGCCTTTGCTATTCTTCGCCATGCCCTTCTTGCCTTGCCTTGCCCTGGCTTATCATGCTTTGCCTTATTTTGCGTTTGCTATGCCTTTGCCATGCCCTGGAATTACCCTGCCTTAGCCCGCCTTACCATACCGTACCGTTCTCTACCTTTTCTTTTCCTACAGTACCCTACTCTAACAAAAGCTTACCTTAGGTACTCCAACAATGACTTTGAACCCATGACTTCTGACTTTCTCCTTCCTTCTCCAGTCTTCAATTGCCATTTGGAGTTCTCTCTCCTCTCTGACCCCATACCTATTGCCATTATATTCCACATGCTTTACATAAATATTCTTGGCCACTTTATCGTCCAAATCGTGTAGCTTTCGTAAATCAGCACTATTCAAAAACAAGGATTCTAGAGGTTTGTGTAACCGATGCACGATGATATTCTGAATGTCATTTAGATCACAGTCGATTCTTAATGATTCTAGGCTTCGGATTCTGGCTAGTTCATTCAGGTAGTGATAAGATGAAGGTACGCATTGCTTTGTGTCATCTTTGATTGTGACATTTTGAAGAGATAGGTGTTGAATGCTTTGGCAGATCGATCGGATTAGCATTGTGAAGGAGTATATCGACATTTCAACGTCAAATAAGGCTAGTTCCTGCAATTTTTTAAACATAGAAGCACGTTTCATCGGATAGCATGCCACTTTAAATTTAAAATCCAAAAACTCAAAAAAATTTTAAAACTTACAGTGATTCTAAATTGAAATGGGTGTGATATAGTGACCTCTAGCATGCCATTCATGTGTAAACATAGTCTTCTTAGACATTCTACCCTGGCAAATATCAACATATCTAGCTTTACATCTCTGAAAAGATGTGTTTTTTATTTTAAAATGCCTTTACTTTACCGTACCCTGTCCGAAAATGTCCTACCGCAAATTCCCGTAACCTACCACATCCTACCGTACCCTACCCTATATTAATCTACCCTATTGTATCCTACCTTGTCGTATCGCATCGTATTGTACCCTATCCCACCCTACCCTGCCCTGCGCTATTTTACCCTACAGTAACCTCCCCTACCCTGTCTTACACTGACTGGCCCTGTCATGTCCTGCACTAACCTGCGTTGTCTTCTCTTGCCTTACATTGACTTGCTTTTCCCTGCCCTACCTTAAACTACCTTGCCTTCCCTTGTCTTACATTGACTTGCCTTGCCCTACCCTACCGTACTTACCCATCCTTCCAATGATACTTGGACCTCTCCTTAGCGTTGTCATAAGAACTAACAATAAAGTCAATCGAATCAGCATAAGAATGATTGTGCAGAATATCATGTAAAGCGTTCAACGTTCGGTTTCTGAGCTCGTAAAAACGATTGTTATGACAATTGGACTCCACTTCAACTTCGTATGTCAATTTTCCTGAAAATTTTGAAGTTTAAAAATATAAACATTTAATCATTAGACCAAAAATAGCTTTGAATTGACCTTTTAAGCTTAAAAATGTAATTTTACCAAAGTTTTTTGGCACTCCTTTAAGTCAAAAAAAGTGTTGTCGCCCATTTCCACTAACTTTAACCTTAAAAATCGACAAAACTTTTTTAATGTTTTCTTATCAAAGCTTTGACAAATTATTAAATTTTTCACATAATTCGTGCTCCCATAAACCCGAAAATTTGCTTTTTGAAGGGCACAGGATTATTTTAACTACCCATTAGGTGCCGACATAAACAATTCGCCATTTTTTTCCAGGAAATTACAGTAAAAGTATGTCGGGTTCTTTATGTCGGCAGCTAATAATAGTAAAAACCTACCTTTTTCTTCACTTTTACAGCCATTTGCTTCATTTATCTTACACATAGTTACCAAACGTAAAAAAAAATTCAATTTTCAACAAAATTTCAATATTCAATGGTATATTCCACCAACGTATTTTACAAAATATTAAAAGTAGCGCAAATTATGTAGCCCAATGTAAAGCGAGAAATCGCAAGTCCTCCTCAAATCAAAGACTAATGATAAATCGATAAATATGTTTGATAAATCCGCCAAAATGAAAGCAATAGTTTGTTTTTAGGTCAAAGAAACATGAACGAACGCGTCTAAACAACAAATATAATATTATGAATGATATACGTGAATGCACTGTTATTATTGTTTAGGATTAGACATACGGTTTGTGTAAATGTTAGTACTTTATAAAGGGAGGGGGAGTGATTTTGGTTTGGGAAAGGATTAAAAATTTTTAAACCTTTTTTTTGTTGAAAAATCAACAGGGGGGACCAAATTAAACTTTTTTAAAAAAAATGTTACTTACCTACCCTACCCTACCCTACCCTACCCTACCCTACCCTACCCTACCCTACCCTACCCTACCCTACCCTACCCTATCCTACCCTACCCTACCCTACCCTACTTTACTGTTGGTCATTGCTCTACCTTATCCAAACCCGACCTTACTATACCCAACGTTGTCTTTGTGTCCCGCCCTGTCTTGCCCTTTTCTAACTTTTTTTTAACGTTTACCCTGCCTGTTCTATACCTACACATTACTAACATTAAAAAATTTTTCGTCTTAAAACCCAGTGTGAATCTACAACAAGACTGTTTTAGCATTTAAAAACAAATAATATAGAGTAAAAACAAAATTTTAAAACACGTTTTTTGTAAAGCTCGAGCCAGGGCCAATTGCACTGGCGACGCCAAATTCCAAACATTTTTTAAAAATCTGAAATTTTTATTATGAAGGTTTTAGACAATGCTGAGTACAAAAATACAACTTTTTTTATTTTTGGTTATTGTATTGTGGAGTACTGTAAGGATACGGTAGAATTTATATCTCCATAACGAATAGTTGTAGAGACATGGCGTCTTCACTATCGTGTAGTACGACCACAATACAGTATTTCTTATGTTAGAATCAAAGTTCCATGTATAATTTTACCATAGTAAAAATTCGTATCTTGTGTTGTAATTACAGTAACCCACAAATAATAAAAAAACGGTTCGAGATACCTCTCTTTTTTATTTTAAATTATTACTCTACATGTTATTGCGGTTCGAATGATATATAATTCAAAAAAATTTTTTGACACATCTGGGGTCAAAGGTCAAGTTGAAGTTGGTCGACCCTATATGTATTTTGAAAAAAAAATTTAAAACTAAGTAAAAACTAACTGGTGAAAGGCACACCAGCAAAAAAACGGCTGCCCATACCTATGGGCGATTTTTTTCAAGTCCACCCTTGACCTTTTTGGCCCCACCCGACCCTACCCTTTACCTTTTTGGCCTTACCTGACTCTACCACTGATTATAGTATACTATAATATTTATCCATTGGTAAAAGTTCATGTTGGGTAAGTAAGGCAAGATATGTGGTTTAATAAACTAATATAGAATAGTATTGTAGGTAAGATAGGGTATGATATGTCATGGTATGATATAGTATGGTATGAACTGGTAGGTAGAATATGGTATGGCATGGTATAGTAGGTAGGTGTTATGGTATAGTAGGGAGCATATGGTATAATAGATATAATATAATGCGGTATGGTAGAGTATGGTATATCACATAGGATGGGTACGATATATTATGTAGTATAGAGTATAATATGGTAGGTAAGGTAGAGAATAGTAAAGAACATAAGATATAATATGATATGGTATAGCATAATAAGTAGGATAGAGTACGGTACTGAATATTGGGCAGGCTAAAAAAGGCGGAGTTAGGTTTGGGTAAGGCTAATAGAGTCAGGGGTAAGATTGGGTAGGGCTAAAAGGGTCAGGGGTAGCATCAGGTAAGGCCAAAAAAGTGAAGGGTAGGGTCGGGTAGGGCCAAAAAGATCAAGAGTAGAGTCAGGGAGGGCCAAAACGACCAGGGGTAGGGTCGGATAGGGCCAAGAAGGTCAGGAGTAGGGTCAGGTAGGAGTGAAAAGGTCAGGGATGGACTTGAAAAAAACGCGCCCATAGGTATGGGCAGCCGTTTTTTTTGCTGGTGTGCCTTTCACCAGTTAGTTTTTACTTAGTTTTAAATTTTTTTTTCAAAATACATATAGGGTCGACCAACTTCAACTTGACCTTTGACCCCAGATGTGTCAAAAAATTTTTTTGAATTATATATCATTCGAACCGCAATAACATGTAGAGTAATAATTTAAAATAAAAAAGAGAGGTATCTCGAACCGTTTTTTTATTATTTGTGGGTTACTGTAATTACAACACAAGATACGAATTTTTACTATGGTAAAATTATACATGGAACTTTGATTCTAACATAAGAAATACTGTATTGTGGCCGTACTACACGATAGTGAAGACGCCATGTCTCTACAACTATTCGTTATGGAGATATAAATTCTACCGTAACCTTACAGTACTCCACAATACAATAACCAAAAATAAAAAAAGTTGTATTTTTGTACTCAGCATTGTCTAAAACCTTCATGATAAAAATTTCAGATTTTTAAAAAATGTTTGAAATTTACAAAGTTTTCATCGAAAGGCAAAAACAAATATTTTTCTAGCCTTTGAACGTCAAAAAACCGTTCGAAATTGAATAAAACTGAAAACCCCGAGGAGATTATAGCATTCACATTCATTCACGTTCATGAATATTCCAAAAAAAGTATACAAAACTGTCGTCGTTTGTATGAGAAAGCAAAAAAAAAATAAACGTTTGGCTCTTCTTCTCTTTTGTTCTTTGATTTTTATTCGAAAAAACTACGAAAAAGTAGATAAAATTAAAGTTTGAAGTCTAAAAAGTGACATGAATTCTTAAAATTTTAAAAAGAACGTATAAAATTATCATATCCCCTACAAACTGCCAATAGATTCCTATTGAAGTTTAATTTAATGAGCTCTCTAGGGATTGTATTAGCTATGTTGTTCATGTTTATGTTTAAAAATTTAATTTTTTGCTAAAAACAAGAAAAAATTCAAACTGGTTTACAGCCCAAAAACTAAAAAAAAAACTGAAAATGGTTAATAAACTTACCACTAGCAGAGTAGAACACAGTAATTATCAGTTCTTCCACTTCATTTTCTTCATTTTCTTTGACTGCCTCTTTTATTTCTTTGGCTTTTCTCAAGACATGGTACTTGTTAGCCAACGGAACATCAACAGCTTTGTCATTTTTATCAGTAACACAACCAGTTTTCATAGTTCGTACAAAAAAAATTTTTAAAAGTTTTTTTTCAAGTTTTGTTGGTTTTGCAAGCTGCGAGTATCCTGTGCTAAAAAATTGTAAGGCTAGGATTGAAGCTAATTCTCAGGCACACATGTTTCATCGTCAACATGTCATTTGACCTCTAAAGGCGGCCGAGGTAGCTAAAAATCAATGCGTACTTAATATTAGTAATCCTTATTTACAGGGAAAGTACCCAACCTGCAACTCTCAGAATCAGCTCAAAATTTTTATACGAATTCTTTGTATTACCAATAGTACTTACGAAAAATTTTAGCTTGCGCTTTGGGTTTTAAATTTTAAATATTTAAAATTTGGCAAATTTGGCATTGTGTTTTAAGCACTTTTTCGACTTTCCAGCCAAACTAAACTTACAAATTTAAAAATGTAGGTTCATTTAAAGGTTTTTTACTAGCATATTAAAGAAAAATGATTAAATGTCAAAAAATGGCAAAGTTATAAGCTTGAAACACAGTGCCAATTTGGCGGGAAATTCAAAACGCGATTTTTCGATTTCGATTTTCTCAAGACTGGCCGCAAACTGCAACTTAGAATTTTGCATAACATCTTACATTTACGTGACCTTTCAATAAAAAAAGTTTGAACGAAATCTGAGCGTTGCAGGTCGGGCACCTTCCTTTTTAGTCCTTTTTTTGTATTTTTAACAGCTTTTTTAGGTAAAAAGTTTGTGTTTTATGTTTTCAAACTCGACTTCTTATCTTCTCTATTCATTCGATTTATGATCGATGTTCAGAACTTACTGTGTAATAATTGACATTGACTTCTTTAAAAGAGAATGTGACTCTTTAAAGTAGCCTAGGTTTATATTTTTGACCTTTGGAAAAAACATTTTTTTATTTTCAAAACCATTTTATTCTGCTTCTATTTGTAATTCATCGGCTCTTAACTACTATAATACTAGTACTTCACTATCTTTTTCTAAAACAAACCCAAAAGATTTGTTATAGACTCTATTCTACTATAAACCTATCTCGAATTATAATATCAAACCAAAATGATTTTTATATTATACGAAAAGCTTTATGAAAACTTAAGATTTTGGAGAAATGTCATATTCAAACGACCCTACAAAGCTGTCATTTTTGACATGGGCGGTGTTTACTTGAGGTTTCAGAATGCGGAGAAGTTTGCTCATATTCTTAAGATGTGTAAGTTGAGTTTAAAATTTAAAATTTAATTTATCAAGCCAAAAAATGGCAAGCAATGTCTTTACAATACAAAAAATGACAAGAACTTTTTTTACAAAGCAAGAAATGGCAAGAACTTTCTTTACAAACCAAAAACAGGCACAAACTTTGTTTACAAGGTAAAAAATAGCAAGAAATTTGTTTACAAAACAAAGTATGACAAGAACTTTCTTTACAAAGCAAACAAAAAACGTTTTGTTGTTTCTCACCGTGCAAAATAATGTAAAAATACGTCAAGATTTTTTTAAATTTCTAATGGCTTGTTTTTTAAATAAATTCTATGAATAATATCAATCTATAACAATATATACGTTCAGTAGGACCAGAAGCATGGGCGATAATAAACGAGTACGAAATAGGAAGCATTTCGTATGTTACATTAAGAAATAGGCTGGCTGAACACTATCAAAAACTCAATATTCTTGATGGAAAAAAATCTGTCAAACAGCTTATAGATGGACCGGTATGTTATTGATTTATAGTTCGGGGGTCGGGGTTTAGGCTAGGCTTTTAGGCTAGGGCTCTGGGCTAGGGCTCTGGGCTAAGGCTAGAATTACTATCTAATATTTCAATTTCAGGACTCACTAATCATAAATTGTATCGAAATTTTGCGTGAAAATGGCTACAAAACTGGATTATTGACTAATGTTGGCTACAAGGACGACACTTTTACGGAAACTGACACCAAAGTGAATAAAGAACACTTTGATGTTATTGTAGAGTCTTGTATAGAAAAAATGCGAAAACCTTTCAAGGAGATATATTTGGTAAGTTAGGTATTAAAAACGGCAAGAACTTTCCTTACAACACCAAAAATGGCAAAAACTTTGTTTACAAAACAAAGAACCACAAAAACTTTCTTTACAGAACAAAAAACGACAAAAACTTTCTTTACAAAACAAAAAATGGCAAGAACTTTCTTTACAACACAAGAAACGGCTAGAACTTTTTTTACATAACAAAAAACGGCGAAAACTTCCTTTACAAATCTAAAATTTTTTAAATTGAATTTAAAAAAAAATTTGCAGCTTACGGCCGAAAGACTTAGGGTAAAGCCTGAGGAATGCATTTTCATCGACGATTTGATTCAAAACTGTTACACAGCTGACGATCTTGGAATGACAGCTATCGAACTTAAAGGTGGAGATTCGAAAACTGCAGTGAAAACGTTGGGGTGGTACTTGGGCTTAGATCTATTGAGCTAAACTACTTGATTTGATGTGGATTTACATAAATTTACTTTTTTTAAATTGTACTATTAATTTTGCTAGTAAATTTTATATTAACTTTTATGGTTGAGCCAAGTAAAATTTTAAAACTTTTTTTAAAATATAAATTTAATGAAGGCTAGAACTAAATCTGGTTAGTTCTAGACCTTTCGCACGTAAAATTATTTGTGGCAGGACCTGAGCTGGGCTTTTTAAGTCTCTTAGTCAGACCGGGCCTAGTAATGCCTTTTTCATTTTTATGATAATATAACCAGATTTTGAATTTTTAGGCTTTTTTGAAAATTACATGTCAAGTTTTTAAAACACTGCGTGCCGTAGACGTATTTTACACCAAAAAGAAAGTTCTTGCCATTTTTAGTTTTGTAAAGAAAAATTTTGTTTTTTTATTTTGTAAAGAAAGTTATTGCCATTTTATTCTTTGTAAACTAAGTTCTTGCCATTTTTTGATTTGTAAAGAAAGTTTTTGTCATTTTTTGTTTTGTGAACGAATTTCTTGCCATTTTTGATTTGTAAAGAAAGTTTTTGCTATTTTTTCATTTGTAAAGAGTTCTTGCTATATTTTTTATTTTAAAATATTAAAATAAAACTTTCAAAATTCAAAAAAATTTTAATTTTGATAATGTCATTTCTCAAAAAATTGTCATTTTTTCTTCTTTTCGTCAAATCGACCAGTCGATTTTGAAAAAATGAGGATTTGCTTGTTGTTATCGTATCTTGTTGTAGTGTCTCCTGCTTTCAAGATCATACCTATTAGTAGTGGACCTGGTACACTTCACACTGACTACCCGGACATATATCGTACCAATGCTCTGGATGGTGTGCGTACTATTATCGACAGATTTCGTACTGGCATAGCTAAGGCTAGTACCAAAGCGTCTGGTGGACAAGGTGCTGGCAATGGTGCTCTTCTTCAATCTGATACTGATGCTCCAAGTGGTGATCGGACTATAGATGATGGACAACGTACTATCGATGGTGCACAAGGTACTCTAGCTCCAAATGGTAGTCGTACTATCGATGATGGACAACGTACTATTGATGGTGCGCATGGAACCTTAGCTCCAGGTGGTGATCGGACTATTGATGATGGCCAACGTACTATTGATGATGCACAAGGAACCTTAGCTCCAGGTGGTGATCGTACTATTGATGATGGTCAACGTACTATCGATGGTTCACAAGGTACTCTAGCTCTAAATAGTGGTCGTACTATCGATGATAGCCAGCGTACTATTGATGGTGCACAAGTTACTCTAGCTCCAGGTGGTGATCGTACTATTGATGATGGTCAACGTACTATTGATGCCAGTCAACGTACTATCGACGGTGCACACGGTACTGAAGCCCTACTTCTTGATCGTACTATTGATGCTAGACTTGCTGTTGATGATGTCAATGAAGAACTAAGTGCTGGTTTTGTAGATTATTCTGATGCCATTAATTTACCAGATACTCTATATAGTAGACTTCTTGCACGTGGAGGTCTTGAAGAACAACGTATTGGTCGTTTTAACCGTTTACAATCTGTTCCTCGTCGAAACATTGGTGGTTATCAGTTGGCTCAGGACAAATGCGTGAGTTAAAATTTTTTTTAACTTTTGAATTTTCAAAAAATTTTTAAAATTAAAAAATTTTTTTTTGAAATTTTGAAATTTTAAATTTTTTTCAAATTTTTAAAAAATTTCAAAATTTCAGGGAGTAAAAGCCCCCGAAGGCATGGAGATGCTGTGCGAAGCCTGCTCACACATCTGGACTGTTTGGGACTTACATGACTGTGAAAACGACTGTGAAGTCTACAAGAAATGCTTCAAAACCCTGATCCAAAACGCCAGTTCCATGGATGAGAAGTAGTGCCATTTTGGATAGCAATATCTACTTATTAGTCACATTAAATATGAAATAAAGGGTTTATTTGAAATATGGCAAGAACTTTGTTTACAAAATGAAAAATGGCAAGAACTTTCTTTAGAAACTCAAAAATAGCAAAAACTTTCTTTACAAAATCAAAAATGGCAAGAAATTTCTTTTCAAAACAAAAAATGGCAAGAACTTTCTTTACAAAACAAAAACATTGCGAGTAATTTGCTTAAAAAATGAAAATTAGCAAGAACTTTCTTTACGAAACAAAAAATTCTTTTTATCGTATAACTTGTCTTTCGCAGCCTGCAAAGCCCAAAAATGGCTTGTTTGGACGCAACTGACAAAACTTTCTTTACAAAACAAAAATGGCAAGAACTTTCTTCACACAGCAAAAAATGGCAAGAACTTTCTTTACAAAGTGACAAATGGCAAGAACTTTCTTTACAAAGTGACAAATGGCAAGAACTTTCTTTACAAAACAAAAATGGCAAGAACTTTCTTCACACAGCAAAAAATGGCAAGAACTTTCTTTACAAAGTGACAAATGGCAAGAACTTTCTTTACAAAGTGACAAATGGCAAGAACTTTCTTTACAAAACTAAATATAGCAAAAACTTTCTTTACAAAGTAAAAATAGCACAAACGTTGTTTACGGACTTTGTAATGTAAAATTTGTAAACAATTTTTCCCTTGACCAATTAATAATGCAGCCCCAATATAAAGTGGGTATAAAAGCGGTTGTCCTCGAAGAACATGGTCATTTGCGCATCGAAGCACAAGAAACGTCACTTACATCTTTCATGAAGTTTCATTTTGTCTACGTTTTACTACTACTATTAATAGTGCATACTGAAGGTAAATATTATAGTACAAAAAGGAAGTTCAGAATGGTAAGTATTGTACTGAAGTTTGACGAGATAAGGAAGAAGTGAAGGTAGGGGTAGATGCAAGGTTGAGGTGGAAATGTATGGTACGGCAAAGTAAAGTTAAAAGTATAGGTAGAAATAATGGTAGAAGTATGAGTTGAGGTAGAAAGGGTACGGTAGTGTAAGGTGAACTGAAAAGTAGGGGTAAGCAGGGCCGGGCGCTGGGGGGGGAGGGGAACGGGGGGGGCCAAAAGTCACAGCCCGGCACTGGGGGTAAGAATAAGTAGGGATAATCTTAAGCATAGAGTAGACACGAGGAACGGACCGGAACAAAAATGAAAACGGACCGGGTCCGGTCCGTACAAAACACTGGGTATAGGTAAGGGTAGTTGTAAAGTTAAGAGTAAAGATAGGTGTAAGAGTTAAGTTTAAAGGTTGGGACGAACTTAGGAGCCAGGATAAGGGTAGGAGCAGACACAGAAGTAGGGGTAAGTTTAGGGTCCAGTGGTAGGAGTAGGACCTGAGTTTAGGGATAGGAGTAAATTTAATCGTAGGCATAAACTTACAGGTAGGAATAAATTTAAATATAGAGATAAAGGTAGGTGTAATACGTAGTAATCTTTTTATTTTCAGGTCACTGACGAGAACTGTGTAAGTTTTAAAATTAAAATAAAATTTTCTAAAATTTTATTTTTTTTAAGCTTAGTTTTTGAAATTGCATATTAAAATTTTAAAAAATACAAAAAATTTGTTTTTCCAGAATTTCTCCAAAGTCCACGCTCATGTATTGCCAGGAATTTGTGTTCTTTGTAGCATCGACAATCCGGCTGTAATCGTATCTCAATGTAAACAAAATTGCTACAGAAATGCCATCTTCGAACGGTGCAAGAGAAGGCTTCAAGAGATTCAGCCGTTGTAAAATATGACATTTATTATTCGTTATTATTCAATTAATAAATATTTATAAAAAGTGGTTTTTCAAGTACCTTTAAGTAGTATAAGTACCCTACGTCAATATTATTGTGCTTGATAAAAAGTACAGTAAGACCAAATAGTAGGTTGTTCAGATAACTCTAAGCCTCATTTCAATACAAATTTCCAAAAAAGGGCGCAGAATTATTTGAACGACCTAATATATTATCAAATCTACTCTTCAGCACCATTAAGAAGCTGCCTCTGTACCAACTGTCGATATAGCCCTTCCTGTTGCATTAAGCTCAAATGACAACCTTCTTGCACCACCTTCCCCTTGTTCACCACAAATATCTTGTCAGCCTTCTCTACCGTGCTTAATCGATGTGCTATGACGATTACAGTACGCCCTACGCAACACTTTTGCAACGCTTGTTGAATAATGTATTCGGATTCTGAATCTAACGCTGATGTAGCTTCGTCTAGGATTAGGACAGCCGGTTTTCGAACCAAGGCTCGGGCTATCGCTATACGCTGCTTTTGACCGCCTGAAGGGAGAATTTTAAAATACGGTTACAAGATATAGGTATGGGTAGGAAGTAAGGGTAGGAGTAGGGGTGGGAGTAGGGGTAGAGGTAGGGGTAGGGGTATGAGTAGGGGTAAGGGTAGTGGTAGAGGTAATAGTAGGGGTAGGGGAAAAGGTAGGGAGTATCGCAACCACTTACCACTCATCTGAACCCCCTTCTCACCACACAAAGTATCAAATCCATGTTCCATTTCCATGATAAAGTTGTAAGCATTAGCCAACTTGGTAGCCTCTACCATATCTTCCTCACTCACCGTATCCTCACAGCCATACAGTATGTTTTCCCTAACAGAACCACTATATAAAACTGGCTCTTGAGATACCAATGACACTTTCTGATGGTAAAATCGATGAGCATATTCACTGATTGGTATACCATCTAATTTAATCGATCCTGCGGCTACGTTGTAGAAATGTTCGAGTAAAGCGATTATTGAAGATTTCCCAGCACCACTCGGACCTACTAACGCTGCTGTTTGACCTGGCTGGATTTTTATTGACAGTTCCTGAAATGATAAAGTTAGTTTGAGCTTCAGCCCTAGCCTAAGATTAAGCCATATCTTTAGCTAAAATTCTAAGTCCAGTCTATTCCTAAAACCCTATTCAAAGTCTTAGCCTAGCCTAAGCGATAGCGCAAGCCTTAAATAAAACCCTACACTAAGCTGTAGCTCAATCTCTAAACTAAGCCGTGGTTTAACCTATAGCTAAGCCTTAGTCTAAACCTTAGCTTAAGCCCTAGCCTAAGCTCTTAGTAGTCTAGGCCCTGGCCCACGTTCTAGATTGTGATCTAAATCTAGCTCTATCACTGGATCAATTTTTAGCTTTAGTTTTTGTTCCAAACCTTAGCCTACAAACCAAGTGTAGTTCCTAGCAGATATGAGACACGGGTCCGTTCCAAGCCCGGGACGGTTTAGGACCGGCTCGTTTTCATTGTTACCTCAGGCCTTAATTTTTATACATGCAAACGAGCTGGGCTTTTCAGACTCAAATTTAACTCAAAGCCGACCCTCCTCGTTTTTCACCCCTGTCCTTAGCCAGAGCTTACTCTTACCCTTAACTCGAACCTTAATCCTAGCCCCAGCTCTAACCCTAATCTAGTGTTTATTGACGTAGCCTGCAACTGTTTGTTTAGTATAATACTCTTTTGTCCGAAACGAACGGATTTGCGCATGCGTCAAGTTAAGACTATATGCAAAGAGTAATCAATAGCTAATCAAACTTTGCGTGGTCATTAGCTCTTCATACTTTTTGTAGTAACTGGGCGTTCAGTTAGTTCTAGTTTTTTACTAGAGTTAAAATTTTATTTTGTATTAACTTTTTTAAGCAAAAAGTAAAACTTAAAAAATTTAATATTTTTCAAAAAATTTTTTTTAAATTTTATTTTTATTTCTATTTTATTACCTAAATTTCATAGCCAAAATTAACTTTATTGCCCTAAAAATGCCTCCAAATTCACTACCGGCAGAAACAAAACGTTCCGTATCCCCAACGTTCTCAACGGGCTCCACTGACAGTATTTTCACTGATATTACTATACCTACTGAAACTAAATTATCACTCAATTCATTACCTACATCTTCAATTTCAAAAAATTCTAAAAACTCGCTAAATCTACCCTATAACCATGCCTTAAATTCTAATCTACCATACCCTAACAATAAGATCTGTAAGGCTCAACCGAGCTCTACAAAAGACCCTACAGACCTACCGTACACCCTAACAGAGCACCAAACAGAATGGCCAAGTATCTACAGCGCCTCCCTACTATCATTTATCAGTGCTGTCCAATTCTCACTATACCTATCATCCATGTACCCCTACATGCAGATAGTAGACAAAAATATAACCGAGACCTTCTTTGGTGCTATAGTATCAGCCTACAGCATAGGCCAGATCGTAGCCTCACCATTGTTTGGCTACTGGAGTAACAAAATCAGAAGAGTTACTCCGCCTCTTTATTTAGGCTTGACTATGATGTTACTTGGTAATGCGCTTTATATTACCATGCCTTTGATAGGGTTGCCTAATAGGTATTTACTATTGTTTGGGAGGCTGATTACTGGCATTGGCAGTGGTAATGTAGCGTTATTGAGAACGTATGCTTCAACTGCGTCCACGATAAAAGATAGAAGCCATGCTATTGCGTTTGTTACTTGTGGACAGGCTTTGGGAATGGTTTTTGGACCTGGTAAGAGGGTGGGTAGGGTGCTTTAAAATGGTAGGAATAGTAGTACGGGATGGGAGTAGTGGTAGAGATAGGGGTAGGGTTAGGGGTAGGGGTAGGGGTAGGGGTAGAGCAACGCTATGCCTTTTCTTCAATTGATACCAAATATTTTTTAGTGTTCCAACTAATCTTCACCCCGCTAGGCTACCCTGGATTCCCTTTATTCTCTAATTCTATGAGACTCAATTTATATACAGCTCCCGCCTACCTAGCCTGCATTATTAATATGGTAGGTATGGCTTTGTTAAAATGGGAATTCGTCGAGACTTATGTGGGTATTGTTACTATGACTAGAGCTAATGTACCTGGAAGTAATGATGATCAAAAGAAAGAAAAGTCTAGTGATTATGAAGAAAATGATGAATATTATGTAGAAGAGAAAGTAGAAGTAAAAGAAGATGTAAAAGGCGTAGAAACAAAAAAAGAAGACAAAAAAGTAGAAAAGAATGAAGAAAAGAAAGAAAAAATAGAAAAAGAAAAATCAAAGGAAGAAAAAGTAAAAAAAAAAGTAGAGACAGAAGAAGAAATAAACCTTCCAGAATACGATAAAATCGCCGTTTTCATATGCGACCTCACTAGATTTGTTGATGTTTTCGTAAGAACAAATTTGGAGGCCCTAGGAGCAGCTTTTGCTATGATGATGTTCAACTTGACTGAACATGAAGCAGTGTTCTACAATTCAGCAGCTCAAGGCACAGTCGGATTTTTAACGTTCTTTATTTATTTGCTCTATATCTTCTTTAACTTGGATCAACAGTGAGTTTTTGTTATGTACGCTATTCTATATTACCCTACTCTACCCTACCTTACCTTACCCTACCATACATTATCCTACTCTACCTTATTTAATATTTTAAAATAGCCAGGCCGGGACTAAAACTAATGTTGCGGCCCAACCCACAGCCTTAATTTAGGCCTTTGCCCTCAGGCCGGCATGTGCCACCCCAACCGAACCCCTTTCAAATTAGATTCGACCCGAAACCGAACCATACATGGTAAACCCCCTTTCAGGTCTATTATTTAATAATATGAAAAACATTTTTCAGTTTCAACATGAGAATTGGCTGTATGTTATCACTATTGGCTTTGGTTTTATTCAATTTACTCACTTTTTCTTGGCCTTTTTTGCCACGCCTCGACGAGAAATGTAAGTTAGAAACAGCAACATAGAAGCCTTATTTTACTTTACTGCATCAGTAATTGTTTTCCTATTCAAAATTTTTAAAAAATAAAAAAGAAGTAGTGATTAAAGCCGTATTTTACACTATAATCACCCCGTACCCTTACAAACCCAATTTCAGACGCCCTCAATGACACAATTGGCTGCAACCAACACCATTTCCATTGGTGTACCAGCTTGAACTCAGTCAACTTCTACATATATTACCTATCATATGCCATAGTTATTGGCCTAGCCTTCCCAATCCTTACAATTACCATGAACACTCTATTTTCTCGTATTTTAGGGCCAAGAAGACAAGGCACCGAACAAGGTGTACTACAAGGTTGTAGTGGACTAGCAAGACTAACTGGACCTGTTTTAGCCAGTACTTTGTATACGAACTGGGGTCCTAGACCAGTTTGGTGTATGGAAATCATTGTAATTTTGATTGTGTTTGGTTGTTGGGGTAAAATGTACCATAGAATGGTACCGTTTGAGGAGAAAGTTAGAAAAGATTCTACTGTTGGTAGTAATCCGTATTTGAATATGGTGGAGAAAAGAAAATGTCATATTTAAATGTATAACTTCGATTAATAAAGGTTTATTTAAAAGTTAAAAAAAATCTTCTGATCTACCGTAATATAATCTGCTATTCTAAAAAAACCCTATGCAGGGTGCGCCAAAAGTCCCCGGACTAACTTTACCGGTCGATTGTAGCAACTCAAAAAAAATTTTAAACCTACCTTCAAAACATTGTTGTTAGGCCGACTAGGATACGCGAATTCCACTTTGTCCACCTCAATACACCCTTCCACATCTCCATTACCCATAAAGTTACCATCGTTCTTGATCTCCGGCTCTCGATGAATATACTCCAACACCTTTCTCGACGCCCCAACAGATTCCATCAATCCAGAGAATACGTAATTCAGTCCAGTAAAGTTCTCACTCAGCTGCATCTGATAGAACAGAAAAGAAGTGGCAGAAGCTGCATCAAGCTCGCCTTTGATCGCCAATCGCCCAGCATAGATCAGCACGGCGATTAGGACCACGTTTTCGCTCAGCTCGTTGACCCAGACATAACCCATGTAAGCGACGGCCTTCTTGCGATTGTAGTGTAAGGTATTGTTGAGTTTGGACAGGTAGCGGTCGCTTTCCTGAAAATAGTTGAAATTTTAAAAATATATCGAAAAGTTGGGCCTTACATTGATCTGAATGAAATTTTAATATTATTATAAAATAGTTTTAAAAATAAAGCAAGATCAGTTAATTCCCACAACTAGGACATTTGAAAACCATTTTCCGTCAAAATATTAAAATATCTAAATGTTGCGGAACTCCACAATTGATTATTTTTCTTGAAAACGAGGACGAATCAGTGTGAGAACGCTTTGAAGTGTTATTTGCCAAGTATTACCTTTTTACCAACTTTATTGTAACATATTATTGTTGTCAATAATCAAAAAATCATTTACCTTAAATATTTTATCTTGCTTTAACTTTTTCTCGCGATATCGAAGAATATTCGTCTAGTTTTTAGCGGCAATTCATGGATAATGTAAATTTCGGCAAATCTGACGAACGAATTTTGGTTTATGGGATATATTGGGTATGTTGTTATTGTTTTCTTTGATTTTTAGGTATCTTTAGAAGGAGAAGAAGCTAATAAAATGAATGAACATAAATTTAAAGTTAAAACTTCTCATAACTGTTGTTTAGGTAAGTTTTTGTGGAGAATGATGGATAATATATAGTTTGATGGTTCTGATGCACAGTTTTCGATGCAGTCTACATTATTTGGTATGTTTTTGTTGTTTTTTTTTATTTCTAGGCGAAAAACCAGTTAAAAAAGAAGTAATACTGCCCTAACCATACTTTAAGTCGTATCGGAACCGATTTTTTTTTAAAAGTTGTATTTTTAGGTATATTTAGGTATTAAATGTTCTTTGTTGCTAGAGCTAAAGAGACAAGTTTTAAGGCAAGTCTACAGTTTTTAAAGCTAGGCTAGAGTAAATTCAAACTTCAGCAGGACTTACTATAAACAAAACCCTACCTGTTCTTCGCAAGCAAAAGCTCTCACAGTTCTCATTGATCCAATAACTTCTTCTGCCATTCTGTTTGCATCTGCCATTGTATTTTGCGTCTTTTCGCTTAACGTTTCATAATAACTGCCATAATATTTACTGAATAACATTAGTGGTGGTACTGCGATGAAAGTGATCATGGTGAGCTTCCATGATAATTGGAACATGAAGATAAGACTACCGATCAACATTACTGAGTTACGGAGGAATACGTTGACATTTGTGGAGACACTTGATGCTACAGTTTGGCAGTCGGTTGTCAGTCTGGATGTTATTGCTCCTAAAGTTTTGTTAAATTTTTGATTACTGTAGGGTTTTTTGATACTGTAAATAGTTATAAGGCTACTGTAAGCAAGAATAGGGTACTGGAAGCGTGTACATAATACTGTAAGCCTTCATAAAGAACTGGAAGGGTAAGGTCGCGTATGGTAGGGTAGAGTAGGAAGAGGTAGGATAGGGCAGGATAAGGCAAGTTAGGGCACTCTAGGGAAGTACAAAGTAAGGTAGGGCATGTGAGGCAAAGATAAAGTAAAATACGGCCAAACCCTATAATAGTATTAATGCAATAGTATTAATGACTTTTATATTCAACTACTCACCAGTCTGATTACTATCAAAGAAAGCGATTTCTTGTTTGACCAACGACGAGAACAAATCTCTTCTCATCGACCGGTTAATTAATGCTGTCGCTTGTGTAAAGGTTCCACCTCTCAAGCCAGCAAAGACAGTGCTAATGACTGTTAAAACGCACAACATTAAGATGTCGTTGACGAAATTTGATTCTTTTTGATGAGCTTCAGCCATTATGTCGGCTAAAACTTGACCAACATAGTAGGGGATAAATACTCGGGCTGAAAAGTTATTGTCATGGATTAACATAGTAAAAGCGGCACTTAGGAGTAGGTAGGTGCGTTGGCTAAATTCTTGGCAAATTGGTATAGAGAAGTCTACAAAATTATTTTAAAAAGTTATGGCATTTCCTACTTACCGGCCGAATATACGATCAAAAATACGAAGCCAACGCCGAACCAGGCCATATGAAGTCTACAGTATTGTAGCAGGTTTCTAATATGATCTCCAGTTGAGGTTCTTGTACTATCTGTATCATTTGTACTATTAGAGTCATTAGTACTGTTGACATTAGTGTTAGTACTTGTACTATTAGAGTTATCATTAGTATTACTACTGTTGATAGTAGTATTATTACCATTAGTACCGCTCCTACTATCAGTAGTATTATTATCAGTGCCCAAAGCACCGTTTGTAGGGTTACGTTGGCCATTTGAGCTAGTAATACCGTTATTATTACTGTTGTTAAAGGTAGTAATACCATTATGTTGACCATGTTCGATAATGGTGACGTCATCGTTTCCCATTCGTTGATATGAATTGACATTTTGAGCGGCTTGTTTAGATATACACGTATATAGACGAGGTAGAAAAAGTGAAATAAGTATATTTGATGACACGTTTAACCAGATACCAACGTATTTTAGTTGTGTTGAGATTTCGGCAAATGCCAACACTGAAATGGTGGTTTATATAGATCTTAAGGTAGAATAGGGAGGGTAAGGTAGGATAGGGTAGGGTAAATTATGGTACGTACCTTTAACCAATGAATACGAAACACAAAGTGTAGTAAAAATCTTCAGGCCATGTTCAAAATTTGTCATTTTCCATTGCCTAACTTTGAAACTCACTCCCAAAGTTACAGTAAACCATCGTACTAACGATAGAATCAAAAAATCTGTAGATAATATTCGAAAGTTCCATGTAGACGGTAATAATCTTGATAGTAAAGTTGAAAGCGAAAAGTTGAAATTTGTATTGTAGAACCCAAATGATAAGGTAGTTACAGTAATATCGATTACAAATGAGACCAGTAATGTTAATATGGCTTTTAACATGGCTGCGTGAGGTTAGTACCTAAAATATTTTTTTAAATTAAAATTTTGAAACATGATTAAGTAGATTATCAATGAGGCTAGGGCTAAGATTAAGCCTAGACAGGAGCTAGGGTTAAGCATGGGCTGGTTAAACATAGGGTGGTTACTGAAATGTAGCGCTAGAGAAAGCTAGGCATGGGGCTAGCTAAACTTTCCAAACCCAACTCTAGAGCTAAAACTAGGGCCAAGAAAGGCTAATAACACTAGGTATGGGCTATCAAAACTTAGAGCTAGTCGATGACACTAAAACTAGTGTTAGGAGAGGCTAGAGAAAGCTAGACATGAGCTAGATAAACCTGCTAAAGTCAGGGCTAGAGCTAAACCAAAGACCAGACAATGCTATGCGTGAGCTATTTAAACCTATGTTATCGCTAAGCCTAGAGCTGATAGCTAAACTTAGGAATAAAAAGAGCTAGAAATGGGCTGGAGCTAAAACTGGGGTCAAGGCTACGACAATAAAAAGTAAAAAATTCAAAGTAAAAAATGAAAACAAAAAAAGTACAAAAACAAATTTCAAAACCGAAAAAAACATGTCACAAGTAGCAATATTAACTTATAACATTATCAAAAATGGCCTTTCTGAACGAACTTTGTTATCTATGGTAACATCGATTAGGTCATTTTCGAAACAAGTCTGGTTTTTATTTGAATATTAATTACCCGGAAATGATCAGTTTTGCTTTGTGTTGAGGCAAGTCGAAACTGGCTATTTTTTTAAATTTAAAAAAATTAAAATTTTTCAAAACTTAAAACTTAAAAAATGTTTTAAGAGTTTGCTGGTCCAAACTTTTGCAAAGTTTAGAACAGATTATAATTCTTTTTTAATTTTGCCCTGTTTGCTTTCCCTCTTTGCTTTTTCGGCCAAACCTTCTCTTTTTCGTCGTAAAAAAAGAGGGGTCTATAGCTAAGAAATGGCAAAATATCTAGACATTGTGTAAGGGTAAAACACCTATTAGATGATTTTTAGGTTGGGGTGGGTTAAAAAATAATTTTTGAAGTCAGATCAATTTAAAATTTTTTTTGCTTATTTCACCTTTGCCTTACGTTACCTTATAACACAGCTTTAACACTAGCTCTAACCCTAGCCCTAGTTTTAGTTCTAGCTTTGGCCATAGCTTTAGTTCTAACCTTAGTCTTAGTCCTAGCACTAGCTTTAGCTCTAGCTTTAATTCTAGCCCTAGCTTTAGCCCTAGCTCTAACTCTAGCCCTAGTTTTAGCTCTAGCTTTGGCCATAGCCTTAGCTCTAATCTCAGTCTTAGTTCTAGCCATAGCTTTAGCCCCAGCTTTAGCTCTAGCTCTAATTCTAGCCCTAGCTTTAGCCTTAACTCTAATCTTAGCCCTAGTTTTAGCCCTAGCTTTGGCTATCGCTCTAACTCTAGCCTTATTCTTAGCTTTAACACTAGCTTTAGTTCTAGCTATAACCTGAACCGTAACTGTACCGCCAGCCTTAGCGCTGGACAATCAGCACAAGCAGGATCAAACATAGTGTCTTGCGTTGTCCTGCTTGCTTTAGATCTACCAGTTCTACAATAATCTTACTATTGTTTAACACTGGGTCTACCCTAGCTTTCTCTAATTTCTTCAAACCCTAATTTTTCAAAAAAGTTCGAAATGAGCTTTTTATATCATTTATTGTGCATCAACAAACGATTCATTCTTGACATATACTGGTTGATCGTTGACTTTGTTGTGGCTAAAAACTTTGATTATTTTAGTCCAGAATGATCTGCAAACTTTGTGTTTTCTAGGGAAGGAAGGTTGACTTCGTTCTGAGGATTCAATTTGTACTACTTCTTTAGGTACTGGTTGAGAATTTAGTTGTTTATGAGGCTTCTGAAATGTAAAATGGATTTTAATTAAAAATATTTTTTATAAAGAAAGTTTTTGCTATTTTGGACTTATTGAAACAAGTTCTTGCCATTATTCATCTTGTAAATAAAGTTCTTGCCATTTTTTGTTTTGTAAAGAAAATTCTTGCTATTCTTGACATTGTAAAGAAAGTTTTTTCCAATTTTTGCTTTCTAAAGAAAGTTCTTGTTATTTTTTATCTTGTAAAGAAAGTTCTTGCCATTTTACCTTTTTCTTCAATGTGAGTTGCCGCTTCATTTTACCATAGTAGTTCTTATTTGTAAAACAATTTATCAGTTTGTTCTGACCAGTATTATTCAATTCTTCTTCTTGAGCTTCAGAATCACCTAATGTATCCTTTTTTATAACTTCTTCAATTTTAAAAGCATTGATTTTACAGTGGTTTACTGTACTATCCGGAGAATCTTCAGCATTATGTTCATCGTGATTAGAGTAGAACCCGTCATCTGAGCTTACTGTATAATCTTCTGACACTTTTCTACTGCTTTTGGTTATGTTTAGTTCAATAAGGTGTTGATCAACTACATGATTATTATCGTCGACTATATTTAAGGCCTGTATTGAAGAAGATTTGTTAAGCGACTTAACTTCTGATGAGGGTATTGATTTGGTTACCGTACCTGAAAATGAAAAAAAATTTGAAAGTTTACTTTATCCTACTATACCCTACTTTACCTTGCACTACCCTACCCTAGCTTACGTCCCCCCCCCCTTTGCTCTACTTTTTGCTCTACCTTATAGTATCCTAATTTAACCTACAATGCCTTACACTGCCCTATCCTTAAGCTTTTTTTTCGCAAAAGTGTGCTTTACCATAATCAAATACACCAATGTTATTGACAGTCCTGACGATAACATAAACAAAAACACAAACAGTGTCTCTCCAGAAATAATTAAAATCGAATGAAATTGGTTGTAAAGAAAGTGATTGCACCGCCGTTGACAATAGTGAGGTATAAAAAGGCTGAAATGAATATAATTTATTGTAAAATACGGAGTTCGTTGTTTTTTCTGTATAATTTTTCAAAATTATTTAAGAAAACTTACAATAACAGCAGATTTTAACAAAGAGCCAGCTTTTTCATAAAATTTGTTGTTGAATAGAGTACTGTTGGGGAACATTTCGTCAGATCAAAGTGCATCGGACGGCCTAAAATTGAAAAAGTAATAATTGCGTTTCAAAATCAGTAAAAAAATGCTCGCGGTAGTAAAACCTAGCTTAGCCGCTAATCATAGTCCTAGCTTCACCATTACTTCTAGCCCTGGGTTTAGTCTTAACTTTAGGCCTAGACTAAATTCTAGCCGACGCTTTCATTCTATTCCCTAGTCCTAACCGTAAATTAACCTCTAGCCTTTCGGCTTTAGTCGTAGCCCTATCCTTAGACTAAAAAATTTTTAGCCTAAACCCTAGCCCATAGCTCTAGATCCAGTCCTTACTATAGTCCTAGCCATAGTCTTACCTCTAGATTCAACCCTTTGCACTAGCCTTAGCTTTAGTCCTTTCATCGGTCTACCCTTTAGTTTATATTTTTTTTAATACTTGCCTACTATAATATCAATATCAAATACAAATTCAAGTCCAATTCAATCAATTTTTAAACAATAAAAACAAAAGTATTTTCATATATTCTTAATACAACAGCTATAATGCTATCAAAAGCTATAAAACCTGCAAAACTTAGCTTAGCTTTTACCTTTTTCAAGCCTAAGCTGCAGCCAAAAACCGCTTAATTTTACTGCTTGACTGGATATAATATTAGGCGATATTAAAACTTATCATACCGCAAGATCAACAAGCGCAATTAAACGTAGTAAAACAACGATAGTTACAACCAAAGCTGCAAGAAATCGTTAAATTGCCATAAGTCCAATAAATCGACAAAAAAGGACACTTTTATGCAAATTTTGCGCGCAAGAGTGCAGTTGAAAGTGCGTCAGAGAAAAAGTAAAAACGCATGCGCTCAACTCTCGCCAAACGGATTATGGGACATTATATTGCAAGATCGTGGCTGGGTCTCTTTATGTAAGAAAGCGCATGAGTTCCGTATTTAAAATTTTGCACTGGGTAACGATTCTTCATTAGCCCCATTTTTTAAAAGTTAGGTAGAGTGTCTTAGCCTGAGTCTCAGTCCTCGTCTTAGCCCTAGTAATAGCCGTAGCCCTATATATGTTCAGTTAAAATGAAAAAAAAATTTTGGGCGGTTTTGTAAATAAATTGACGTGTTCTCCCTTGTAGATCTTTGCAAAAAAAAATTTTGATTTTCGCCCCTAGACCAAAAGTGTCCACCCGCCCCTGTTTATAGCCCTACTCCATGATAATCCAAAAAATTTAAGTAAAAAATTTTTTTTATAATTTTATCACCCTTAAATTTTTTTAAAATACTGAATTAGAAAAAAATATTTTTTTTGCAAGAAATCAAATAAAAACAGCAAAGAACTACTTGATTATCGTCAATAAATTATAAGATAACAAAGGGTTTCTTTTGAAATTTAATCAAAATATAAAATTACTAAATGAATTTGTCATCACTTGATAAAAAATTCTTTTAATTTACAAAAACTTTCCTTACAAACAAATTGGCAAGACTTTTTTTTACATAAAAAATGGCAAGAACTTTCTTTACAGCTTTAAAACGACCTTCAAGCAGTTTCACATATCCTTCTTTAAACCCAAAATTTAAATTATCTAGCCAAACTACAAAAAAACGTTTACATTCCGCCTTCTTGTAAAAAACCCCCTATTATAACATGCTTTAAAAAGTAGAGCATTATGTTCTAATGTTCACGTAAAATAAACAAAATTTGCGGCCGCCTGAATAACGTAGGAACGGTCTCTGTGCTAATTTAGTTTATTATTAATAGATGCTTTATTTTTTCTTCTCAAAAATTGTCAATTTAAAAACAAACATCACATAAAAGTCATAAGATTACAACATGTCATATTATATTACATATGAGGTCAATACAAAGCTAATAATGCCAGGAAAACTAGTAAAACTATATTAATAAGGACATAACTGCCACCTTTGACAGTTTTATTGTCATTACTATGGTAAAACAAAGGTGTTTCACACATTTTCTGAGCGTCTTCCACCATAAAATTCTCAGCCAAATGGCGAAAAGTACCATATGTACAAATAGGACCACAATTTTGGATTTCTGGCGTTATGTCTTGATATGTGTCATCAATCGGCGGCCAGAACAAAAGCTAAAAATATTTTTTTTAATTGAATTTTTGGTACTATATAGTACTAATTATATAAATTCAGTATGTAAAAAAGCAGCCTTAGCCTAGAGCGCTAGTCCTAGCCCAAAGCCCTAGCCCAGAGCCCCAGCCCAGAGCCCTAGCCCAGAGCCCTAGCCCAAAGCCCTAGCCCAGAACCTTATCCCAGAGCCTAACCTAAAGACCTGTCCCAGAGCTCTAGCCCAGAGCCCTAGCCCAGAGCCCTAGCCCAGAGCCCTAGCCCAGAGCCTCAGCCGTAGTCTGAACTGTAGCTTGAAGAGTAGTCTGTAGTTCACCCTGATCTCTAGCCTGAGCCTTAGATTAGAGCTTTATGTTACAGCTTACAATCAGTCACCAATTCTAAGCCACAGAACCCTAACCCAGACCTCTAGCCCAGAGCCCTCGTACTGTAAGACATTACACAACTTACCCTAATAACATATTCCCTATTGATTTCTCGAAGTTCCAAAGTAACAGCCGTAGAATATCGTGGAAGGTTCTTGGATTGGTAGTTTGGACTAGGAAAGCCAAACACAGAAAATAGTGCTGATATCGTCATGTCATGCTGAAAATGACAAGAACGTTCTTTACAAAACAAAAAAAAACAAGAACTTTCTTTACAAGTCAAAAAATGGCAAGAACTTTCTTTACAAAACAAAAAGAACAAGAACTTTCTTTACAAATCAAAAAATGGCAAGAACTTTCTTTACAAAACAAAAAATAGCAAAAACTTTCTTTAAAAAACAAACAATGCAAAAACTTTCTTTCCAACAATTTAAAAAGTCAACTTACCGCAGAGTAACCATAAAACTTCAACTTCTTCATCTGTTGACATTCTTTATCACCTTTGTCATCATTTTCTTTCATTTTATCACATTTCATTTTCATTTCCATTCTGTTTATCATATCAGTTATCATTGGTCCACCTCTCAGCCGTGCCATTTCTAATTGAATATTCAGACCATTATGAGGTGGTACTCCAATTCCAAATTGTAGATGGTCTATATAATCATCTAGGACTTCTATACGATGAAATAAAGTTTCGTTCATGCCTTCAAATGTCTTGTTGTAAGTCTGGAAAGAAGTGGCATTAAAAGTAAGGAATGATAAAGTATATAGGTTACTGTAGAGTAGTGTAAGGTAAGGTAAGGTAAGGTAAGGTAAGGTAAGGTAAGGTAAGGTAAGGTAAGGTAAGGTAAGGTAAGGTAAGGTAAGGTAAGGTAAGGTAAGGTAAAAAGGCAAAGGCAAAGTGGAGTAGTATGACATACCCGGCAAACCATAGCATAATCGTGAACCATCCACAGGTTTTGTATACTGATCTTTGTACCAGCCAACTCTGTCAGTCTTTTAAACAAATCCTTATTTTCTTCTTGAGTTTTTACGCCTTCAGGGCATGTATTGTAAATATAGTTTAGTAATTCGCGTAGTCTTGGGCATTTTCGATTTACATTGGCTACCTGGAAATTCAAAAGGTTAAAAATTAGACTTTTTTGGGCGTGGTAATTTAAGAAAAAAGTTTTTTTTTGAAAAATAAGGGCTATGGCTTAGGCTTAAACTAACCCAACTAAGGCTCTATCGAAGACTAAGATTGTTATAGAGATCTGGGCTAGGGCTCTGGGCTGGGGCTCTGGGTTGGGGCTCTGGTCTAGGGCTCTGAGCTAGAGCTCTGGGCTGGGGCTCTGAGCTAGGGCTCTAGGCTAGGTTTCTGGGCTAAGGCTCTGGGCTAGGGCTCTGGGCTAAGGCTCTGGGCTAGGGCTCTGGGCTAAGGCTCTGGGCTAGGGCTCTGGGTTAGGGCTCTGGGCTAGGGCACTGGGCTAGGGCTCTGAGCTAGGGCTCTGCGCTAAGGCTTACTTACGTAGTCAGTAGAATACTCTTGTGTATGTATTGGCACTGCCACATAATTGCTTGGCCATCCAGGCACATCAGGGTAGTCTTCCCCTTTCACTGCGTTTTTACTGTACATTCCTAACATGGTTGAGGATGCACTGACTAAAGTTCGATTTTTGTCTGAACTTCGAATGAAAATCTGGAATTTAAAAACTTTTTTGTAAAATACGGTTTTCGTTACCCTTTTATAAAAATTTTAAAAATTAAAAAAAAATGTTTTTTTTCAAAATTTTTGGAAAAAATTAAAAATATTATTAAAAAATTTGAAACTCACTTCAGAAGTGTCAAAACGTGGATTCAAGGACTTTTCGGCTTCAATATAACGTTTTCTTAGCTTTTCTCCCAATAAGAATTGGTCTTTCATGCCATTCTGAAAACAAAAATTAAAAAGAAAACTTTAAAAACATAAAAATATAAAATATAAACCAAGAAACAGAAGTCTAATACAAATAGACTTACTATAGTAAGCTCTCCAATCGGCCAAGGCCACACATTTTTGTCAGCTGGCAACCCGATATCTGGCATTCTGTCTCCGTGACGCCATAACTAAAATATTTGAAGTAAGACAAGTACTGAGGCCGAGCTGAATGGCCATGTCAATACAAAAACGTCTAAAAATATACCATAATCTACCCTATCCTACTCTACCCTAACATACCATACAATACTCTTACCCTGTTATACGGGGTGGGCAGAAAGTTCTGTTACGAAACTTTACTTGATTAAAAAACCGTGTAACAGAACTTTTTGCTCACCCTGTATAACATCATTAATAAAAATATCGTCAATCTTTTTTATAAAAACATAAAACATAAAAAATTACAAAAACGGCTTTAAAAACGACCTACAGCATGCACAAACACTAGTCGCCCTTCACCAGGAATGTCAGTTACACTTCGAAGTTGTCGTTTATGAAACACAGTTCTTTCGTCATGCCCAACAGCAATGGATACAACAAGAGTAAGGAATAACAAAAAATTAAAAAATAAAGTGTAAAGCATGGCTAATCAACCCTAAAATAATAGCGAAATTGCTGCATAACAATGTTTTATAACAAACAAATTTTAAACTTTTGCGCAATTCGTTATATTTATACAAAGATGCCACTTTATATATGTACATATTAAAGTTTAAAAACAGTTCTTTGTAGTCTACCTTTACTTAAAATATCAATTTATTCTAACAAGAGATGCTAATATCCATATCAATGAATGTTAAACATTTTCCATTTTTACATATACCAAGAGCTATATGCATAAATTATTTTTTTTTCAAAAAGTTTTGCAAAATTTAAGCAAACTTTTTAGACAAAACTTTACTCTCTAGCACCCGATATATATGTCAAATAAAATATATATAACGTTAAGAAATATATTGAAACCCAGTTCATTTTAAAACTATATATTATTGAGCCGTTAGTCAATCATGAAGATCAGATCATCACGTCTCAATTAGCGCTAAAACAAATAAATAGACTTTTGAATAATTGTTTGTATTGTAACAGAGTTCAAGTTTGATCTTTGGCTAGGCTTGTGATCTTGCTTTTGCCCTATCTTTGCCCTGCTTTTGCTTCGCCTTTGCCCTGCCTTTGCTCTGCCTTTGCCCTGCCTTTGCCCTGCCTTTGCCCTGCCTTTGCCCTGCCTATTACCTTGCCTTCACCCTTGCCTATTGACGTTCGATCCTTCCCTATCTTCGTCTACCTTCACCTAACTTTAATTTCCTTCACTTAATTTTGCCTGACTTATCCTGCCTGTACTTTGCCGCTCCGTGCTCGAACGTGTCCTACTCTGCCTCACCGTGCTCAGAAGTGTCCTAATCTGCCTCGCTGTACTCTAAAATACGGTAATTTTGTCTTATTTTTACCTAAACCGTATCTTACCTAAACCTTGCTTTATCCGACCCTAGTCTACTCTACCCTACTTTGTCTTGCCTTACCCTATAAACGTTTTTGTTCATTTTTTACCATACCGCCTTCGTACTCCCTAACGCTAAATTATTATATTACTACCCCTTCCTCTTTCCCTCAGCACTGATCAGCACACTTTTTTCCCATGCCGATTCAAGACCTTAATTAACTTCAGTTAACACAATCAACAAAGACCTTACCGCAATATAATCCTTTGCAAAACCTTTCTTTTGAGATGTTCGACAAGATAAATATAAACTTTGATTGAGTAACATTTAATATGACCAAAAAGGAACGTTTACTTAATAAAAATTTTAAAAACCCAGCGCAAAACGGAACATTTTGTTGGATTTTAATCCTCAATGTTCTTTTATTTCACAAAAACCGTTTTGTTCAAATAGAGAGCTCGATTATAATATATTCTAAAATTACAAACACTATTCATGTGATAGTTTGATGGAAAGGGTTTGAAAAAGATTTTTATGCTTTGTTTAGACTAGTATATTTAAAAAGAAACTAACTCTGCGTTTTTGTATGGACCGGTCCAGCGATTTTCGGGTTATTTCCGGTCCTAACATCAAATTTTTCGGCCCGGTCCAGTCTGGTCCGGTCCAAACCCAAAATTTTTGAGCCCGGTACTGCTCAGTCCGCAATTTTTTTTCATTTTTAGAAAAAGCAAAAAACGGCAAAAAAATTTTTTGGAATGGTCCAGAGTTTTTTTTCGTTCTGGGTTCGCAGGTTTTTGGGTCGGGTCCGGTTCGCAAAAATTTTTGTTGAGTCCGTCCGGTCCGGGCCTGTCCGGCAAAACACTGGTCACACTATGTCTGGCCGGGTTCCAATACATGCCGAAACAACTATGAAAGGAGCCAGGCCGGGCTGACTTACGTACAAGGGGTTCTTGTCAAAGGGCTCTGGAGCTAGCCTAACTATGCAAGCTCAAGAGTCAGACCTAATAAAGTTTGTCAGCTTTACCCTGTTTATCACTACGACTTGGAGTAAGTTTTTTTTATGAATTTTTGATTAAAATTTTTTATCGACCGGTCAATTTTCAATAAATCTTTTAATTAAAAAAAACAATAAAAGTTATGTTAATAACAACAAAAAAACATTTAAAAAATTGTTAGTTTAGAAGACTAATAAAAGCAGCAAGAAACATGAGTAAAACGCTAATTGAAGCCATTGATCCAGAGTTATCCTGAGGTGGGAACTGATCGTCATTGCAAAGCTGAAAAGTGTTTGAAAATTAAAAAATTGTTATTATTATCATAACGTTTTGATCGTTTACTATGCTCTATAATAGCTATATTGTAGTATTTACACGTATCTCGCGATAAGTTGGGGTAACGTAGGGCAGGCTAGACTCATCTTAATCTTACATAGTTAGTCTAAGCAGCTTGGCAGAATTCTAGCTTAACCTTATTAACATCTTACTCTATCAGGAACAAACTATACAATTAATTTTGCTCGTACCCTCACAATATCATACCTCGACCTACCATGCTCTTACATTACCGTACCATAACCTTACCAACTTCTAGCATTATCCAAGCCTTAGTCGTGGATTTACCAGCTACTTTAGTTACCCTAGTCGTATGCTAGGTCTTGTCTTTATCCTAGCTTCTACTGTAATCCTACTATTATAATACTAGCCTCTAAACGTATTTTATTCTTAGTCCCTACCTTACCGTAGCTTTTAATTTAACGCTACTATACCCTTTTTGCTTTTAACCCTACCCTTACTAAACTCTAATCCGAGTCTAGCTTTGTTTTTATTTTACCTTCGGCCTTATTTTTATATTGTACCAGGGGCCACAGCCTTCTAATCAACTCTTATCTTTGAATCTGCCTTAACCACAACACGACGTTGAACGTATTTTACCCCTTCCTTATTCCATTTACTATTGCACTTGCCTGTTCAGGATTGACAGTGTTGTAGATCTCTGACCGTTTGACAAACGTGTCTAAATCACATATCTCTTCACACCCACTGATCAGATGAGTAATGTCTTGGAAGTTTTCTTTATCTTTTGGTGGCCAGTACAGTACTGTTACAGTATAATTACCGTCGTTTTCCCATAGCTCAATAGTAAAGGCAGATGCGTAGTCGGGTAGACCTTTCTTATTGTAGTCAGTTTGGTTGAAGCCAAAGGTAGAGAATAGGCCTGATAGAGTGGTGTCGTGCTGGAAATAGTTAATTTTGAACAAAGAAAAATACAGTAAGATAGGTTAAGGTAAGATAGAACAAAAGTAGAGAGAAAGTAAGACGAGGCAGGGCAAGAACAGAGCAGAGGTAAGACAAGGGTAGGACAAGAATAAGACGAAAGAAAGGCAAAGGTAAAACAAAGGTAAAACAAAGGTAAAGTAGGGTAGGGTAGGGTAAGAAAAGGTAGGGTAGGGTAGGGTAGGGTAGGGTAGGGTAGGGTAGGGTAGGATAGGGTAGGGTAGGGGTAGAGTAGGGTAGGGTACGGTAGGGTAGGATAGGATAGGGTAGGGTAGAGTAGGATAGAATAGGATAGGGTATGGTAGGGTAGATAACGTTACCGTACGGTACAGTACAGTACGGCACGTTGAGGTAAGATAGGATAAGGTAAGGTAAAGCAGAGCAAACTTACAGCAGAATAAACGTGGTATTTAAGAGGATTCAGCCAATGACAGTTCTTATCGTTCTTATTTTCAATACATGACACTTTCTCTTGCATATGATCAATGAGACTCCACAGCAATGGTCCTCCCTTGACTTTTGGAATTTCAATAGACAAGTCGACACCTTTGTAAGTGCCATAACCCATTCCGTATAAGGCTTTATCGGTTTCATCAGCAATGTCATAGATTTTTTCGATAACATCATCAGTGAAACCGTCTGGTAGAGACTTATTGTATTTCTAAAAATTAAAAAAAAATTAAATTTTTTTAAATTTAAAAAATTTGAATTTTGCAAAAATTAATTTTGATAGCTTTAACTTTACCTAAAAATAAAAAATAAAGCATTTTTTGAAATTTGAAAGTAAATCCTTACTTGAGTAATAAACACATCATCACTAATCATCCAAAGGTTGCTGAGATCTACCTTGCTCATGTTAGCAATCTTGGCTACAGTCTCAAAGAATTCATTATTGTCAGATTCTAGCTTTTTGTATTTTTCAGTTTCCTTTAACAATTTCCGCAGAGCACCTGAACGTTTGCAATCTCTGTCAACGTTTCCGATCTGCAATTAATAAACAGATGAGCTTAAGCTTTATGGTTTAGGCTTGATGGCTTAAAACTGGTGACTTAGGCTTGGTGGCCTAAGCATGTTCACTAGACTTGGTGGTTTGGGTTTGTTAGTTTAGGTTTAGTGGCTTAGGCTGTCTTTTAGGCAGTGTTTTGCCCGGGCCGGTCCGGAACGTTTTTCAACGGTCCGGTCCGGCGATTTTTGGGTCCGGTCCGGTCCAAACTTCAAATTTTTGGGTCTGCTCCGGTCAAAACCCAAAATTTTTGGGTCCGGTTCGGTCCGGTCCGCAAAAAAATTTTTTTTTATTTTAAAAACAACAAAGAGCGCTAAAACTGCTTTCTTTACGTTTAAAAACACTTAAAAATAAGTTTTCTTTGCAATTTTTAGAGCTGTTTTTTTTATAAAATAAAATAAAAAAAAATTTTTCTTCCAGACCGGTCCGGAGCTGATCCGCAAAAATTTTTGTTTCGGTCCGTCCGGTCCGGTCCGAACAGGTCCGGCAAAACACTGCTTTTAGGCATAATGACTTAAGCTTGATGACCTAGGCTTAGTGAATCAGGTGGTTTTTTAGGCTTGGTGGTTAGCGTTCAAAGCTCAGGGCTCAGGACTCTAGACTAGGGCTCTAAGCTAAGACTGAAGGTAAAACTAGAGCTTGAGCTAGAGCTAGAGCTAGATCTAGGGCTAGAGCTAAAGCTAGGGATAGAGCTCGGACTAAAGCTAAGGTTACTTACATAGTCAGTGCTCCTTTGTTCAGTGTGAACTGGAATTGGCACGAAATTGCGTGGCCAATGCGTAGCGTTAGGGTAGTCGACATTAGCTGTATTTGTTGAATAGAACCCAATCATATTTGAAAGGGCACTGATTAAGGTACGGTTGACATCAGTACTTCGAATGTAGATCTAAACTAATCTTTCATTAAAAAAAATTTTAAAAAATAAAAAAAAAATATTTTTTCGTGTTTTTTTCCTTACCTCATCATATCTATACCTACTCCCAACGAACCCTAGAGCGTTAATGTACCGTGTACGAAGTTTGTCTCCCAAAGTCAAGTGATCTTCCATTCCCGTCTAAAAGTCATTTTTATAAAAATGCTTAATTTTATTAAAAAAAAAAATAAAATTTTCTTAACAATTTCAAAAAAATACCACTGTAAGCTGCCCAAGTCCAATATCGCTCCAGTCGTTCGTATCGGATGGGAATTGATATTCTGGAGCTCTGTCACCATGTCTCCAAACCTAAAGAGAGTAAAAAGTACTAAAAATAGTGTTTTCTTACTTAAATTAACAATAAAAAGTTATTTTTCAAGTTTTAATTTTTTTGATAATCTTTTGACACTTCGTCAAATGTGCCAATAATTTTGTGACATTTTGTCAAATTTCCAATAATAGTTTGACATTTCGTAAAACTTGAACTTTTGACTTTTATTGTAATATCATTGTTATATGCGTGTATTGTGTGAGTTAACAATGACTTACAGCCTGTAAAAAGACCAGTTTTCCTTGATCAGCTGATACCCTTGAATTCACATGTTGCAGTGGAACATCAAACATTGATGGAATCATGGCAGAAACACATGTCAAACATAACAGTCCAAAAACTGTCTTTGACAACATTTTGTAGAGAATTTGTCAAGTTCTGAAAATGTAAAAATTTGAAAAAAGTGTAAATTAAAAAAAAAAACGCATTTTACGTAAAAACCCTATTCAAAAAGTAATTTCCCTGCCCTAATTTGCCCCGCCTTTGCCCTGCCTTTGCCCTGCCTTTGCCCTGCCTTTACCCTGCCTTTGCCCTGTCTTTGCCCTGCCTTTGCCCTGCCTTTGCCCTGCCTTTGCCCTGCCTTTGCCCTGCCTTTGCCCTGCCTTTACCCTGCCTTTGTCCTGCCTTTGCCCTGACTTTGCCTTGCCCTGCTCTTTACCCTCCCCCCCCCCTTCTTTGCCTTAAATGAAAAAAAAAACCACTTAATTTTATCTTACTCTACAACAGTTTAACGCTAATGCAAAAAAAAATCTTTTACCCTGCCCTATATTACCTCATCTTACACCCTCCCCCCCCATCTACTAAAATTAAAAAAATTCTTAAAAATTTAAAAAACTGAAACAATGAAGTCTTCAACAAACTTCACTTTAGGCGTTATCAGTGGTTGAACAAAGATAATTTAATTAAAAGGGACATGTAAATCAGCTTTTTATTGAAGTCATTTTAAGTTTGTTTTATATTTTTGATAAGGGCCGCCTTTGAAATGTAGGAATTACTAGAAACATCATCAACTGCTATATCAATATCAGCGAAAAAATGGGAAAAATCATCAAAAATTCTAAAAATACCATAAGTAAACCGAAAAATCATCGTTTTTTGTGAGACAAGACTTTTAAATATGCAATTTTAGGTAGTATGTAACAGTACAACTCTACAAACTATACATTTTTTGATATATATATATAATATATATATGCCGGTAGTGATTATGTACAACAAAGAAATGAATGACAAATGAGAAACAGCTTTTGTACACTTCTTTTGTGTGTTCTTTAGAATTCTACAATGTGTTTAAATGTCAAAACTGCTAAAATTTTATATACGCCTATTTTTAAATTTAAAAAAAGGTTCATAAAACACACATATTGATCGCAATTTGTGTCTAGTTGTGCACTAAAATTGCAGTTAAATCGATTTATAAAAAACATAACATTAATTTTCTACCAAAAACGTAACTTTTTCAAACAGCCCTAGTCTTAGCCTTAACCCCAAATGCTAGTTTAAGCTCTAGCCTGAGATTTAGCCTAGAGCCCTAGCCCAGAGCCCTAGCCCAGAGCCCTACTCAAAGTTCTAGCTCCAAAGTTCTAGCCCAGAGCCCAAAGCCCAAAGACCAGAGCCCTAGCTCTCAGTTTTCCCAGTTAAGAGCTCTAGCCTGAGGTCTAAGCGAGAGTCCTAACCCAGGGTCCTAGCCCAGAGCCATAGCCCAGAGCCCTACCCATATCCCTAGCTCCAAAGCCCTAACCGCAAACCTCTAGCCCCAAGGCCCCAGGCCTAAATAATAGTCTGTTTTTTTACAAGTTGAAAGGAAAAGTTGTGAATTCTTCCCTCCTATTAATTATAACAGAAAAAGGCTTTTTTTACATTAATTTAATTGTTCTGTGAACTGTAAAATTATTAGTAATCACAGTTTTTTATTATTATTTTTGGCTTTAAATTTTATTTTTCGATTTTTACTAGCATTTCTTGTGTTGTTTACTTTAAAATGAGGTAGAAAAAAGTGTAGACGGAATTTCAAAAATTAAATATTACAAAGAACAAGCCTTTCAAAGCATTAAAAATTTTTTCCAAAAGACATAAAGGCTTGTGAATATTATGGTAACTACACTTCTAGCCCTTCTTTTTCAATTTTTTGTTCAAAATTTTGAAAAGTTTCTTTTTGTCGAACTAAAAATTAGAATTTGTTTTTGAAATTCAAAATTAAAAAAATTATTTGCTATTACTCTACTTTACCCTACTATCAGAACTGGAACTTTTAGTCTGGAGGCGGAGTCAAAAAAAATCCACAGAGGGAACCACGTTCAACTTTTTTCAAACATTTTTTTAGAAATGGGGGGGGAGGGAAAGAGGGGGGTACCCCACCCAGCGCCCGCCCTTGCCTACTATACTCGGCTTTGCTTTAGAATTACTGTAGCTGTAGCCGAATCTTGTCCAAAGCTTGCCTTGGCGTTTTCTAAATATGGTAATTCTACTTTAATCTGGCAACCTTACTGTATTTTTACCTTACCTTATTCAGTCTTACCCTATCTTACTGTACCGTATCTTATTATACTTTACCCTACCGTTGCCTGCTTTACATTACCCCACTGCACCGTACTATACCTTACCGTACCCTACCGTAGCCTGCCTTACCCTACCGTAGTCTACTTTACCCTACCGTAGCTTGCTTTACCCTACCGTACCTTACATTACAAATGTTTTTGAACTTTGTTATAGCTATACTTATTGCTTGTTATACAAAAACTGTTATAGAAAAACTTTGTTATACAAGAGTTCTTTTGCATGTATGATAAATGACATCAATTCGAACCTTCAAAAACGGTCTCTATCACATTTTGTATGATTTTGGAAGATGGACTTCAATTCATGGCGTTCCACATATTGCGTTGGCCGATCATGTACTAATTGTAATTTTCTGGATCCTAGTGGTTATTCTTTGCACTTTAATTTTGACCATATTGACTATCACTAACATCACCAAGTTTTTGAGTTATCCGGTGACTCTTTACCAAAGGGTGAGTTTAAAAAACGTTTGTTGTAATAGCCTTAAGATTGACATCTACTGTAACAATTTGTAACTTTTGCTGTAATTAAACTTGAAAACAAGCCGTGCCTATTTTTTGGCTTGGCTTACGAGCCGGCTCTGGATTTGAAGCCTAAAGACGTCAGCTTTGTTTTGCAGCTTTTGCAATTCACATCTTTCGTTGCGGGACCTAAGCTTGTTTGTTCCGGCTATTTTAAAATGTGTTTTAGCCCGGCCAAGTTTCGATGAGCCTAGTGCTCCACACTACTACTGCTTAACCCGGCCGGGCTTTGGAACAAGGCTGGAGCAGGCCTGGTGGGACTCACTTCAGGTATAACCGAAATAAAAAATTTAATTTTAAAACGACTCTTTATATTATGACCATACATAAGTTACCGTTTCTAGACCATAACTGGCCCTCAACAATTTCCGGTAGTAACAATTTGTAATGGTAACCCTTGGAAAAGCACTGGAGCTCCGGGTACGCCATTGGAAGACTTGGTATGTGGATGATACTAAAACAATGACGTCTTCTTTGTCTTTAATTTGTTTGGCTTTTCTACGTTTTGATATTTCTGGCTGTATGTAAAAATGACATATATAATATGTCAACATTTATAGATAGAAGCCTACCAGTCAAACTTAAACAACCCTACTTATGGCTTTGAAACACCTTATAATATGGACACGACTTTACGAGCGATTAGATGGACTCATTATATGTTTGATGATTTGAAAGAGTTTGATCAAAATGTAAGCTTCTACCTTATTTTATATTAGCATTTACTTTACATATTCAAGCGTCTACAATTACAACTGTGGAGATATAGATTAGATTAGTAGTTTGACGCCGTAGATTGTAACGTACTGTGCTGATGTGCAAGGATGTTCAAGATTTAGATGAAGACCAACAGAGCTATCCTTGAGTCTGACGTTTCCCATAATTGGGTCTCTCCTCCAGGTATTTCACTGTTCTTGCGTCACTGAGTCGTGGGTGAGGTGCTCCATAAGACTTCTGACGGTCAATCATATACTCGTGTAGGCCAAGTATAGAAGTGCCTAGTCCCCGTGCACTCAGCACTACCTATTCCTCAAGGCGCCTGGGTTGGGCGGTGCGCGGGGGTCAAACCAAGGTCCTTCCGAATAGCGAGCGGCGCCACAGCGACTGCGCTATCGACGCATCAAATTTGGCTTCAACTTAGCTCAAAATCCCATTATCTTCTCCTTCTCTCTACTCTACTCCACCCTACAATATCTTGTTCTGCTTTACCTTACGCTCTGTATTAATTTAGCTTTATATTAACTTTAAAAAGGTTGCTGGATGGAATTAAGCTTGCTCTACTTTATCTCTACTCTACAATGTTTTTGCACTAATATAAGATAGTACTGCTGTAGCCAGGGGCGGGCGAGGACTATTGGTCCGGGGGCTTTACTTCTACAATAGCATTACCCTACTCTTACACTAGCTTTACCCTGCTTGACGCTACCTCCCTCTTCAATGTCCCACTTCTATGATTGTCTTAGATTATCTTTATCCTTGTCTTATGTTAACTATAATGCCATCCGACTATGATATTACACATCTTGTACTTTCACTTTCTATACCACCTTCTTTACTGCTTTAGGGTTCAGCAGCCTTATCGTACTCATTGACAGAAATGGTGGTCTCTTGTCAGTACAATTTGGAAGATTGTAATTTAACGTAAGTTTTTAAGAAAAATTTATATTTTAAAAACTTTAATTTCAAAAAATTTAAAAAAAATTAAACTTGAAATTAAAAAAAACGCATTTTTAGTGAAACGGTTGACTTTTATGACCCCTACAACGGTCTGTGTCATATGATCAACCCTAACATGACTTGGAATTCGTCTCGAGCTGGGCCTTATAATGGAATGAGAATAGCATTGAGATCACCCAGTGACACTTATTTGCCTTGGGAATCCACTGCTGCTATAATATTCTTCATTCACGGCACGGTGGGTAGTATTTTCGGCTTGGAGTTTTTAAAAAGGCAGGGCAAAGGCAGAGCAAAGGCAGCGCAAAGGCAAGGCAAAGGCAGGGCAAAGGCAAAGCAAAGGCAGGGCAAAGGCAGGGCAAAAGCAGGGCAAAGGCAGGGCAAAGGCAAAGCAAAGGCAGAGCACAGGCAGAGCATGACTTTAAATGCAAATCTTAATTTTAGAATGAAACCCCCTTCCAAGACGCCTTTGGCTATTTTGCTGAAATTGGCCGTTGTAATTCCGTTGGCATGACATATATGAAGCGGCAAAAACTACCCGAGCCGTATAACGACTGCTCAGACGATGGTGATGGAGCTCCAAATTATTATAGCAATGGCTATGAAGTAGGTGTTTTACCCTACCCTACTCTACCCTACCCTACCCTACCCTACCCTACCCTACCCTACCCTACCCTACCCTACCCTACCCTACCCTACCCTACCCTACCCTACCCTACCCTACCCTACCCTACCCTACCCTACCCTGCCCTACCCTACCCTACCCTACCCTACCCTACCCTACACTCCCTATGCTACTATATTTTAGATAGAAGCCTGTATTCGAAGCTGTCTTCAAAACAATATAATTGACAAATGTGGGTGCTATGATCCGCAATATAATTACCCTTCGAACGTGACAGTACCTTCATGTTATAATATGGGGGATATTAATGCTGCTAGTGAGTATTGAACTTAATTATTTTAAAATCTTTAAAAACACTTAACGACATTCGTATTTTACAAACATAAAAACGTATGCCTTTAGTGGACTGTGCTGATGCCATTATCAATGTTGTGGACCAGAATTCGGTTTCTAATAATTCGGCTTGCAATTGTCCGTATGGTTGTGAGTAAGTCCAAAACTTATTCTTCAGTAACAATCGTTGAACTCAGGTTTTGTTACTCTTTTGTCAAGTCTAATCTTTCGTTGCGAGACCAAAGCTGTCCCTTCGGGGCTATGGTTCAGAGTCTCAGCCCTTGAGTTCAAATATGCCGGCCTGGCTCCTTTTAAATTTGTCTTGGCTTAGCTCGGACTAGCCTAGTTGGCTTTTTTTTTCTTTTAGTCTTAGTCTTAAAGGACCAGTTTGGATAAGTCTTTTGTCAAGCTTTTCTGCAACAGATCAGGCAATCAGGGAAGCGCGAACTTTTTTGGCGCAAAACGTGAGCGAGTCGATTTGGAATAAAGGAAATCATTTATCCAGTGTGCCCGCTCACGTTTGGCGCGAAAAAAAGTTCAACAGCCAAAACGAAAAAATCTTTGCGACAAAAGAAGTTATCCGGATTGGTCCTTTAAAGCTCATGCCATCTCTGGTTATAATATTTGTTTAATTATCAAAAAATATCTTTTCAGTTTATCATACTACAAAATAGGAATGTCACAGACGAATTGGCCTGCTTCAACTTATACTGTAAGTAAATTTTAGCTCTTACCCTAAACTTTCCTTATCCTGCACTATTCTACCTTACACTAAAATGTAAAATATTGGGGCTTTTATTACACAGGAGTCCTACTGTAACATATTCTTCCTTGAATTTAAATTTTTTTAAAAAACCACAATTTTCTAGCCATCTGAATGCACTTCACCATCAGCGTATTGGACTACGGTTGCCGAGTGTATTCAGTGGTATAAGGATAACACAGCAATGCTGGAAATTTACTATGAACAGCCTAGTTATCAAAGCAATGTGGAAACGTCGGCTTATACGGTAATTCTTATCAGTTTTTGTTTGTAAAGAAAGTTTTTGCCATTTTTTGTTTTGTAAAGAAAGTTTTTGCCATTTTTTGTTTTGTAAAGAAAGTTTTTGCCATTTTTTATTTTGTAAGGAAAGTTATTGCCATTTTATAATTTGTAAAGAAAGTTTTTGTCATTTTTCATTTTGTAAAGGAAGTTCTTGCCATTTTAGGTAATAAACATGGTCGCTGATATAGGCGGTCAACTAGGCTTGTGGCTAGGAATGAGTGTAATATCAATCGTGGAGATGTTCATATTGGCTTGTGCTACCGTTGCTTTTATGATTATACGACCGGAACCGATCAATCTAGATGGCTATGACTATTGGGCTGAGTTTGATAAGCCTGTAAGTGTTTTTTGAGGTGCACTACTTAGCATTGTACTGTAAAAAATAGTGTTGTATTATACAATACTAAAAATAAAATTAAATTAAAAAGTATCACTATGTAATACTAAAAAATAAAAAAATAGTACGATGATATATAGTACTAAGATACTCAAAATGCAGTACGGTACTATTTAGTATTGTTTAAAAAATTATTTTAAAATGCCATTTCTAACTATATACTAATCGATGAAAAATATTGTTTTAGTCAGACAAGAGACGAGAAGAGTTGTATGCCAAAGGTAAATCGTCTGACGATGATTTACCGCCTAGAGTCACATATCCTCAACCAGTTGAGAATACTGTAACATAATTTAGTAATATTTAAAATATTCCATTTAAAACCTATTAAAATTCTACTTATGATGCCCGTATTTTACATAATTTTTAAGCTATTTTCTGGATTTTTGTCAACAATGTAAGTTATCCTATAATTTTTATGACATTCCGTTCCAACTTTGCTAATTTATGAATTTTGCGGCAGTTTTGAAAATTTCAAAAATTTATGTGTTTTTCTGACTATTCTTTATATTTTTTAATTTTTCAGTTTTCAATATAAGTTGTGACGTTTTGTTCTAAAGACAATTTTTTCCAATAATTATTGTGGCATTTCGTCGCAAACCGAAATTCTTGCAAATTTTGACTTATTTTATAATTTTATGAATAAATTATTTATTTTTAAAAATTAGTTTTACTTTTCAATATTATTTGTGACACTTCGTTCAAAAAACGCTTTTTTCTAATAATTTTTATGGCATTTCGTCATAAATTAATACTTTCGTTAATTTTTAATTATTTTTCAATTTTATTAGTTGGTTTTTTTTAAATTACTCATTTTTTTATAATTTTTATTTTTAAGATAATTTTTGTGACATTTCGTCCACTTTTTCCAATACCCACAATTCCATTCCTTTTCCAAACATAATTATCAATATATTTATTTTATTATTATGAAATTAGATCAAATATACAGTAAAATTCAACAATAAGTGAATCGCAAATTCAACAACAATATGTTATAAATCGAAGAGTGATATGGTTAATATACGTGTATAAATAATGACAGGCTGAGATCGGTATTTACATTGAGCGTGATAATACGAAATGGCTAATCGTTGATACTATATGGCTATGTTTTTATATATTACTACCCTATTGCTATACTATGAGGAGAGTTATGATGACTTAAGATATATTAGACCTAGGACAATATAGACATTCTTCACCGTAGTAAAGCTGAATGTAACTGAAGTAAAAAGATATTTTACTATAGTAAAACCACATGTATTACCATGATAAAAACATCTACTTCATCAGTAACGACAGCCTTTACCACAGTAAAAACATCTATCAAAACTAGAGCCTCTACTACAATATAGAAATTTTTCACCGTAGTAAAGCTGTGTGTTACTGTAGCAAAAAGATATTTTACTATGGTAAAACCACATGCCTTACTATAGCAAAAACATCTAGTTCATCAATAACAACAAGCTTTACCACAGTAAAAACATCTATCAAAGACTACCTACTACAATATCCCTATAACATCACCAAAGTGAATGCCATCATAATACCATGTAACACTCGTATTTACATGGTAAAATCTCCCACGTTTGGCCGAAATTACTTGAATTCGGCCAGTTTTTCGTTGAGTTTTGGGAACAAATTGCGTAGCCGCTTCAGGAGTGGGTGATTCTCTTCCGGGAAGCGTTGGTAGTAAATTTGGGGGTAGAAGCGGCGGTACTGAAAATGAATTGGGTTAATTACGTGTTTGATACGATTTATGTCATTTTGTGTCATGTGAAGGTGATTTTTAAAATTTAAAAAAAATTCAAAAAATGGTGATTTTTTGATTTGTAAAGAAAGTCCTTGCCATTTATCGTTTTGTAAAGAAGTTTTTGCCATTTTTAGTTTTGTAAACAAAGTTCTTGCCATTTTTTGCCTTGTAAAGAAAGTTTCTTCCAACTTAAAAAAAGTTGAAAGAAACAAGCCGCAGGGTAAACAAATGGCGTGAAACGGGTCAATTGCACCAAATTTTCTTTGCAAACAGTCTTGACGTCAGCCTACCCCCCTCCCACGGTGTTATTTCACACAAAATTAATACTTATTTATCCTGAGGGGCTTTGTTTCAAATTTTTGTCATTTTGCAAACTTGGAAAAGGAAGAGTGAAGAAACTTTCTTTACAAATTGAAAAATGGTAAGAACTTTCTTTACAAATCAAAAAATGGCAGGAACTTTCTTTAAAAAACGAAAAATTGCAAGAACTTTCTTTCCACGCTAACTTCTAGCCTAAAAACAAAAAACTTACATATCTAATAATCTTGTTCTTCTCCTCATCCGTGTAGATCGGATCCTCACAAACTTGATTCAACTTCTCCAACAATCGTTGATCCAACACATCTGAATCCACCTGCTGAATCGATGAAGTTGATGACGATGAAGCTGACGCATAGTTGGAATCACCGTCACATGAACTCGTGTCAAAGTCAATATGATCTGAGGTGATTTCGTCTTGGCTGCGATCGTGATACACCTTGTCAAAGAGTTTTTCCGTCGATTTTCTGGCCAGGAACTCGTTGTAGACGCGTGGGTAGTGGGACTTGAACTAAAATTAGGTTTTTTAGTAAAAATGTAGTGACAAATTTATTGAGACTGTTGTTACAAGCTGAAGAATAGAAAAAAATTTCTTTAGAAAACAAAAAATTTCAAAATTTTCTTAAATTGAAGCTAAATGGAAGATTGTCAGTGCAATTTGTACTAAAAATCTTCCATCAAACTGTTTTTTAGTTAAAAGTGCAAAAACTTTGTTTCCAGTAAATCAAAAACTTTGAAAATGTCGCCAAACATTCTTAAGACTCTTTTCCACCTTTTGTTTTACCTAAAATCCACTTTAAATCACTATAAATGTCAAAAAATAGATTTTTACACTAGACAGCAGTGTAGCAAAATTTCTAAATTCCCGTAAAACTTTGGAATTGTTTGGAATTGCATGTAAAACACATTTTTACTGTACTAAATGCCATTCTTGAAAGATTTCAGACCATTTTAAGGTTATTATGAAGAAAAAGTTATATTACACTAGCTGCGATATTACACTTGGCCGTTTTGACCCGGAAACAGACAAAACATTCAAAATTTTTAAAGAAAATCTTACCTTTTTGATTAAGCGCTGTCTTTCAACCTCATCCATGGTTGGAGAGTCATTTACCCATTGAATAAACCTCAACAAAGCCGAATTCACAGCCTTCTTCCGATCCTTTTTCGATAAAGGCGCCTCACAATGGCTACAGTCGATGGACGATGTTGAGGTTGAAGGAAGAGACGACTTAGCTTGACTAAAATCACATGCTAATCGTCGCTTCTGCAACAAGTTGTTCGTTTCGTCCATAGAAACACTTCTTCTCGGGATGGTCGGCACATCAAGAAGCCCTACGGTGTCGGTTACAGTGCTGTCAAGCTCGCCAAACTTGTAAAACGCATCTTTGTCGTCGCGGAATGTGTGCATATTACTATGGGCTCCAATTATAATTCCTTGCCCAAAGAACTTCATCATTACTTTTAGCGCTACGGACCTGGAATTAAAAAATCATGGTTAATATAAGTGGGTAACGAAAAAGTAATGTATCTTGAAAACTAAGATAGATACAACCCTAAAACCTTCCCATATCATACAAAAGACTTATATTTTATTCTGTAAAAATTTTTAAACAACAGAAAAGAACTTTTGAGCTACACTAAAAAACATCCAGACCTCATGAATAATATCGCCCTGAAAGACAAAAATCAATGTATCTTAAAAACTACAAATGTTAATGTCAAACCCTTTTGATACAGCATAGAAAAGACTCTAATAAAAATTTTTAATACCTAATCATTTACCTTTCGGTCAATCGTGTTGGGAAAACCTCGGCCAAAACGTCGCACATTGTCTCAACAGCGGCTTTGCCGGTGAATGAATTCGGGTAGATTTTCCAATAATGTCGATTCTGATTCCTTGGCACCATTTTGAAAAACAATGCTATCATCGTATTCCATCGTTTTGTGCTTTCAAATTGCGTCCTTTGCACAATATTATCCATGATCCTCGATTTTAGGTAAGAATTTGCAATTTTGAACCAAAAACGGTCGATTTTCAATGAATCTTCGGCCGAAAACCGTTGCAAATCCAGGAACACAGCTTCGAAGCCGGCTCCAAATCCAATTGAACGTATCTGCAATCAAAACAAGTCAATTAATCACAATAACAACATGTTCTCACGAGGTTTACACACGTTTTCACGTCAATTCCTGAGCCTGCGGGTCCGGAAAACAACTGTTTTCATAATTGGAACGGTAGATACACACTTCCGCGAATCAAAAAACCCCTCAAAGTTGTGTGCAAGCTACAAAAACTAACAAAATTTGGGTTCAATATACAAAACACATCGAAAAATAACAAAAAGATTAGCAGAAGACCTATCATGGTGAATATTATCCAGCAAGAATCACAAAAAAATCTGAAATCACAAAAACTGCTTCTGTCTTCCACTAAGATGATGTTCATACTTGTATTCATACCCACAAAGACAATACAGCCGGATGGTGTTGGGAATGGGGAGAAAATGGTCGGATTGATATCAACGTCGGCATGGATAATATAATTTTGTTGGCGACGCGGCGAAACAAAGGAAAGCCGCGTTAATTGAAAGCAAAACCAATTGACAATAGCATAAATTTACTGTTGGCCAAGGTCGTATTGACGGTTTTCGTATTATGCGTAATTTTACGCCCTCAACAACAATTTAGACGGAATGCCAAAGAGGTTATTGGCAATTAATAGTTTTCGTGTTGGGGCCAAAATGAGTTGTGCATGTTTGCAGAAAATAGTTAAATATTGTGTGTAAGAATGGTATTAATGTAAAATGACATTAGTAACTTTTAAATGTTCACTTTCAACCTCTTTTAAACAAAAACCATCAAATTTCAAAAAAAAATCAAAATTTTAAAAAGTTTAAAAACTATATATTGTCCCAATTTTAATCAAAAACAAACCTTCTGATTAAAAAGCCAGGCGTTTCATTAGCTCATAACTTCGTAAACAAGCTTGAAGGCCCGAGCTGAAACATGTCGACTAATAAATTATACTTTGCACAAACGTTGTAAAACCTTGCCAGATGTGTGCTATCTATATATTTATACAGCTTTGCAGGCTACAGAGTCATAATTTTCTATTTTTATTTTGTTTTTACGTTTTAATTTGAAAAAAAAAGTTTTGAAAATAAAAAAAAATTTAAAAATCCACCCCCAAAAAATTATCACGCCCGAACTCATTATGCTTCATATCTACCCCCTCTTATTTTTCTTTATTATTTTTTACCCTACCCTACCCGGCCCTAACTTACCCTACTCTACTCTATCTTACCTCCCCCCCTCCCTCTCCCTACTCTCAGCCCTATTTCCCACCCTGCAAATTCTAAATATTACTTCCCCTTCCGGTTTCAATAAAACTATGAAAAATTAAAAACAAAAATTGAATCAAATTAAGACAGACTAACCAGATTTGCCCGCAGGCCGCTGTTTTATAAACTGAATCACGAAACAGTATGAATAACCGACTGCAGGGGGGATGACGCAGCTCCACAAACGACGTTATTCGTTTGAGGTGCTAGTGGATACGTTTATATACAGGATATGCTTGTACAAACATGACAGGCTTTTTAGGGTGGAGGGTATGGTGAGAGAGTTCTTGGATGACATTTGAGGTTTAGGTAACATTTTAGGTTTAGAAGTGTTGTGTAGCGTTTAGAAATTGATTCAGAAGCTTCTTTAAGGCCAAGTCTTTAAAAGTTTAGGTATTATTTTGGATTCAGAAGTCCTAACCAGCCATCAGACAAGGCTTTTGGGTAACAATCTAGCTTCAAAAGCTCTAGCCACTCATCAGACAAGGTTTTTAGGTAACAATTTAGCTTTAGAAGCTCTAGCCAACCTTGTAGCGAGGTTTTCAGGTAACACTTTTCTTTCCCCACCCCTTCCCTTTCTGCCTCCCCCCCCTCCTCTCACCCTAACCCGGTCCTATCCTTCTGAAGGTTTAGGTAACACTTAACCTACAGCCTCTCCTAAGACCCTCCTAAGACGACATAGAAGCTTTAAAAGACCAAGCCGTGCCCATACGACATCTTTAGGTAACATTTCCGATTCTGAGGCACATATCAGTATCGGATTTCGAGTTTTGAGACGGGTTTCGTCGTCACAAAACGGTTGGGTGCAGCATGAAACATACTATAAAACAAATACAAAGTTGTAGGTGTAATATCATACTATGTACTATGGGAATGGCATCAGATGAAGGCTACATGCTTTGTAGATGGCATTTGAAAAGGCTACGTGCTATGTTAGTGGCATCAGAAAAGGCTAGGCATAGTATAAGGATGGCAACAAGAAAAAGGAAATAGCTCAAGAAGCCGAAGGAAAAAGGCTACGGTAGGAAAAAGGTAGTAGGTCAAATAAGGTACAGTACACGTAAAGTAGTATAGAATACTGTTCACTAGCAGTCAGTGTATACGGTAAAACAAGGTAGGGTAGGTAAGATACTGTAAGGCTAGAACTAAGACTAATGGTAAGACAAAGACTAGAGCTAGAGTTAGAGCTAGAGCTAGAGCCCACACTTACTCTCACAATGTAAGGTACATGCTCAGGATAACGTCAAGGCTATGCCATTTTTCAACTAAAACTTCGTACAAGTGTCATTTTTAAACCTATAATCTTCGCAAATCCACTAGAATCTCTCTACGTCAACTTGAAAACCTTTTATATATAATGCTTTACATATGAAACCAGATAACGTTTACGACAATACTACTCTGTCTTAATAGCTAGTGTGTTGTAAATGCTACTTAAAAATCTCATCTGAGCGCTTTACGTAAAACGACCCACGTTATCCGCTTATAATCCGCTCGGAAAGACGGTTTAGCATTATTGCATTGCATTGAAATGAATGTTTAAAATTCATTTTGTTCTAGCCGACACCTGTTTCCGGCCTGAGCCTAAGACTGAGCCTCAGCTCAAGCCTAAGCCTGAGCATAAGCTTGAGCTTGAGTTTGAGTTTGCGCTTGAGCTTGAGCTTGAGCTTGAGTTTGAGCTTGAGCTTGAGCTTGAGCTTGAGCTTGAGCTTGAGCTTGAGCTTGAGCTTGAGCCTAAGCCTGAGCCTGAGCCTCAGTCTGAGTTTGAGCCTGAGCCCAAGTTTAAGACAAAGCTTGAGCTTAAGCCTCAGTCTAAGCCTAAGCCTAAGCCTAAGCTTAAGCTTGAACCTAAACCAAAGCTATGACTAGCTGACACAGCTTAAGCTCGACCCTAAATCCTAGCTTAAACCTAAGCATAAGCCTTAGGCTAAACCCTAGCGTGACCTCTAACCTAAGTCCTAACTCATCCATAAGCCTACGCCTAAGCAAAATCTCTAGCCCGGACTTTAAAACAAAGTATAAGATATTGAGCCAAAGCCTAGCTTCAGCCTATTCTTAATGTACAAAAAGATATAACTCTAACTTATCTTACCTAATATAAAATTTTAAAAATACCTTAAAAAACCAAATATTGTATTACCAAAACAAAAAACAGAAATGAAACCCTTCAAAGCAATAGCAACGCCCCACCCTATAATAACCTTATGACAATCCTCAAAAATCTCTCGTACTGAATTGCACGGTTGTAAATCTCAAAAACCACTCAAGTTATTAGATATCTGAGGCTTTGGCGTGTCATAATCGTTTCTTATCAAACATCGACTACTTAACTTTTTCATTTTATATAATGATCCACCCCCACTCATAAAACTGGGCACCACTACAGTCATGTCATAAGACGATACACCCTACAGTTGTAAAACTAAAAAAAAATCGTTGGCTAAGCTTATGATCCACCCTGTCCTGAAAAGGGAACAGAATAGGATTGGTTTGGCCTGGGACTGGACCTAGCCATAAAACAATTTGAAAAAGTCGGCTGGACTGAAAAATTGAGCTCGGCGATTTTACAAGTCTAAATGCATCTTTAAAACCTAACAAAAGTAAAAAAAAATTCCCCCCCCAAAAAAAATTTTTTTTACCGCGCCTTACATAAAAATGAAAAATTGTTAACCTTTCTGCTTTTATATAGCCTTTAGTAGCCCTAGCCCTAATCTACCACACCCAATAAATCACTAAAATACCACTTAGACCATCTAAAACATTGTCTGATGAGTTAAAATGTGACGTTAAAAAGAGCATCTCCCTTCCCTCACCTCTTACAAAAACACATTTTAAATCTCATCCGAATATCTACGTATCATCTTAATCCTGTTTTATATTTAGCTCAACATCTACACGTCATTGACTTGTTTTGGACTATGTTTAACTAGAAAGTGTTCATGTTGGCTATATTTAACTAAAATTAGATACAGGATAAAGTAACTGAGGTGAAACAAATAGTTTGAAAAAGTTATTTATAGAATTAAAATAAAATAATAAAAAAATTTGCATATTTTGTCCAGAATTTTACATGAGACTAGAGTAAGGGCTAGAGTAGGGCTAAAAGGCTTAGGTAGACATAGGGTTGGGATAGAGTAAGGCTAAGGCTAGAGCTAAGACTATAACAGACATAAAGTAAGGCTAAAGTAGACATGGGGCTGTGTTAGAGTAAGGCTAAGAGTAGAGCTAAGACTAGAATAAACATAAAGTAAGGCTGAAGCAGAGCTAGAATTATGCTGGGTCTAAGACTACAATAGACATAAAGTACGGCTAAGATAGAGCTATAGTACGCTAGGGTATATCTAACAATTTATAAGGTACAACTAAGGTAAGACTTGAGCAGAACAAAGTAAAGACTAGCGTAAGTTCAAAGTAAAGGTAAGGCAGGGCTAGGCTAGGTCAGGGGCGAGCGTGGACTTTTGGTCGGGGGGCGGGGGTCAAAAAAATCAGCGCAAGAGCTACCCGTGCCAATTTTTTTCAAAACTTTTTTTTCCAAAAATCCACAGGAGCAAGTTTAACATTTTTCA